GATCTGCCAATGGCGACTCAAGCTCGTCAGACTCGTCGGACGAATGAACAAGACGTTTCAGCAGTGCCTCCGCGGTAGCATCATCTTCTCCGCTGCGTGCAAGAGCTTCCGCAAAAATCATAAGGAACCCACTGCCATCCCATACATGTGTGTCAGCGATTACATACAGCTGTCACATAAAAGTATCACTGACTGTTGTGTATCAACGGGTTGCCCAAGTGCTATAAAATGATGCTGGTGGTCTATGATTTCCCTCCAGTATTTCGTTGCATCCTTTGGTCTGTTAACCTCGGGTTTTCTGTTGACGACGGATCAGCGCTTCAGCGCCCTGCAATAGTAATGTCCGAAAGCTCACAGGAGGAACAATGTGAGCTTCGCCTTTGCTTGCTGACGCTATAGCATTCGAATGTCCATGAGCTTTGATAGAGGACGAGAGTAGGAGTATGTAAGCGCACCTTGAATAGTCTACCACTGTAGTCCGGTATCAGAATATTGCCACTCTGCGATACAATTGGCCTTGGGCTGGCGTGAACAAGACCTGCATTGTCCTCAGCGCTGGATGGACGGGGAAATATTGCACCCAGTAGCGCATCCGTGCACTCAGTCAGCAGATCAACGAACATCTCCAACGCCCAGATCACATTGTCGAGGATGTCAGCGGGGACTTTTATCGTGTCTCGTAGTCAGTACTGCATTCACTGGCTGAGTAAAAGGCATCGTACCGTCATCGATGTGGATGAGGAAGCTATACAAGAATAGCTTAGAAAGTTGGCTAAAGAACATGACCGATCGTGGGATAGGCCCTGGGACCTGCACAATTTCACCGGTGTTTATGTTCTGAAGCCGGACTGTGGCATCTTCGGGCAGCCAATTGGTGATCTGCGAGAGGGAGTACACTGGTTGACATGATGAGCTCGATCTCATGTGATTGCATTTGTGCCACGTACCCATCGCAGAGTCCTTTCTGACTGAGTCAAGGTCTGGTAACGGCTCTCGTAGGGTACTGGCCTCTTGAATCGGACCATCTAACATGTGCAGGACGTACTGTATGCGTTGTCGGCGTGGTACGGCCAGGGACGCCATGTTTGCAGGGTTAGATGACTGAGGCTCTTGCGCTCGAGAATCAGGAATCCCGGACAACGTTCGTGGATGGGAGGAGCAAAGCCTAGAGTTTGTTCAGAAACTACGCGTCTCTTGAGTAGTGATCGTGGGATACAAACCATCATGCATCAAAGTTAGCGCTTTAGAGCCAGCGCTGCGTAGTACGGCGTCCTGATCGACCTTCGAGTTTGAGTAGGCTGTCCAATCTACGTCGAGGTTTCGCAGCTTATGTTAGTAGCCCCGTGAATTTCCGAATCGTACTTTGACATAAAGCACATACTGTGATCGATATAAGGCCGCGGTGCATACACTGATTGTCGCGGCGAGTACTCTCGGCTCTCTGGACTTGAATGCTCAGATGCCTTCCTGTACTATGTGCGTCGGGCTACCAAGTTGGAGGAGTTAATTCATCCCAATTGAATACCATCTCCGAGTCATCGCTGTCGATTTGATCGAGCCATTTCCTCTACTAATGCAAAACAAAGGAGGACCGAAGCGCAGGAGCACTGCTTGCATTAGAGGGATAACAAACTTCCGGTAAGAAACATCGGTACATGTAGAATCACAGTGGTTTCTTGCCTCTAAGAGGTTTACCGCAAGCGGTGCTTCAGCAAGCAGATGAGATCGCCGGGAGCCGTGACTCGAGTGAGATTGCTTCTTTCTAGATGAACTCAGTCGAATTCCGCGTCCTTTAGGTCTTCGCTAAGTATGAGCTTTGCTGGAGGGTGGTCCTTGTTTATGTCCTGACGCCATTTTGGATTATACGGCATCTGTTCAAGGTCTTCGGCATCTATCGTGCCTGTGATAGTCGTGATGAGTAGATGCAGGCGAGAGATTACTGGGAATCTCGGGTACATACGACGATCTAGCCATGGAGCGACGCCTTCGCTGAAGCGAAAGACGATAAAGGCAATGGACTGAGGCCCATCTTGAGGTTGCCTTTTCAGCGAATGGCTGCAAGCTTCGGCGCCCCCACCGGGTTTGAGCCTCATGATACGCTCGATCTCTGTCAGGGCTTCATGAATTCGAAACACCCCACATCTCACGACTGTGAAGCGCCTGTCCGCATCAGGGGTATACACCGATTCCTCTATTATGAGGTGTGTTCGCGCCTGACCACAGTCTTTGTGCAAACGCAGCGCGTTGACGTAAGGCCGTTCGTCTATGCATTGTCGCCACTCGAACCAATGCTTCTGCCTTTGTGCAGCCAACGGGCTCAACAAAGAGAGCCCGTCGAAGATCTGGTTCAAGGCTTTCTGTTCTCTGTTTGATGACAGGTCAGCATGTAGAGTTTGCGGCTAGCCACCAACCTGCACTCACGCACAAATATGCCTGCCAATCGTGTCAAGCAAAGTATATATATTGAGCATGGGGTGAGACTGCCAGACATATATCGCATAGGACTCACTTGTGATGGTTCCAGTTCTTTTTCTGGCATGCGCGAGAGCTAGCGAACGTTTAGCTACATGGCATCCGCACAAACCGTGAATCGCACCAATAGTAGATCTTCTTGCAGCTCGAACACACGAAGAGCTTGACCATGGGTTCCCGGGCGAAACATTGTTGACAACTCTTGTAGAGGCGCTGGTCAGTCTTGTCCGTGTGCTTGCGTTATTCTAACCAGGAGGGTCCACCGAGTGATTCCAGGATTGTGCTAGTGACTTCGCCGATCGGGATCAAGACCTCTCGAAGCCACGCATCAGGCAACAAGTGCGGGTTCTTGTGAAACCACTTTACAAGCCGCTCTTCGCTACCACGATGTGAGGACTACATTCTAGACGTAGAAATAGTTGACGGCGGCTCACTGTTCCTTTGCAGCATCTGCATATCCACGCCGCCTTAACACTCGTGACAAGTTAACTTTCGTGGCGATCAGTTCGTGTACTCCATTTGACGACCCAGGTGATTTGACAAGCTGTTCGAGCAGGGATTGTGCCTTTACATCATCCTCGCCACTCCGTGTCAAGGCTTCTGCATAAACGACGAGGATATCACTGTCCCATATGCACATCAACGTCTGAAAACAGAGACTGTATAGACGCGACTAACCGCTGTGCTGTGATGAATTGACCAGGTGACGTACGAGAGCGCAACTCTTCTAATATTGACTCCAAGTGTTTTACGGCATCTCTTGGTTTGTTCACATTCGATTTCCTGATGCCCCGATAAGCAAAACACATGTTTACTTTGATGAACGGTAACAAAAACGGTGTTGATTATCTTACAAAAGGAGACCTGCGAGCTTGACATTGGTTTGCATGCGCTGCAATTCGAGAGACTGTTAATAATTTCTTTCAAATGCAGAACTCCAATAGCTAACCAGGATAAATCTTCCGTTGCTCACTATAACGCTTTGCGTCGCAGCCTGCCCGCTCAAGGTGTCAGCCACGCTGTTCTCAGTTCTGATAAGACGAGCAGCGATGAGTTGGGCGTCTGTGCTTTCAGAGGCAACGACGGTCATTATCTCCAGAGCCCAAACTACCGGCCTCAATATGTCTTCCGGGACTGGTGGCATAGACTTCAGCAATTTGCATACTATCAAGACAGAAACACGTCGTACCATCATCGATATCAATGAGATAACTGTATTTGAACAGTTCGTAGAGATGAAGATTGAGTAGAAGGGAGGGTGATGCTGGGTCCTGACACACTTCGCCAGTGTACAGATCCTTGAAACGTACGCGAGCTTGTGCAGGCAGCCTTGATAGGTTGTTTCGAACAGCAGGTACTTGATCAAACCGTCATAAGTCACATCTTTCAAAACCATCGTGCCCACGTACTTCTCGCAATGTCTTTCCTGACCGAGTCGAGGGTCGGTAGATATTCTTGTGCCTGAGCCTCAGGGGCTCCCTTCCAATCACTGAACAAGAACTGGACTCGCTGTCGGTTCGGAACAGCAGATGCGTGCGCCATGACAAGATGTGATTTGGGCCCTTGAGTAGAGAGCGATGGTCAGTATCAGTGAGTTACTAGCATCGATGTCTCACGATTATTGTTACTTACCTCCGTCCAAACGTTCAGGTTGCCTGGCACTCGACTGGGCAAACAGAGTGAGCTGCCAGGGCTGTATTAACGCTGATAGACGCCAGCAACCATGACATACCTTTTATGGCAACTGCCAACCTCGGACTCGGTACGTCGCTCAGGCTGTACATGTGACAGTACTGGCCTTACTGCCAGTGTATAATTCAGTGAGTCGGACAATACATATTAGTATAGAGGTTCCGCCGTTCAAGGCGAATATGATGGCTTTGACTTCGACCTCGCGAGTATTGACCAGGAAGCCTTCCACGACTCGTCGTGTGCCAACCGACTCAGAACTAGTGCGTATCGACGAGAGAGAGCCCGGGGATGTGCCAGTGTTTCGAAGTGACGATGGCTATTGTGTACCCAAGTACAGAATGTAGTCCTTGACGTCCACAGAATCAGAACTTACCTACCGCTAACTGTCGCCACCAATGTTCAGAAAATTCCCCTGCCAGAGATCGCATTGGCAACTTCCTTTCTGGCAGACTCGGAGGGTAACTCGGAGTAACGATGGACTCCCAAGCTATCCTTACAGACTGGCTCTAGGACACCGTTGCGGTCTCATCTCACGTGTCTTCGTAAGACCTGTACAGCGCTGTGATTGACCTAGCCGGGTGAGGACGACACCAAGATACGTTGAACTTTTGCTAGAATGCTCAGGTTAACACAGCGACAGTCGTGCCGGCGACTCGAGCCCTGCTCACCGGCATGTAGGATAAATTCGGATCGACGCCGGTGTAATTTCAACTTAGCGCATCCGAACCAAGCAGACTGACGGGAGAGAGCGGACCCAGTCGTAAGTGGTTACAAGAGATGATGTGTCGTACGTTCACGCTTGCATTGGTGTCACAGCGGGGCACGGGGTACATTAAGTGTGACTTTCCTAAATCCATACATGCCTGCGTCGTCGATCGAACAGCCAGTGAAAAAAGGCGCGGGCCGGATAACTGAAGTTGCTCATAGAGTCGTTGGGGCCTCTGCGTCCGCGTAAGAGTCATAAAGGGACATGTGGTGGGAAATGCTTCCGCCTACCCAGTACTATAGTGAGCGGTGTTATATGAATACGTGAAGTGCGATGCCTGATATACGTACCATGATAACTAAGCCCGTAGGCAGTTCTGCTACCAAACAAATCCATCACGGCAGTTCAATCCAACTCTGCGTCCTTGATATCGTCGCGCAGTACTAGCTGTGTCGGGGGAATGTCCTTGTTTATGGCCTGGCGCCAACTCTTGTTATATGATGTGTACTTGAGTTGCCACTTCCCTATTGCACCTGAAGGTCGAATGAGTATAACCAGAACAAGAGACTCAGAAGATACATGCAGACCCCGCATGAGCTTCGTAGGGATACCATCACCAAATCCAAATGTGAGGAACAGAACGAGTTCACTTGCCGTTGGGTGTGAGTCATGCAGCAGCGTCTCGCAGAGCTCTCGGCCCTCGCCGGCCCTGAGCTTCAAGATGTGCTCAATCTCAGTCACGACGTCAGCAATGCGGAACACCGCGCATTTGACGATTTTTTGCAAGCGGTCCTGCGTTAGGAGTGTATGCCGAATGTTCGATTATGAGGTGAGTAAGCGCTCGACCAGGATCTTCATGCAGACGTAACGCATTGGCATAGGGCAACTTATCGACGGCAAGTTTGCAAGCGTTCCAGTCCTTCTGTCGCTGTGCAGCGGGTGCATCCAGTAAGGAGAGTAGCTCGAGCTCCTCGTTCTGGTTAGCAAAGTCTCTTTTTCAAGGCCGGTCAGTACAGACTGTAGGCTACTAAGCGTCGATGCTTACTTGCACGCATTCCTATTTGTCAAGCAGACAGCATTGAGAAACTGACATAAGCAAGTGACTGGCCGGCACGTACTTGTGTAACGGCCAGTCTTTTCTCTGACATTCTCGAGAGCTACTACCGAACATTCAGTTACCGATGCTCCTGGTCCAAGCCTAACCGAATGTCGCACCAGTAATAAAACATCTTGCACTTCCCACATACGGATAGCTTCACAATTGGCTCCACGGCTTGACACTGTCTGCATGTCTTGTTGTGGCGGTGGATTGTTTTGTCAGTATCCTGGCGCTCTGCTAACCAAGAAGGTACGCCGAGCGCTCCCAGGATGGGGCTCGCCGCTTCACCACTCGGCGTCAGGAGCTCGCCATAGTCCGCAGCCGGCAACCGATGCGGGTTCTTGCGGAACCACTTGACAAGCCACTTCTCGCTGTCGCAATTATGAGGCCCGTACTCCGGAAACCGAACATAATGATTAATGACGAACTGTTTCTTTGCGGAACCGAGCTTGCCTCGCCGCCGCAGAACGCGTGACAACCATACTTTTGCCACGATTAGATCACGCAAGCCTATTTCCTCACAAGCAGGCGAATCGGCAAGCCCTTCCAGCAGCAACTGTGCACTATCATCATCCACGCCGCTTCGTGTCAATGCTTCTGTGTAGATCATGAGGAGGTCACTGTCCCACATGTACATCAGCCTCAGGCTGTCCGGGTAGATGTATCACAAACGGCACCTACCGCTGTACGGTGAAGAATTGCCCCGGCGGGACGGCTTGTCTCTGAAACTCGATGATCTCACTGAAATATTGCGCAGCGTGCCCCGGTCGGTCAACCTCCGGCTTCCTGTCTCCAAGGCATGCAGGATATGCCAGTGATGCCAGGATACGAGTATGACATCACCGATACTAGAAACTCACAGCAGGAATAGAGTGAGTTTTGCCTTTGCTTGCTGTCGCTACGACATTGAATGGCAGTGAGAGTTTGCACGAAGATAGATGGTTATACTTGTGAAACTCACTAGGCAGAACTTATGGGTGTCCACCGGGGTAGCAAATTGTACTCTAGCCGACCCAGCATGGGCATACATGGCATCTATTTCATTTCTGTACAAAGCGACGAGTTGCACGTCCGTGCAATCGATGAGAGCGTCGATGAACGTCTCCAGAGCCCAAATCACATGCTCGTGAATGTCCTCCGGCACTAGATTGTCACGTACCAGAGTCAGTACACGCACTACACTTGAAATAGCCAACGGTACCGTCACTGATGTGGATGAGGAAACTATACGTGAATAGCCAAGGGAGTTTGGTCTTGAGCACGAGAGAGCGTGAAGCCGGCTCCTGCACAATGTCGCCAGTGTGTGGATCCTGTAGCTCAAGCACACGTGGCTCGGGCATCGAGTCTACGGCCTCCACGACAGCAGACGCTTGGTTTCGTGATCGTCATGAGCATGGGTCCAGACTCCATATTGCCATATCCCAACACTACTTACTTATTGCGACGTCCTGCCTGATGAGACCAAGGTCTGGTAGTCGCGGATCTCCTGTGTCGTCGATCTTATGCTGCGACACGCCCAGCAAGAAATGAACCCGTTGTTGGAGTGGCGCAGACATGGTCAATCGCAGGTTCGCATGGTATGCGGAGCAAGCGGAGAAAGTGTTCATGTTCGAAAACCAGCACAGGCTATCTGTAAGGACTTCCGAGAGACGTCTTTCAGACTTGTAGCGGGGGAGGTAGGGACTAAAATTCAGTATGTAGTAGGCGCTCTAGGTACCGAACAATGATGATGGCGACTGCGTGGGAGGCGGGGAGCGCTTGCTGACCCTGTTGCGGCGAATCATATAACAGTAGACTCCGCCTGAGTACACCTGTTCGTCGTGGGGCCTATCGTTTTGGAGATAGCCTCAAAAAAAGAGGTGAGCATATGTTGGATTGCTTGGGTCGTACAATGTGAATAGGACTAGCCGATGCCCGTGCTCCGCTACGGGTATGCGCTTTCGATTGCATATATCTCTGTCAGATGAATTATTTACGGCTTTGAGCGCATGACGGGGCGAGTGCTCAAAAATCGTGACTGTTCTATGTAATCTGCAAGCGTAGGCGACTTCTGTAAGAGACTGATAATAGTTGAAAGGCCACTCAGCCGCCTCCCTTCGGGAGTCGGCTTCGTGGCCCCGTGCCAGTCTGCGACATATATATTATGAATACCTACTGTTCGGGAGATACTAAATGTATCTTGACGCATGGGACCTCGGACAGTAGTAATGGAGCACGCATACGCGCAGCACACCCATGTCCATGACCGAGTCTCGCTGAGTTGGCACGCAAGACGGAAACTTCCAGTCAGTCATTGTCCGCCTCCTGAGGTTTGCTCTACGTACCATGTTCGCCCTCCTCGCCCTCCTTTCACTTGCCCAAGTCCTCGTCACTGCGCCAGTGCTCGCCAAGCCATCTTTGTCGTGCTGTTTTTCACCGAGGTTCTGGCCTCGCGCAGTCGCCGGTCGCCCTGTGCCACCCTTTTCTCTGGGTTGTCCACTGTATGTTGCTCGCTGTCCTGCTGGTCTGCGTCCTCCCACCCCAGGTCGACGACTTGAATGCCGTGCGAGTCTAAGTCATGATGAAATATTCAGTCGTTGTCTGCTGGCCCTCCCTGCTCGTAGCTACGCCCGCGCCCGTAGTCCGCTCGTCGGCTGTGCTTCACGCGGGGGCTTTGCCCTGCATACTCGCCGAGCAGTTTCCCTCGCCCTCGCCGTGCGTGTAGTGGCCCGCTCTTGTACTGTGTACCCGCTCGCCTGCCTGCGTGCGCGTTCGTCAGCCGTGTCCGCGTGCAATGGGTGTTCTCCCAGCGCGCTCGTGGTCGACGTATGCGCTGTCACCTGTTCGCCCGCCGGCTCTCTCGCTCATCCACTCACCTGCTTGCCCATCCGATTGCCAGTCCACACCTGCTCGCCCGTCCACTGGCTCGCCCGCCTTCCCGCTCCCTCTGCGCGCGTTCGTCGGCCGTGTCTGCGTGCTGGGCATTCGCCCGGCGTGCTCGCGGTCGGCGTGTGCGTCGCGCTTCATGTCGCCACGGCGACTGCGCCTTGTGCCTACCCATTCCTCCCTCCATCCGGCTCCTTCGCTCATGCACCCGCCGTCCATTCGTCAACCGTGTTTACGTGCTGGGGATTTTCTCAGCGCCCTCACGGTCGGCGTGTGCCGCTCGCTAGCTCGCTCGTCCACCCGCCGCCCGCTTGTTAGCCATGCCTACATGCTCGCGGTCGTCATGCGTCGTGCTGCACGTCGCCGCGTCCTGTGCCTGCAGTTAGCTCGCTCGCTCGCATGTGTCTGCACTCACGGCGCCCGTCTCCGCTGCGCTCGGTACACTCCTGTCACTTGTTGTTTTCTGCGCCTTACCGCTCCCTGGTCCGCGCCCTCCTATGCCAGAGTGAGAAATGAACATGAGGGTCGCGCGCGAGTCTAAGGGGTATTGAGGAGGAGGAGGAAGGATGAAGTACAGTATTCAGTCGCGCGAGCTCGGAGCGCTTGAGAGGCTCGGGCAGCGTTCGGGCGTCCGTCTCTCAGCCAATGAGAATGTCTCTAGCGTTTGTCTCCAATGTTTGTCTTAGCGTTTGTCTCGCGTTCCTACGTTCACGCCTCTTGTAGAGTAGATGATTTTGCTCTCGCCAACTTGGAGCAATGTTGTCCATCCGGTCAAGGCTGTCTCGCTGTAGTGTGTGGAGAAGCGGCGAGCGCTTGCATGTGTACAAATGGTGCCGGTGAAAGGTTGGATCTTGCTGTGAGCGTCTCGCAAGATGCGGGAGAGGGAAAGGGAGGAACAACGAGGCGGGAGTTATCGGCCTGCCGCGTGCCCGACTACTTCCCCCTCTGTGGTTCAGCAATTCATCGCGTCAAATCCAGAGGTTGGACGGTGCCTACAAAGGATGCAGCACGCGGCGCGTTTCCAGAAATCTCGGGTACTGCGGCCTATATCGGTGTCAGTGATTCAGGAGGGGTGAAGGGAAGACACGCACGGAAGTATTTTCGTCGCCGTACGAAGAGTGATGTCAGTATTGAATTGTAGGTCGGACCTGAGATCCGTTGATGTCGATGAGGCCTGAAGCTGAAGGCTTGCTAGATGTACGGTACCTGTCACAATGCTCAGCATGTACTCTGTTGGGACCGCGTCTTGGAAATCAGCTTGTTAATCTAGCACCAAGGACTGACGACGCCGCGACGCCCCCATGCATCCAGATGTCAACGATGTTTTGCTGAACGCTGAATATATCGCCTTGAGCACGGAGTGAATATGGGAAGAGGCGACACCAAAGCCGGTCAAGTAATCAAAAGAGCGGGTATATATGTTCGTGACGGGCAAGCAGGTGATTCTGCGATAAAGTCGTGACTAAGGAAGCAATATCATACTGTATCTAGAACGAATACGGTGGCAAAGGATGTCGTCTGTTGTAGTGGTACAACAGAAGTAATAAATTACAAGGCCGTGACGTTTCGTCACGAGCCATCGTTGTGAGAACAAAGCAGAGGGGCGAGAGAGCGAAGCCCAAAATTACAGCGAACGCGCATGGTTTAGTCGTGGAGAATATGGACGTGATTTCATGATTTGATTGCGAGGGGTGCCGTTGCAACTTCTCCGCTGGTTTAGTCAAGGCTAACAGAGCGAATGAGTGCCTCGGCCTTTGCCGATCGCGGAGATGCGGTGCATTGCGCGGGTCCAGGATGGCTGTGTTTCTATTAGTGCCAGACCGCCACTGACCACCGGGAACGTACCTGATGATCCCGGTTGTATAGTCACTATCTTGTATATTGCCTCCATCTTGTGTTGTGATCTTGAATGCTGCCAAGATCTGCACAACAGCCAGAAAGATGCATGTATCCGCAAGGTACAAGCCTACGAATACCCTCATTAGCAAAAACAAGATCGCTAATGGTGCGAATATGTGAACGCACCGGGGCATGAGCTAGGGACAATGTAGATCAGTCTGTGTGAACCATATTCTAAGGCTGTTCCTGCTTACCGTCTTCCAAAACCCCAGATGATCGTGCGCGGATCCATCTCAGCCTCTCTCTTCTCTGAGGCAATGAACCTCTCCGGGTTGAAGACCTCGGGCTCCGCATACGTATCCGAATCATGCAGCATTTGCCTGATCTCAGACTTCATCAATATGAAATTCCATACGTATGCTAGAGCACTCACCAAATATTCGCCACGACGATGGATCCCTCACGCAAATAGAAGCCTTCATGGACGTCATCCTGCTCTAAGCGATGTGGCATGCCTAGAGCGACGGCTCAGCTTCGCACAAGAACACCAGGATGTCATCGACTACCTAAAGGAACGGCGGGCTTCCACCTGAGTACTTCGGAAATGATGGCATCGATATAGGGCAGCCTGTGTCGATCCTGCAAGAGAGGCAGTCTGTCGGTTCCGACTGCACGGTCGATTTCCTCCTGAGCTTTCTTCTGTACTTCTGGGTGCTTTGCCATGGCGTGGAAGAAAGTCGTCACTGCTGAGCTTGTCTGTATAGAACGATCCGGTAACCTCAGCGCCAAGAAACCAATAGCCAAAACGTAAGTTAAGACTAACCGAGTCGACCGCGCCTGCGAGACCAATGACGTTAAGTCACGGAACGTCACGGGGCAAAGAGTCGACTCACCGATGTAGAGAGACGATGCCGCCGTCTTCACGAGTTCCTCTCGCTCGGCGTCCGGGGAGTCGCCGAGACAAAGGGAGACGAAGGAAGGGAAGGTGCTGCCATTCGCCTAAAGGGAGTACTCCGCAATCAGAGCGTGTAGGTGGCCTAATTGAGGAATGGAAGCGCACTATCTCTTCTTTCACATACTCATATGGGGTGTCCAATAGCGTGTTCAAATCATGCTTCCAGGTCTTCACCAGTTTCTTCCATCCTGAACCGGGCATCCATGATGGAACATACTTCACTTCGCAGCCGATCAGCCTGCGAGGCCACAAGTCTAGAGCAACGGGACTTACAAATCGGTAGCAGGTCGACCAAATATGCACCGGGCAAGAACCCAGAAGAAAACTCGGGCATTGCAGCGCGCGCTATGTCAACGAAGGTGTTGTCGTCTTCGCGGAGGTTGTAGCCATATACAATCATAAGAGTCGTCCCAGCCACAGTCCTACATACACGTCAATCCTGCGTTCTGCGGACGTATGCAATCGGGTGCGTACCGTACAACTTGGTCCACGATGTTGTCCGGACTCTTCATGATACGGGGTAAAAAGCGGGTGATTTGGACGTTCATGATGGGCTCGAACGCAACGACGCTGGCGCGACTTCCAAGAGCAGGCGTGAAGAGCCGGCGAGTTTCGCGCCAACGCGGGCCGTAGGGAAGCAGGGCCGTCAGGCGGTCCCATCCGACCAGTCGTCCCATGAAGGTCAAGCGAGGCCTGTCCGAATACATGGAGGTCTTCCGTTCAAGCATGTCGACTGCTGTCTTGTGTGAACCCACAATAACCAAGGGTTGTCCTAGCAGGTCTATCTGCATGATGTTACCTGGCACGGCCTACGTTTCAGCGCATACAGCAACAAAGTTGAACGTAGCACGTACCCCATCGTGCGCTCCATTCGGCGAAGGTGATCCAAGGTTGCGGCGTGCGCAGGTCCAGTATGTTACCGATGAAAGGCCAGCCTGTAGGACCGGGCGGCACCGAGCCTGGACGCCTGTGCAGAGCCACCGCGATTCCGAACAGGAGACCGGCGAGGACTAAGTATACAATATAGACAAGAAAATACATAGCTGGAATGAATCACTCAGTGACAGTGTAGGATCCTCGGGGAGACGAGGAAGGGTGGAAACGTTGCGGGGACTATGAACTCGAGTACTTATAAAACACAGCACGTCGAGACAAGCCGGACTGATGCGTGCCGCAAGAGTCCGGGCCGTTAATTTGTGGTCCTTGGACGGATGGGTTATCCGGAAACGGGGCCACCCAGAAATGCCCAGCGGGTGCACCGCACTTCTTTCATTGGCTCATGGATCAGTCTGAAGTGAGACAAAACAGCGCGGGCCTTCTGGTGCGCTACAGGCACCGGATGTGATCTATCCGCCGGTGTCCATCACCGCAGAAACCTCTGCATCATTGTTCGCATGAGTGTCATCTAACTTTGTATGACCGCGCGCTGCAAATGCGGACCTTGTGTATGAGAACAGGTCGTTCCCGCGTGCTGGTGTGCCAAGTAGGACACTGCCCGCATCACCAAGCGTGTCCCGTCAACGTCGGGGAGTCGGGGCGGGGCCGGCCGGGAGGACTCATCATGGCAACGCACGACGACGCAACAGCTGCGCGGGACTTTGTTCGCACGTGGAGGCGCAACACGACCATTTGCCATTTGGTGTTTGAGAAGAACCGAGCAGGAACCGAGCCTATCGGGAAGAGATCCACGAACGATCAGGCGCCTCAGCTCCTGTTCGACCGAAAAGTCCGGACTGAGAACCGCTGGCCCGCGGTCGCGTAACTGAAAAGTAATGTAGAGATGTTTTCCAGGACACCCGGCTTGTCCCGGCCCCCTTGACAACGGTAGAGATAACGCCTTCGCAGACCAGATCAATACTAGATTGACTTCGCATTGAGTACACGGAAGGAAATCGAGTATATCCATTCGCCTGTGTGTGGGCAATCATACCGTACCAGAGCGTCGCTCGTGTGGGAGTCGCTCATGGCGAATGATGGAGATGACATGCGAAGCTACTCCGGAGTCCGGGTAGGGCTTTGAAAGCCCCAGATGGGAGCAGATCCTACTAGGTACTCCGAGAATCAGGAGAAAGTAAGACACCGAACGAATCTTCCAACCGATCCGCTCGGCTTCATTGAGGCTCGCTACCCCTTGGCTCCATCCCAAAAGGGCTAGTGGAGCGAGCGGTGTACAATCAGAACAAAAGTGAGAGCGATGGCTCATCGTGAGATGCATCACCGAAGGCCATCAAGCAAAGGCACATGATTGGAATGCATAATGAAGCGGCCTAGTCACGACTAACGGGGCAGCTCACCTTCCAAGCACCTACCCCTCGCCGATCGGCCACCGGAGACGACGTCAAGCTTCACGATTCATTGCGAAGTAGATTTTCTCTCACGTAGAGACAACGGTGACACCGGACAGCGTCTGTGTATGGCAGACGATGGGCATACGATGGGTGTTCGGGTTCAAATTAGGACCTATAGTAAAAACCCCATTGGTCAGTCAGTGACATTTCCAAAACATACGCAGTACACCAGCCGATTGAAACGGAGTCCCATCACAAGGCATACGTACGATCCGCTCACGGCCGACGGAAACCGTCATCGTGGTCGGCCAGTCGCATAAACTTGGAATTGAAGTAGAACTCTAGAATACGCTCGTGTCCGTAATGGGGCAGTGCGCCAACAAAGTTCTATCTTCGACGACGGCCGCATCAGGCTGCCTGCGTTCACCCACGAGGCTTGTTCCGTAAGGCCGAGAGACGGATGGGGCCATGCTGCGCGAACGTGTTGTTTTGCGAAACAAAAGGAGGTAGCATGGTTTGTGTCAGCGGGGCGCCCATTCTCCATTGGAACTCCGGACCTGCGCACCACTCACACGAGCTCCAAACAATAATGGAGATGAAGAAGATCCGAGCCTTCGACTGCATCGGTGCCGACTTGACCGCAGGCGAAGTCTACATGGGGATGGCGGAGAGGCGATCGAACATTGCTTCACGGAACGTCAGCTACCACGGAACGTCAGCTACCACGGAACGTCAGCTAAGAAAAGTATCACCGCTGCTGAGGACCCTCCCCGTGGAAGATGCGCTCATAATGTGACTCATCCGGTGCGGATATCGGACGCCCTTCGATGACCAAAGGGACTGTGACTCCACCGGGAATACTTGCTGTTGAACAAACGGGGAGTGTAAGTGTGCGCCGCAGGCGCTATGCTCGTGAATAGACGTACCTCCGGGTCATGGCCCCGCCCTTACGGAAGAGACAGTCGCGATGCTCGCGCTGTGCTTCGCCGTTATACGCTTCCATTCTATGTCTGTTTGTCAACCTACACCGCTGCACGGCTATGATTATCAAAGTCTGCGGAGAAACTCTTCGTTTATCGAGCCTGTGTCTCAATTGAGACCACTGTGGGACACGCGTCTTGACAGTGCTCAACGATCCTCGCTCCTACATGCTGCAGCGGTCTTCGACGTGTTATCACACTGCCAGTGACTGTGTAATGTTGTGAACTCACCTGGCTAGTAGAGGGCTTCCCCTAGATTCGACAAGGCCTCACAATAGCTCGAGGTACACATTCCCTGCGATGTTTTATTGAAGGCGGTTGACACTAAGTAGTGCGGAAGCAAAGATGAATGTGACGGTAAGTTGCCGGTCCCTTTGTGGCTGAAGCCGCCGGCAATATCCGAGACCCTACCTCGCGCCACAAAGCCTTCGTACCGTGACGAGCGCTCTCTTGGGACGAACGACAGTGACCACACCCACCAGTACTGAGTACACGAGCATGTCGCGAACTGGTCTTGTAATCATCGACCTCTCCTTCCAGCCGTGATACAGCCTCAAAACGTTTCTGCTCAGAGGTCGGCGAATGTCGACGCTAAGGGGCAGATCATCAGGTTGTCGGAGCATAGTCAACTTGAAGGTACTCTCGACGACCAGACGCAGGTAAGCTGAAAGATACTACTTCTCTGTAACAAGCTGGTCTGATTCACTTTATTAGGGATGGGCAGCCTGTGCAACGCCCTGTTGCGCGATTTTCGCGTGCGACGCGTCGACAGCAGACATCTGTTGGACTTGCGATTTTCGCGCAGCGACATATACAGCGACCGTACACGAGGCAGTCGACGTCTTAGTCTTTGGACTCCGGAATATCAATCTGTGTTCTTATCGCACACCCATGATCCTGAGCAAACCAAGTACTTCACTCGTGTTCGGTAAGCACAGTGCATATCTTACACCCACCGCACAACGATCGCTCTCTGACTCATCCAGTGATTTCTGCACAGGCGCAGCTACGTGCTGGCGGGGAACCGTTCGTTCCGCCCTGGTGCGGCGACGTGGGCTAGTCCGAATGCCCGCACGCTCTGAGCTACTCGGACAGGCATGAGAAAGAAATCTCTTGATCAGGATCAAGTTCTCCTGAGATCGTGGCCCTCGCCTGTCATGCCCACAATAGCTGATGTTCGGAAATCGAGAACTGCTCATCAGTCCTATGACTCCTATCATGATTCGTCCGAATCAATGTCGCCCTAGAACTTCGTGCCTCTGTAGTCCTGCGGGATAGGCCGGTGTGTGTTTCGGATCTGTCTCGGACTGCGATGGTCGACCTCCTTATTCACATCTTGATCTTCTGACTGGCAGACCTGGTCTTTCCTGATGCGTGACATGACCTCGCCATCCCGTGCGGCAGTCCCGTGGAAGACCGCCCTCCCCTCCGTCAAAGAGGTATTCTTTGAGACCAGCGGCAATAGGCGGGAACCCACCCCGGCTTGATGTTCTGTGATCATCGTACCTATTCTCAGATGTGGTACACTCCATAGGAGACAGCGTTGACCATTAGCGAGCGACTCGTCGCCCTTTCCGCCAACGACTCCAGCGAGGGCGAGCACTCCCGGGTGGCGCCCAGCGGTCGCAACTATGAATCTGATTTGAGGCGTATTTATTTCCAGGTGTTGTCGTACTCAGACACATGAACATGCATCTATCCGTGTCCCCCTTCATGCTCAACGACTGTACGCTTCTAGATGCACGACCGCCATCGGATCAGGAACAAGCAACAAGTCGAGTTACACCCGTATCAACGACGACGTGATGACACTATGACAATGATACTCCCCCAGTCTGATGTGGTTTGCTTCGTTCGCTTGAGAAATGTTCGATAATCCACGATAGCGACGGGTCCTTGCTGACCATATAGGGATACATCGATATACATCGCCTGTGCTCCTTGATGATGGGGCGCATAACAGCAACTCGCCACTCCCGCGAAGCCGCGGATGGCGTAGCCGCATAGGTGATTGAAGTCCGAGTGAATTTTATATCCCGTACATCAGAGACAACGCAGAAGGTCATATGCCACATGAGGACGCAGAGGTCGGCGCAGTATATGACCCGCGTAGAGGAAGACGACAAAACAGAACAGGTACGAAGTAATCCAAACACGTTCGACCCCAGCAAATGACGTGGACTCGCATATGTATGTTCTCGGAAAGCGTGATGTACAAGTCCTGTCCTCCATCCACCATATGCTGCCTCTTCAGCCAGGACGCCCGGCAACCCCCATGCTTCATACAGCAGAAGCGTGGCATTCGCAGTACGGAGACGACAAGCGGCGCGATATACTGTCTCGTCTGCGTTGGTCGGTACAAAATGAGATTCAATTCTGATAATAGTACTCACAAGACATGTTCGCTCTCCACCACTGGATGTACGGAGGGTGCCAACTTGAATGTTACTACAGCGAGATCTGGCGAAGGCTACATGTTCAGCGTCTGTACGAACTCAACCACTTACGGAAACGTACTCTTTTTGTTCTTCCAGTTCCACACATTATCGTGCGTCTTGCGGCGCTGTTCCACCTCGAGATCTCGGCCTTTTTGGAGCAGCAGACAGTCCGCACCGTGCAAGTTCTCTTGCAGATCTTCATTGCGACACTACACCGAGGCACCACACAATGTCAGCACCAGTCCCGACTGCGCAACCCACGAGGACTCACTACGTCTGAGCAGTAATAACGCGCTCGACAAGCATCGCAGGCGACGAACCGCTGTCCCACACACGACTCCCAGACGCCGCAGTGTGCGCATGCATGGAGCATGCCTTCAGCGGGCACGAGGGCCTCGACTATGGGTTTCGTGCCCGCAGAATCTCCCGTCAGTTTCAGCACGGCCTGACCATCCGCGTCGCGCAGACGGAGAAGCTCCATGAGGGAGGGCCCTCCCGGGACGCCATGGTACACGAAGCATGACGTAGATTGAGATACTGCAGGCGGTGACGAGCCAAGATGCGGCGAGACAAAATTCAGGCAAAAGAGTGGGTGGGCGGGCAGCTGAGGTTGGGCGATCGACACGAGAAACCACGACGCGTGGTGTCGTCCAATGGCAAGTGTCACATCCGGATGTGATGCAGTGTGCAGCTGTACAATGCAGTTCGAGCTTAAGCATTTCCGTCCGTTCGAGGAGGACATGGCAGCCAGTCGGGGGAAGAGAGTTAATCATCACGACACAAAACCACCTATATCCTCGTCACGATGTGGCGGCGGCGGAACAGATTCTTGCTAGGATCCTCACTTGCCTGAGGCGATCTATACCACGGCACGCTGCAACGGAGATCTCGCTCGACTCGGAGAATGTTTCCGTATGAGGGTCAGGCCGCGACTTTACTCGGGTGCCGGCGATCATGAGGAGCACAATCTAGCCAGTAGGTTAACCTGAACGAAGCTAGTACTGTATTTGAAACCTCAGCGAATAAGCATGTCAACTTCCGTTTCGGCTCACTGTAGAGACGCGTATACATGCCACGTGATCGTGACGCGTCGAAGGTTGCAGCCGCGGTCCTGCGGATCGTGTCGTCGTCCTCGATCGCGTGAGTGGTCGTAGGTACAAGGCGCGTGCAGTTCTCTCTGACCACCAGCTGCACGTCCTGCTACCGTTTCCCGTATTCGCGCGCGAGTTTGCCGCAGTCCAGACAGGTCAATGCAAAACGGAAGTGTGGGACAGAATGCGGCTGCTTCTACTAGGCATTCAGCAGAGGGGAGACTGCGTGAGCGTCGAAGGCACCTGTACGTCCTACATTTAAACTGAATCCACGAGGTATTATATGCCAGGAGGCTCACCGCTCAATTTGTCATCGCACAGCGCCGTTGTTTCCAACGTCAACGTGTCATAGCTTCGAGGGTTTGCACAAGACGCTGTGCTGCACGCGCAAGAGGGACGCCTTGGATGAAGGGCTACGCCAGCCGCTACGATCGGCGAGGTAGTGATTCAACATGTAACCTTTCCCTCCGCCATGCCCGTCCGCGTCATGAATGCAGGCTGAGGCTTATGGCTGCACCACCCTCGCGGGAGTCACGCGGTATATTCCAGACCGACTGGCTCGTCAACTGGAACGGACTGTATCGATGAAGGCAAGTACAGAATATACCATGGGGCTTGGCGTGAAGCATACACCGAGACCTTGTAGGTGCGTTGCCAATGGTTCACGCCTTGTTTGCAAGAACACAAGAACGTTCATAGCAAACCTCGGTTGGGTTAACACTCGTAAAATCAAGCCATGAAAAACACAAGGAACATCAGCGAGCACGCTGGTTGCTTGCTGTATGAAAGACATACCTGACTGTTTCCTCTAGCCTGCTGGTCGTTGGACCTGTACACGTGAGCCCTCTGAGGGGTTATTTACGGGCGCTTGGCGGTCGAAGGTCTACTGCTTGAGCCCCGCCAACGCAGATGGGTCCCAATACTGATGAGTAGATCGCTGTTCGTGGTCAGAGTCTACAGCGATGTGCAGTGAAGGCGGGATGCTCCCTAGGCCGGCAATACCGGCAGTAGGAGCGTGGGAAGACTGCAGCATGAGGCAGGCAGAGACGCCGAGGCGGGGATGGCTGATGGTGATGGCCTCGCCTGCGCACACACACCTTCTCTTCGTTCAGACGGCCTCCCTTCTTTGCTCACGACCACCGTCCCCAGCTCTCTGACACTGGCGACGACGACACACGCGACAGGACAATTTTTCTGAAATTTGACGCGACGGGACGTAGCTTGCGCTGTCACCATGCCGCCGAAAACCATGTCTGGGTTCTTCCTGGGCGTCGAGCTCGCCACGGACCAGCTGCGTGCGTCGATCGTGGACGAAAACTTGGAGCTGGTGGGCGTAGAGTCCGTGGACTTTGACACGGAGCTGCTGGAGTACCAGTGAGTCGTCCTCGTTGCGGCCGCTGCACTGCCTGGCAGAGAGGACATCGCTGAGACGCCGCGCGCAGGACGCACGGCGGGATCTTCACGACGCCCGGCGACGCGTACACGACGCCCGTCGAGATGTGGATCAAGGCCTTTGGTGAGTGCTTCACGGAAGCAAATCTGCTTTTTGTCTATCGACGCGTTACTCATTTCGTCACCGTGCGACCCACCTGCCCGATCCGTCGACCGCATACTGCATCGTCTGCGCAGACCTGCTCATGGAAAAGATCGGCAAGGGATACGACCTGGGGAGGATCAGGGCTATCGGCGGCGCAGCCCAGGTATGTCGTCGCACTCGCTCGCCCGCGGTCGCACGCTCACAGGCGACCCCGCGCACGGCGCCTAGCATGCGCTCGTCTGGTGGCACGCCAGCCAAATGCCCCAGCTCCAGACGCTCGACCCTCGCCTGCCGATCCACACGCAGATCCCGCTCACCGCGTTCACGATGCAGAACACGCCCGTCGCGCAGGACACGTCTGCGCACACGCATGCCCTCGCGCTCGAGGCCGCGCTCGGTGGGCCGGACCTCATGGCCGCGCGCGTAGGGACGTGCGCGCATGCGTCGCTGCTCGCGGCGCAGCTCCTGAGGGTGCGCGAGGCGTGGCCCGAGATCTGGGCGCGCACAGGCAAGGTGCAGGTCGCGAGCAGCTTCGTCGCAAGTCTCTTCTGCGGGGCGTACGCCGGCATGGGCGAGGCGGAGGCGTGCGCGACGGGCCTCTGGTCACACTCAGGGCCGCAGGCGACGGGAACACCGAGCCACTGGGACGAGGGCGTGTTGGAGATCGTGGGCGGGAGCAGGGACGAGGGCAGGCGGATCTGGGGATGGCTGGGCGATGTGGACATCTCGGGCGGGCGGCGGAGAATTGGCAGCATCTCGCGATACCTGGTCGAGCGGTATGGTTTCGATCCCGGTGCGTAGTGTGCTCTTGTCCCGTCAAACGTGGCCCTCATGTTGCACTTGGCAGAAACTATCGTCACACCCTTCACGTCGGACTACCTCTCAACATATCTTTCCCTATGTCCCACACCCTCCGATGCTGTGCTCTCATTTGGCCCTATGGACGCCCTGCTGGCTCCGGCGACTAATTACATACCCACTCGTCTGTACACCCTCTTCCCACATCCTGCCCAGGACGCTAGCGAGCGGAGACGCTACGTCCTCATGCTATCAAGCAGGAATGCAGACGTTCCTCGAGCGCTCGTACGCGACATGTACACGAAGAGCTGGAGCGCATTTGACCGCTTGGTAGCCATCGTACCGCCCGGAGGATCAATAGGGTACGCATGGTTCTGACTTCCGCTGCCGATTGCTCATCTCAGCTGACGTCAACAGACTCGACGACAAGCTCTTCAGTTACTGGCTGCTCCAAGGAGACAGCTATCCCTTCTCACATGTGAAGGGCATCTTCCGTTTCGAGACTGGTGTGAAGGTGAACGAGTTCCGGGACCTCCGTGCGAACCCCCGGTGCCTCCTCGAGAGCCAGGTTCTCTCCTTCCGCATTCGCTGGTCCCGCATGCTCTCCACCGGTGTCCTCGGGCCCAACGCCGGCCGCGGCCGTGCCGCGAACGCCTCACCAAGCCCAGTGTCCCAGCAGAAGCGCAACCCGACGGGGTCGGCAAACAACATGGGCCTCCCGTTCGACCCGTACGACTACACGCCCCTCCCAGCACGCGTCCTCTCCACCGGGGCCGCCGCCAACTTCCCGTCCATCTCCAACCTCGTCGGCGACATCTTCAACGCGCCCGTCCTGGTGCCCACCACGCAGATCGACGGCGCACAGGTCGTGCCGCACCGGAACGCGCCCCCACAGGGCTTCCCCGCGCGGGCTGCGCTCGGGGGCTCGTACGTCGCGCGGTGGGTGTGGGGCAAGGAGAAGGGCACGCCCGCGGGGACGGGCCGCGGCGGCTTCGAGGAGGAGATCCGGCGCCTGCTCGCGAAGCGCTGGGCGGCGGCGGGTGGCGCGGCGATCCGGACGAACGTGAACGCGCCGGCGGGCAGCAAGGCGCCGAGCGCGGCGGGGAGCGGCGCGAGCACGCCGTACGGGCACGGCGCGCGCTCGGCGCTCGGCGCGACGATCCTCGTGGAGGAGGACGAGGACGAGGGCGAGGAGATGGACAGGATCGGCGGGATGCAGGGCGCGTATGGGGCCGCGTTCGGCGAGGGCGACCTCGGGCGGATGCGGACGATGACGGGCTCGACGGCGGGCACGGCCATGTCGGGCAGCACCCTCGACGGGCCGTCCACGGCGTTCACCACGCCCGACTTGGGCGGGACGACGCCTACGAGCGGCGAGGCGCCCGCGCTCGACCCCGCTGCGCCGTCCACCCCCGCCGCCCTCACCCCCGTCACGGCGATGCCGACGTCCGACGCGGAGCTGCAGCTCGGCCTCGCGAAGGTCGCGGAGCCGGACGTGGACGCGTTCATGTCGTACGCCGCGATCGTGCCCGAGTTCTGCAGGCTCGAGGGCCTGATGATCAAGTCGCTCGTCTGACCGCGCGCGCCCGTGGATGTGGTCCCCTGGTCCCTGTGCTGCTGTGCTTTCGGTGTTCGTGTCGCTGTTGCTGCGCCCCCGCTGTGCTACTGCTGCTCGGTCTCACTCGCCTCGTCCCCTCTTCTCTCGTGCTGTATAGGTCCACCCCCACCCCTCCCCGCGCGCGTCTCGCCGCGTGGCCCTCCCAAAATTACATGTAGCGTTTCGTGTCTGCGGTCCACTATACCAAGGGCTGGGATCGCGATCGCAGGGCATGCTTAGTTATGGTACTCGAGCATATTGTGGTATTTAGATAGCAGTATTGGCGTATTGGCACTCTGTACTACCTCTGCAAACGGAGCGGCTTCTGCTGGCTTGTTCTCATATCTACGGATCATCCTCACTCGTGTTCTTGGACTCGCTCCTCGCGGACTGTGCGAGCCGGTTGGATCGGCTTTCAGTCTGCGCAATAGGCAAGTGACAGGATGTCGAAAGGGCGCGTGGGCGTTCTCGAGTGGCATACCAATGCGTCCGATGCGTCATATCCTTCAGGAGCAAGGAGGAGAGATCGCCCCTCTACCCCCGGGAGGGCTCAGTCTTTCAGACGAGTCCTGTGCAGACCTTTCCGTGGTCCGGGGGATAAGTAACCTCTCCGAGGTGAAACCAACATGCACAAAAAGGACTAGGGACATATCCTGCCCCTAGCCCTTAGACCCATCAAGGTCGCACAGGTCGATTAACGGCCAGATAACCCAGACCGGGACATCGCATAGGGAACCATCCCGCCATCGGACTACGGGTAACCCACCCGCTAGCCACAGACAGTGCCCTAGAGTACCTCTCCCCTCCCCCAGGCCGCTCTCCCCCTCCTTTTCTTTTTTTCGAGCGCCCACAGACCGAACACCGTCCTCCTTGGAATAAGGTTTACCTTTAGAGTTCAAGCCACCGAGCGCGAACTGTACAACTGACCTGCGCGAAAGAAACGCAACGCCTCGGCGTGACCACAATCTCCGGAACCGTCACGTGAGAACATGTCGTACCGGTCGGGAGACGGAACGAACCAGCCCAGCCAAAATCATGTGACACAACCGAACCGGAGAGCACATAAGGGAGCATAAACGCCATAAGACAACCCAGAGCGAACCCGCCACGGAAATCCCAAATCCCCGGATCCCTCTGAGCCCAGATAAACAACATGCTTTCCCCTTCGATATAATGTGATATGACACGATATAGCCTTCTCCCCAAAGCGCTAAATGAGACGTAACTCTATGAGAAGAGCGTAAGTTTCGGTTCACAAACGAGCAGAATCTAACTAAACGCTGACGCCAAACGAGAAGGTTTAAAACAGCGGACACACACCATGCAGACGAACACGCACCCTCCCCACCATCCATAGGTGACATGCCCTGTGATCGCTCTCAGTCCACGACCAAAAAGAATCCCTCGGACACTAACCGAGCACGACTACACACGGGCCCTGGGCTAAAACCCGCACGTAAACCCGTTCCTCTCCCCACCCTCCATGCAACAACCGACGACCCCTTGTCCGAAGTCACACACGTGAAAGTCCAACCAAGGCCAGTCTGGGGAGGGAGAGGATACACCTGGATAGTAGATCAGCATCCAGCGCAGCAGCTCGGAACCGGCACTCTCATCTCCATCGAGAATGAGTCGGGAAAATCAGGCACGGGGCGCCTATCATCCGCCTCCGACCTCCGCCGTCACTGGGTCACGTTCATCGTTGCCGGCGCATCCCCCCCATGCAACCTTCGAGTCCCTATTCCATGGGCCACTCTAGGAGCCCTAGAGAGCTACACGCATACCACGCACTACACCTCTCTCGCGGACCTCCCGCTCCCACACCCCTCCTTCTTCAACAACCCCGCTTTCGCTGCCGAAAACGATAACCCATACGAGTTCGATCTATGGGACGCGGACACGGAATCCCTCGAAGAAAGAATATCGCTAATCCGGAACAACGGCCGCCGCAGAGTGGGGTCTCGGCCTTAGAAGAAGATCGCAGTGGCAGGTGATGAACGAGCTGAGAAGAGAGCGAGACCTGATACGTCCATAAATGTACATAGGAACTCCTCCTACCGAGGACGTGACAGAACCGTCGGAGATATGCACGCACCGGACCCGGACTGTCCCACCAGAACACGATATGATGCAGGCTAAAACACTATCTAGAAATAAGACTGACAGGCCAGAGAACGCAACCAATCACTGCCCGGGTCGCACGCCACAACTCTGACCGGCAGGACACATGCGTACACAACTACAACGATCCCGAGACGGGCGCTCGGCATCACTTCCTGCCCACGCCAGTGCACCCTCTCATCCCAACCAGTTGTTGCACCTAATCCGAAACCACTCGACCACCGGGGCACCAGAAATGATCCCAATGAACCGAAATCCAAGTACAGACACAAAAAGGAGAAATCAACAGAGCGCCGGAGCGATGCGAACCCGACAACGCCATAGATGCCGACGAGCGAGGAGATCCCTCGCAAACGCAAACAGGAGAAGGCTTGAAACGCCCTCCTTTTGGAAACGGACATACCACCTGTACGTTTGCGAATCGCGCTGAGCGACCCACCAATCACTGATTTTCGTAACAACGAGCCATCCCTCCAGATCACCGTGCCATAAAGCCTGGCCTAATTCACTACAAGCCCCCCACCACTCGGCTCACTGCTACTTCTGCTTTACACAACCTCTGCTCATCGCTCACGACGTGTACGGCCCACCAGTACCTATGGCCCCCAAAACTCGAACCTCGAACCAAGGCAGGCGCTCGCCCGAGGCGTCTGCCGCACCGGCTCCCCAGCGAAGCACGCCGCCCTCGCCGCCCTCATCGCCTAGGACGAATCAGGTTAACGTAGCTGGCGTCACCCCCAACCCCTGGGGGGAAAATGGCTCCCGCCCAGGACGCCCGGGCAGCCCGTGTAAGCGCGATACGCCGTCGACTCTTACCACAACTAACCGACACTATAACCAGCCTACGCGGCCATGGTTGTCCGCGGCCCAGTCCTAGGCCCCACGGTAACCGAGCCCACTACGTCGGCGGCCTCTCTGCAGCCAACCCCCACCGACGACGTCCCATTGACAGCCCAACCTGTCGAGCCCACCGCCCAGGCAGCGACAGCACCGGCTCATCCTCCTCAGGAGCTGATCGACCCGCAGCCAGCCCTTGCCGAAACGCCAGATGCTCCAGGCGAACCACCGGTGCAGGATAGGAAGAGGAAGAAAAAGGTCAACAAAGGCAAGGCCCGCGAGAAGCCCATGATCCCCATCGGCAGCGGCCACCCACCTGGTGTGGCTAGGATCCCAGCCTGGGAGACGGATGAATACCAAAGGCACGTCAGCGAATCTCGGAAACGTCGTCGTGTCACAAACGACAACCTCTCCGAACGTGCCCCGTCCCCACCCGCGAGAGTCCAGGACTCACCCGGCGCATCGTTCGCGCAGACAGCCTCGCTCGATTTTGACATGTATCTGGAGCCTGACCCGGAACGTGAGCCCACGACTAGCGAGGCCTACGCCAGGTTCGGCATTGACCCTCGTCTCCTGACAGACGAACATTTTCCTCCGCCGTTCATGACCAAGGACGCGCAGTGGGTCGATCCGAAGGCCCCGAGGTGGGCCAACGCCTCGATACAACGGGACGTCTTCTGGAGCCCGGCGGGCGAGAACACGGAGGCCGGGCCATCGAACTCTCACCGGGAAGCCTATGGGGAGCCGTACCAACACCCTGCTACGAGAGGCGAGCAAGGTAAAGCACCCACGTGAGACCCGCTTACATGTCGCGCCCTAACATTGTACGAAAGTCACCTACAGCGCGCCTGCCACGCCGCAGCTGTACGGGGATTGCACCGATACGCGATCAACGCCGCACCCCCCCCGCTATGAACCCCCCCATGTGCCGTTCAGCGATCGCACATCGCATCCTCCCCGTGCAACCGCCTCTCGGATCGCGTCCCCCACTTTGGTCCCCCGAGTCCCCTACATAGCGGGCCAGACTCGTCACGGACCGAACGCTCCGTCTCCGGGCCCGTCCGGATACCATCGCTCTCCGTCGCAGCGCCTCTCGCACAACGAACATCCCAATAACCCTGTCACTGCCATACGGCGCCCTCTCCCTGCTACAGGCGGCTTCGCCTTCCCCATCCCGGCCCCGCCGCGTACACCTGCGAGCCAAGAGGACGGAGATATCAACATGCACGACGATGGCGATGACAACCGCCCCCCACGAGCCAGCACCTGCGCAACTCGGATGTCAACGCGAACGCCAACCCCAGCTACCGAACCCACACTACGACAAACGCCCAGGTCCCTCCCCCTCTACCTCCTGTCGCAGCTCCGGCGCACGGACCAACGCACCACGACTACGTTCACCACCAGCAAGGACCCGCGCCTCTGAACGTCCCCATTGCACCAGTAGCCCCGCTGATGCAACCAGGAGCGCCACCTGCAGCGCATGGCGCGACTCCAGCGCCCCCAGGCGGCTGGACCCTAGTCGAAGGTGATTCGTTCTACCATATCGTCGACGGTATGGGCCTGGACCAGATCAACGCATGGGTCGTCAGCGCGAGCGAACGCCCTACCTTGGTCGTCTTTGCTTTCGGATCATCCCCGGGCGACCCAGGTAGATGGCAGCGTATCCTCGATATGCGCGACGCCCTACGTATCCGCTACGGAGTACTTGAGGCAGAGATCACACCTTCCACGCCGATACACCCGGACGTGCTCGAAAACTCAGGTCCATATTACTACCTAGTACAGAACATCACCATCGAGCAACGTGACGCCATGATCACTGACCGCGTGCTCTCTACGACTGCTATATCCCTGTACTTCACTCCCCTCCAATTCGGCCCGCCCAACCTCGCGGGCACCTGGAGCGACCCCGAGTGTTTCGGCGCCACGACGCCCGCCGGCATCGCTGGCGCGATCGCGAATGCTCTGAGCCGACCGGACCTCGCACGAGATATCCAAGGAATTATACGGACGGATATCGAAGCCGGAGGAAGATGGCGCCATGTCACGGTCGCCGTTGCCTTCCGCGCCCTGCTCGACTCTATCCGCGTAACTATCCTCGACTATCGCACGCAAGGAGGAGTCCTCACCCCGCTCGTACTCCTATACTGTGAGTCTCCTACGGCGAACCCGGTCGAGTGGAGCGGTTTCCGTACGCTGCTCAGCTTACAACGCCTCGGCACGCCCCTGACTGGCCACCCTACATGGTGGATGGACCACTTTCGCTGCCTCATCTGCCACTCTGTAGCGCACCCTACCGGACTCTGCCCGATGCCGGCAGTCCAGGGATGGCATGGCCCGACGCCCAACTCTGAAAGCATCCGCCGTCAGATGAACACCCTTGCGAACGTTCAAGCCCAGGCAAACGGAGCCGCACAAGCCCAGCGAGGCGGCCCGCGAGGCGGCGGAAGAGGCGGACGAGGCAGAGGCGGGGGCGGACGCGGGCACGGACATGGGCGAGGTGGCAGAGGTCGCGGCGGCGCGCGCGGCATGTAATCCACTACGCTATATCTCGAGATTCCCCTGCCCGCTACGTAGTCACGCGATTTGACGTTGGCCGATGACCCCTACTTCTTGATATGCATGTACCCTCACGACTACTACGCACGAATAACACCACCTGCGTTTGACTCCGAATATGCGCCCTCCTTTGCGATTAACTGCACCAACTAATCCCGGCGGATGAGACACCACGCGAGCCCACATATACTGACCGCGCGCGGGACAGGAAAGCCGCAGGACTTGTCCGCTGACCATCCCCTTCCCACCTATAGCATGGGCACTCCTAGACTTGCCCAGCCGAGAGGCTTAAGCAACCGCACTCGCATGAGTGTGCGCGCATGTCCCCTGAAAGCCCCAGGAGTGGGCTTCGCCCCCTGTGGATCGTTGTAGCAGGGTGTGCGTGCAGCAACGGCTACAAACATCATCATACATAACCCCACGGACGTATCTTTGGCACACGGAACACCTCTCCCTCGACGAAGAGGCGACGGCGCGCCCCCTGTCCACGACATCTCCAATGACTCGACGAGGGAACACGGAGGCAGGGTGACCGCTCAGGGGCCTCCTGGCGCCCCTGATTGCGGCCAGGCACCCAGACTGAACTTAAGAGAGACCGCAAACATGAGTGAAATGAACGCACCTGCACCCAGGATCGCCCGCCCAAACGGCAGACGAACGAAAGCATCTCTCCACCTATGCACTCTGAATATAAGCGGCCGAGGCTCCTTCGCAGCTGAGAATGGAAACAATAAATGGAACACGGTTAATCAAGTTCTGCGTGAACGGAAAATCGGAATTCTTGCGCTGCAGGAATCACACCTGGACGAGGAAACCGTAAGCCAAATACATAGGCTATATGGACGTAGAATAAAAATAATACACCCGGCCGCAGCAGAGGCAAACGCACGAGGAGTCGCCTTTGTGCTCAACCGAGAAATAGTAGACACAAATGAAGCCCAAATAATAGACGTCATTCCAGGCCGCGCCGCCATGCTACGACTGCATTGGCACGCGGAGAAATACATAAATATACTCAATGTATATGCCCCCAATAACATGAGAGACAACGCTGCCTTCTGGGGCAAACTGGAAACAAAGCTGGGAACGGCGGAGATACCCACCCTGGATGCGATACTAGGTGACTTCAATGTGGTAGAAGAACCGATAGACCGGCTGCCCTCCAGAACGGACGCCCCCGCGGCGGTAGAAGCCCTACAGAGCCTTATACGGAAAGCGAAAGTCATCGACGGATGGAGAGCGACCGAGCCCACGACGAAAGACTTCTCCTTCCCTCAGCGAGGCAGCCTATCGCGCTCAAGACTGGATAGAATATATGTCACAAACGATGTGCTGCAACAAGCACACAGCTGGTCAATAGAGAACACCACCGTACCCACAGACCACCGTTTGGTTGGCGCTCAACTCAGCAATGCCCAGGCCCCATATATCGGACACGGGAGATGGTCATTCCCCATCCAGGCGCTCGCTGACAACACGCTCATCAACGAGATTGTGGAAGCGGGCGAAACCGCATGGGAAAAGGCTCAAACCTGCATAAAAAGCGATACCCGTACAGACACCTACAACCCACAGACAATCTTCCGTGACTTCAAGAAGGACGTCCAGACAATGACGAGAAATCGACTGCGCGCAAAAGTCCCGAAACTAGACGCGGTGATCCGTAAGTTACGAGAAGAGATCAAAAGGACAATGTCTCACCCCCAGCTCGGCGAAGACGTGGAGTACCAAACTGAGGTGGGAATTATGCAAGACCGACTCCGGGAGCTGGAACATAAACGGCATGGCTCCACCCGGACGGCCACCACAGTATGCTATGCACTCAACAAGGAGAAACTAAGCAAATATTGGTCAACGATAAACAAAGAGAAGAAACCGAGAGACGTGATATACGCACTCCGAAAGCCAGGCTCCTCCCCTCCGCAGTACGAGACCCGATCAAACAAGATGGCGGAACTGGCTAGGGACTACCATGAATCACTGCAAATGGACGGAATAGATGATGGCCAAGACAGGCACACACGACGGGCAGTCATAGCGGACTCGCTGCAACCAGTAAAAGTCAAAATACCGGAGGACCTGCTACGAGGCCTAGAAGAAGGGGTGAGCCGCGACGAAATCGTGGATGCCCTCAAAAAGGCCGGTCACGGAAAAGCAGCGGGCCTGGACGGTCTCCCATACGAGCTGTGGACGAAACTGAATGAAAGATGGTCGAACCCGACAAAGGACTGCACGCACGAATTTGATTGCATAAGCATGCTCCACCTCGTCTACGAAGACGTAGAAAGATACGGAATATGTCCCACCTCCGGCTTTGCCGACGGGTGGATGTGCCCCCTCTATAAGAAGAAGGATAAACGTGACATCGCAAATTATAGACCAATCACCTTGCTCAACTCGGACTATAAACTATACACCAAGATACTCGCGACCAGGCTTGGAGAAGTCGCCACCACAGTCATCCACCCAGATCAGGCAGGCTTCGTGCCCGGACGACACATCACCGACCAAACCCAGTTATGTAGGGTAATGGTGGATTACGCAGAGGCGGTCGAGGAAGATGGTGTAATTATAGCACTTGATCAGGAAAAGGCATATGACAAGATCACGCACGATTACCTATGGGAGGTCCTAGCCCACCTCGGCTTTCCCACCCGTTTCATACGACGGGTCCAAGAGCTATATAAACATGCCTCAACGATAGTAATACTGAACGGAGAGAGCAGCACACCCTTCATAGTAATACGAGGTGTGAGACAGGGAGACCCACTGTCATGCCTGCTCTTTGACCTCGCAATTGAACCCCTTGCGTGCGCCCTCCGCGCCTCTACACTCCGCGGTTTTCAAATCCCCGGCGCCGCGACAAGGGTCTTAACATCTCTGTTCGCAGACGACACATCTGTGTTCTTGTCGGCACAGGACACCTGGTCCGACCTATGGGTGATCCTCGACAAATGGTGCAATGCCTCGCGTGCCCGTTTCAACGGAGGGAAAACCGAAGTGATCCCGATCGGAACTGAAGAGTACCGCCGCCGCCTAGTCACGGATCGTATCATCAATCCCCTACAACCAGAGGAACGTATCCCGGAAACCGTACACATCGCAAGAGATGGCGAAGCCATACGCATCTTAGGAGCATGGATAGGGAATAAAGTTGACCATGTTGCCGTTTGGACCCCCGCCATGCAGAAGGTTGAGGCCTTCCTGGACCGGTGGGGGAAGTGTAACCCGTCCCTACAAGGGAAAAGGCACATTGTTCAGATGGGCCCTGGAGGGATAACCCAGTACCTATCGGCGGTCCAAGGCATGCCGAAGGAGATAGAAAAGAGACTCACCTCAATGATCCGGTCTTTCATATGGGGGAACACGAGGACCCCGCCTGTAGCACTCGACACGCTCTATCGTCCTGTAAAGCAAGGAGGACTGGGACTCCTAGACATTAGAAGCCGTAATGAAGCCATTGAATTGGTTTGGGTAAAACGGTATCTAACGCTCTCCGATGCAAGGCCGACATGGGCTTTCGCGATGGACGTTCTGATCAGCAAGTGTGCAACGAGGGACGCCAGCGCGATTAGGCCAGAAGCCCAAATCAATACCTTCCTCCAAAGCTGGAGCCCCGCAACACACAGCCGATCCCCTCTCCCACCTTACGCACAACGGATGCTCCTAGTGGCAAAGAAGCACAATGTTAGCTTTGCAGCGATAAAGCTGGATAGACGAACGAAAGAAATGCTCCCTATGTGGTACCATCTGGGCGCCACGAAACGCCTGCGAACACTGAACAACACGCCGCGAAGTGACTGCCTCCGGCGAGTGCACCACGCCACACAAGTACACGATCTAATCATGATCACCGGGAGAGCGTGCTTTATGCAGCTCCGCGAGACCCAAAATGACCACACCCCGGATACATGTGGCTGCACCCCATGTACCGAGGATAAACTGGCAGGCTGCAAGAACCCCCTGAGATGCTGCAGAGCAGCACATGAAGTATTGAAGCAAATACGCCCCAAATGGGACCCAGTACAGCGCTCGCCGACAGATGGCCTCTCCCTGACGAGGAGGCGAAAGGATAAAAACGGTCAGGCACTCGAAGACAGCGAGGAAGTCACCTTCGACCCGTCCCTGACCTGTAGGGGCCCCCTGGACGAAGCCTTTCGTGCTTTCGTGGACCCGATGGTTCACGACCAGCCCCCCGCGATCAGACGCAGACAAGGACGCATCGTAGAGGATGAAGCGACAACAGTCTACATCCTTGGTTACCTCAAACAAGGGCACTGGCCCGACGGGAACTTTGTTCCGCACCAACAATCAGGCTACGTCTTCTACCCTGCAGCTCCCGAGGAGAGCGTACAAGTCATGCCAGAGGACACGACACCGGCTGCGAACCACCCACAAGGCGAGACACTAGCAGCCCTGAAAGCGGTCCTCGACGCACCATGGGACGCGCCCTTACACATAGTGTCATCATCAGCCCAACTGGCGGAAGGCATGACACAAAAGCTCCCACTCTGGGAGGACCGAGGGTGGATAGAAGTAGATGGGGCGACGTACACAAGGGCCCTGGTAAACCAACTCAGACAACGATGTGCCATCACCACTTTCCGAACACCCCGAAGTGGAGGCGAAAAGGACACCATGCTTGCAGCACGAGACCACGCTGTAGCATCATATGTCCAAAGTCCACCCCAGCATGTCCCGCCCCGGGTAACAAAATCCTTCGACCTGTCCGGGGCGAAGATGTCCACACTGACACAAGCCCTAGCATACCGCGGCATACGGGCATCTGCCACCGCGACTGAGAGGCGCACCACGAACAAGCACCTCTCGGAAATACGTGCCTGCCTGGCACCCAGGAAAGGCCCTGTACAAGACGGAGAGATATGGAGCGAAATCCGCCATGCCGATATTCGCCGTGTAATAACGGATTTTCTCTGGAAAAGCATACATGGCGCATATCGTATCGGATCCTACTGGAAGAACATACCCGGCTACGAAGAAAGGGCGAAATGCAGGCTCTGCGGTGTGACCGAGTCAATGGCCCATATCTTGACGGAATGCGCCGCGCTAGAACGGTGGCTGATATGGGGCTATGTTGAAAGGGCCTGGACCCGAACGGGTAGAGCCTGGTCCATGCCGTCGTGGCCGTCGATCCTCGCCGCTGGCCAGGCTACACCGGCGCGAACGAACGGTAAGCCCCCTAGAGACAACGCGGTGAGACTCTGGCGCATACTTCTGACTGAGGCCGCCTACCTTATATGGTGCATGCGATGCGAAAGAGTCATACGACATGAAGACGAGGCAGCATGGCAACACGACGAGCGCAGCGTCGCAGGACGGTGGTACCTATCCACAAACAGACGCTTGAGGCTCGATATCGAGAGCACACACTCGCGTTTTGGCAGGCTGGCGCTAAAGCGCCAAATAGTCCTCGACACATGGCACCAACTCGTTTGGGACGTTCAGGCGCTCCCTGACGACTGGACCTCGGTCCGATGGGTTTTAGTGGGTATTGACCCGACCATAGTTAATAACGCTGGTCCTGGGTCCTGAGTCCCACACTGGCTCACCAAGCCGTGCGTAAATGCATTTTATCCCTGGTTGCGCCGGCGGGTCATTCCGCTAGCTGGCTGGTAGTCTCATACCAAGACCCTCCACACGGCGCTAGTGTGGAGGGTCTTGTCGCAAAGTCCGGGGTCTTGTAGGGTTCTGGGGGGTGGCGGGGCAATACAATTTTTACTTATCTTGATAACAAAGCACGATAACACAAGTTGTAATCGAGATAACTGTTGGCTCTATTGCATTGATCTATACAGTGCCGCGGAACATCGCACACACGAAAGTCATCATGTCCCAGCTTCGCAGGGTCGAAAAAATCAAGACTGTCCTCGAAACCATCAAAGAACAACGTTGGACCTCTGTCAACGACTTTCTGCTTGCGTACTACAACAGCAATGATCCCGACATCGCCCAACAAGCCCGACGCAACATCGCTTACACGGATGGCAAACGCTTTGCCCCCGCGCAGATCCTTGACTCGTGGTTGGAGTCGGCGCACGGAGAGACGAAGCATCAGCTCGAGCTGATGATTACACATAAAGCCGCTGACATTCTCGTCAAGGAATCGACAAAGGCTTGTCATGACCATAAACTCAAGCTCGCCTCGACGAAGGTTGACACGGCATACCTCTCGACGGACTTCGCACTATCAAAACTCGCCGCGATGTATCAGGCCATGTTGCCATGCATGTGGTTGTTGCTCATGACAGTCCTCACTGCGACAAATGATTACGAGCGAAAGAAGAAGAAGGAGAAGAGAGATAAAGACTCGAAAATTCCCCCGGTTCGTCTCGTGTTATACTGCACGTCAGAAATGCGACGATTCTTATTGTGTCATTCATAGGTGATTGTCATCATCATCAGCATGCTTCTATTTGCTCGCAACCGCGCAACAAATCTATTTCAAGTGGTCATTGGCATCTTCTTGTCGAGCACGGGAGCGGGGCGCCGGGTCATCAATACCTTCAATCATATGGGCCTATCTGTCAGTTACGAGTATGTACAGCTTTTCAAATGGCCGTCAGAATCTATGGATGTTAAGTAAAATTAGCACAGTCCAGCGGTGTCTCGTGGCTCTGTCAGACAGTTCGAAAGAGCATGCGAATCAGTTCATACGAACAATGGTTCGGTTATGGGCATTGGTCTACGACAACATCAACTTCACTCTCCGGAAGGCTTCGCAGCGGCTTGACAGCACTACAACACAGTTGAATGCCACAACATCAGCAGTCTTTTCGCTGCCAGCGAAGTTTACCAGGGCTAGCTATGCCACTGCGCTGTCGATCGCCGAGCGGAACAAGAACTCAGGAAAGCGTTCGCTATTCACACTGCGCGATCTTGCGCTCACTCCGGAAAAGCAAGCCCAGCTCACGGACGCCTTCCGCCACCATGTGCGTGTTATCCTGTTGCAACATGCACCGGGTCTCAAGACGGGAGGTCGACGGAGTCGGAAGCTATGGAAGCGGGTCAAGGAATCGAAGCCACAGATCCGGGTTCTCTCGCACGAGAAAACAGAATTCTATCCTCTTCCAGCACTCGCGCAAGAAGAAGCCTCGGTGGCAGGAACTATCAAAGTCGTTGTGAAGCTCTTCACCCAGGTGCTCGGCCTGGTCGAAGAGGTTGTAGTGTCGGAGCTACGGCTACTCGTTGGCGACTGGTTGACCATCCGCAACTTACGCCTTATGAAGGATGAAGTGGCCGAGGAATTTACGGCGTTCGCACGGATGGATTGGGTCCAGGAGGTAGCAATGCCTTTTCATTTCCAATTGAATGCGATGTACATGCTGTTCCGTACACACCTCGGGTTCCCAGGCGACAACAATCCCAGCTCGCTCGAACATCACCGGATGCTACTGAAGCGATCCAAACTCGACCCGAAGAAACCTGAGTACAACAAGGCGAAGGAACTTGTGTATCATTCCCTGATTGCACGGATCTTGGACTGTACCCGGTATGATCTTCGATGGCCAGCGAGCTCAGCTTGTGGCTTTCGTTCACTAAAATTGAATGTACTGACACTGTACTTTCACTAGCACATCACTTGGCTATGATAACCATCAGAAGCTCAAGAGCTGGAAGCCAAAATGGGAAGATTTCAATGCTGTAGTCAACAAGATCGTGGCGGACTATGCATCGACGAGGGCTGCACATACAGCACTGCTCACAGGTGACGAGGTACTTGCACATTCAATCCTGTTCATCCGTGATGCCCTGCTCTTCCGAGAATTTTCGGAGGCCATACAGGATGCGGATGTGGGTCGTATGTGGCTTGTACATGATTTCTGGGTGTTCATGATGCGCGGGGCGGGTTGTCACAACTATGGGAACGAGATCCTCGAGATGAAGGCACAATTTACCCATGTATTCCCTCCTATGCTCTGTGAGGTTATCGAGCATACATGGCTCGTCAATCGGTGGGGAAAGAAAGGGCGATCTATCCCAACAGATCTGTACTTAGAACACAACAACGGATTTCTGAAGGTATGTTTGATTGACCACTCGAAGCATATGACTCAGGCTAACACATGGTAGAATATGTTTGCAGCAACGGGAAGCAACGCCTCGATGGACGACATACAGAACAAGTCATCCGCATGTGTTGAGGTGCTTCGTAGTCTCGCACATGACGTTGCAACGTACTTTGGTGTCAACGACTTTCACCGATCACACAGTGAAGTGAGCATTGAGGGCGACATCGAAGCTCTCTGTCTCGACCTCAAGGAGCAAAGTGTACATACATTCAAGGCAGACAGACGCATCCCACCACCTCCTACACGATCTCGTGGTACATCAAATCGCACGCGCAAGCCCAAGCGCACAACGGGCGTACGCGATGTCCTAACTGAAGGACGACAAGCTCTTACACGAGGCGGCCTCTTTGAACAGTGGTTAAACCGTGCGACGGACGACGACACGCGTGGCGAAGATGCCGGAGGCGATCTGGATGACGCGGTGGAGACAGGGACCGCTTTTGATGACCCCGACGGTCACATGGAGGTCGATGTCGAGTTGGATGAAGAGTTTGATGGGATTACAGAAGACTATGGAGACGAGGATGAGCATGAATAATTGAGTGCCAAATAATCATGCTACACGCACTGCGATTTCACGTTGGTGGGCGGACGTGACTTGGGATTGGCGAGAAGATATCGAATATAGGGTTCTTGCTGTTCTCGTACGACATCTGCGACAGGGTCTCATCGTGTAGCGATGGGCGGTGAACTGGAGGTTTGTCTTTCGTGCTGGATCCCTCATGCTGTGGCTGAGACGACCCCTCAAGGCGGAAGCTACAGTCGATGAATGAGGACATGTCCATGAAACAGGATAACTTACTACTCACGTTAGCATCATATCAGCATAAGCTGATGCATGCGCAGAAGCCCCCTGTGACGGTCCACTCCTCGTCGGTGAATCAGGTTCGGGACCTATCTGCTGCTTCGGCCTTTTGTTCTCCTGAGCACCATGCCGCACTTCGAAAGCGACGCAGAACTCGCGAATGACTGCGAGCAGCGACGTCATGGTGTCTTCGTCTGTCATCCAGGTAATGAGGTTGTCGATCAAGAGCGAGTCGACTGTACGGGCGGCGCCCAGGATGATATGGGCCTTCGAGACAAGAGTACTGATATCAAGGTCATCCATGACCCAGTCAGGCGACAAGAAGGGATTATTGTCACGGATGGCGGCCCAACGCCGGTCGCGCCATGCAACCAGTATGTCTCGAAGCTTGTCTCGCTCGGCTTGTGGGCAACGACGCGTCGGTGATGCGGGAGTGGCAGAATCGGGAGCACCAGAGTGAACTTCGCTAGTGGCTGGACGACGAAGAGAGTCACTCATTGCCAGGATACGAGCACGCTCAGCATCCGTCAATACGCCAATGGGCACATTGTCGTCGAGTCTGCAGCATCGCGCACTACAGCAGGCGCCAGGTCGAGGCTGTTCATTGCGTGTCTTCTTCTCCCACGTGTATCTTGATCTCAGGCCGCTCTCCTCTGTTTCTTGACCCTCGCTTTCATAGCCAGAGAACGTCTTGAAGGCTGGTTCTGGACGCAGGTACTGTGTGGCAAACTCTCGCATGCACCGATCAGACTGCGTCCTGTTGATGTACTCTCGTGTCGCCGGGTCCAACTTCGCTCGTTTCTCGCTGCCTGGATCGCGCGACGACTTTTGCACGCGTGGCGGCTCAACCTTCCGACCTGCACCTGCTGGTGCTACGACTACCTCTTTGCAGGGCTGGGGTTGAATGCCCAGCCTTGTACCAGCCATACCATTGTCCCGAAGAGACCGGCTTGACGTACTGCACGCCCGCCCTTCTGAAACGCCGAAGGAAGGTCCTCAACACCGTAGATGATGACCCAAATGACGTCTGGTATGTCACATCCCATCCCTGCAGCATCGGTGCACAGAAGCCAGCGAACTGTGCCCTCGCGAAACCACTTCAACACGGTCGTCTTGTACTCTTCGGACAATACCGACGTGAAGATCCGAAGGCACTTGCGTAGGGCCGTGGTAGTAGGTTACGCAGCACTCGACAAGCCCGTCGCGCTTGCCGCCGTGTCGAAAAATAGAAGATGGATTTTGGGAGATCGGATGCGGTGAGTGGGCTCTCCGGGATGAATGCGAAGAGATCGGCAAAGCTATTGATAGGGTATTCCATGCGACGCACCCACTGCGCGATCGAAGGACGGTCGGCACCGAGGTCGATACCCCAAAACGGCCGTGTCGTGCCCATGTGCAGCGATCTCCCACAAAAGTTGAAGATTTCCGTAGGGAACGTTGCCGAGAAGAGTGCCCATGGTATGTCCATCCCCGTGATAACACGGAGCTGTCTGAGCTCCCCATAGTCGACTCGGAAGTTCTTCGACCATGTGTAGATGACATGGGCTTCGTCAACAATAATCGCAAGGATGCGCCGTCGGAAGGACTCCTTGCGAAACAGTTGTTTGAACTGGTTATGATGCAGGAGACATTCTGGCGAGGCGTAGCAGAGGCGTGTGCGTCCGTTGTCCAGCTCGCGAAAGACGGAAGGCTCATTGTTATCCTCGTTGATAGCGATCGACCGGATGCCATTTGGCATCGGGTTCGCCTTTTCACCCACGACGAGAGGCGCCTCGCTGGCGCCCGAGGTTTGTCCCGCCGCGTTCAAGCGGCGAACCTGGCAGTGCAAGTGTAAGGTAAGTACAAAACAATCGGACTGTGTGTACGTACCTGATCTAACTGCAGGGCTTTAAGTGGGCATACAACAAGGACGAGTCCATCGGATTTCGTCAACTCAGCTGCAATTGCAAGCAGCGCGAATACGAGTGACTTGCCCGCCCCTGTGCCCGCGATGATCATAGAGTCATTGGTCTCAAGGATCTTCGTGGCTGCACCGAGCTGCCAGTCCATAGGTCCGTACCCGAAGACGTGTTTTGTAGCTAATATCCATTCGTCATCAGGTATCCATGCATTAAGACGAGGCCAGCGAGGCGGCGGCGGCGGCGGACGGGTAGGAGTGGGCAGGCGACTCGGAGATTGCTGGACGACGTCGTTCGGAGGGGCTTGTATAGGTTCAGGCCTTATGCCTGGACTACGACTTGCTGAGGGGGTGGCAACGCGCGGTGTCTTCCGCCGACGCGGGGTGTCGGTTAGCAAGCTGAGAGGAGTCCCAGCAGGCGAGAATGGAATCATGATCGAGGTGGACGGTCGTAGTGGGTCAAATTCGAATGCTATTGCTCGAGATTGCTCGCCGTACATCGCTCCGTTACAGTCCTGTAAGCCGGCAATAACAGTACGATCTAATCGTGATAACAATGCTATCTAACGAATTTTGTATGGAGATAAGAAAAGATTGTTATGCCGCGCCACCCCCCAGAACCCTACAAGACCCCGGACTTTGCGTCAAGCCCCTCACACGTGAGGGGCTTGTGTCGAACCTAAGCTGGCTGGGTCTTAGGGGCTGACCGATTGTCAACTGCCTAGGACCTTTTTGGCCCTCCAAAAAAAAAAAAAAAAAAAAAAAAAAAAAAAGAGATCGCCCCTCTACTTCGCATCAGTGTCAAACGCTGAATGCAACAATGTTCCCAATAGGATTCATGGGTGGTCCAGAATACAACATTTTAACTGTTGAGCGGTCGGGCTATGTTTGTACAAGTACAGCGCAAGGCGGTGGTGTTCATTGGTGTATACATTTGCGTTCATGCGGCACTACGCCGCTCAGTGGGCACAGCACGCACCGCCGTCCTGCGAGAACGCCGCAACGCTGCGGGAATCGTTCGCGCCAGGGACGTCCATGCTGGGGTTAGACTTGAAGAAGTTGGTGGGCCTGAAGACGACCCGGACGTGCTCGGCAGGCATGACCGGCCAGTCTTCGGGCCTCGGAATGTGCGTGATACCTACGCCACGAACAGATCAACGCCGTCCGCACACCACGCCTCGAGAGAAAGAGAGCGCACCTGTGGTAAGGAACAGCAAGATATCCTCCTCCTCGAGGCTATCATCTCCCTGCACCCACCCCGCGACCGAATCCGCCGGCGTCTCGCGCGTCTGCGGCATGTACTTCCCGCTCGGCCACATCCGCCCGCCCCTCTCCGTCTCGACGTCGCGCACGACCCAGAGCGGCTTCGTCGCGAACGGCGCGCGCGTCGCGACGATGCCCCCCTCGCGCGTCTTCAGCGGGACGCTCGCGCCGCGCATGCCCGCGATCGTGTACCCCGCGAGCTTGCCCGAGTACGGGTGGCGCCGCTTCGGGTTGACGATCGCCCAGCGGCGGTCGCCCTCGTAGTTGATGTCGCGCCCGCCGTCGCGCGCGCGCGCGATCGTCGTGCTCTGCGTGAGGAACGCGTTGCCCGCGTGGTTGGAGCGCGCGTCGGGCGGGAGGGAGACGACGTCCGTCTCGACGACACTGTTCTGCAGGCCGTCGACCATCGGGTCGACGCGCACGGAGAAGATGTGTTGGTGGTAGTGCGCGTTGATGCCCGGCGCGAGCGTCGTGCCGAAGGGCGTCGGCTCGTCGTCCGCCTTGACGTACACCTGGAGGATGCCGGTGAGGCGCACCTCCATCTCGATGTTGCCGTCCTGGTAGAAGAACCAGTTCCAGATGTATTCTGGGGGACGTCGGTGAGCCCAATATCGGGCGCAGACGAGAAGGCTGCATACCGTAGTTCGCCAGCGTGCAGATCATGCTGACGACGAGTCGGCGGCTCCGCACGGCGTGGGCACGGCCGCCTACACGGAAGTCGGTGTGTTTCCAGAGCAGCCCTGCGTCCTCTTCGTGGATGCAGATGACGTTCTTGATCACGACGGCGCTACCATCGTGTGCGTGTAGGCACCAGGCTGTAAGTACAAGGTTCCGTCAGGCCCTACAAACATACGTACGTTCAGAGCGTACCAGATAGTGGATCTGTCCGAGGCAATCACAGCCCAGTGATAACTCGTTCGCCATCGTCCCCATACCGTACTCGCCGCTGTGTGATATAGTCAGCCATACGAGCGCTACGAGCACAGTTCACGACACCTACGCATCGAAGGCGTGTTTCCGCGGGTGCGGGTGCTCCGGCGCGCCGTACGGCACGACCATCTCCGCAAGCGACAGCCTGTAAAAGATCGGGCGCACCTCGCCGTCGTCGTCATACGTGATCGTCGAAATCGCGATGCCCTCGCGGTGATGGAACGCTGCACAAACTGCTCAGCTAACGGGTACCAGCGCACGCACGCCACACACCGATGTGCATCTTCCACTTCTGCCACGCGAGCACATGCCCGTCCACCGTGAAGCTGACGCCCTCCGGCTGGACGACGTGCAGCGGCTTGAGGTCGTCTCGCACCTTGAAGGTCTCGCCCGGCTTCTGCGCCATGAGGTCGGGCAGGAAGTCCCATGCCTCGCGCGGGGGCGGGATCCGCGCGCGCTGTGCGGCTTCGAGCTCGTCCACGTCGAGCGGGGGCGCCGCGGTGGAAGACGCGGATAACGCGCTGTCCACGCCGTAATCCTTGTAGAGCGAGGAGGTGGGGGAGGCCTGGGGGAGGTACCGGGGAGGGAAGTCGATGTGGATGACTTTCTGGGCGAGGGAGTCGACGACGGGGATGAAGTCCTGTTGGAGGGGTTCAGTATTGGTTGACGAGGCACAATATGCCGAGCACTGACCATTGGGTGTGCGTAGAGGTTGTCATGCTGGGAGAAGCGAGCGAACAGCAGGGCCTGCTGGATGCGCGCCTTCTTCGGGAAGCGGTCGTCGTACCCGATCGCCCAGCCGTCGGCGTGGAGCTGCTCGGGGTTATGCCTGGCTCGGTGTCACTAATCGTGTCGATGAACCAGCGAGCTGATACACTCACCAACGTCGGCGGCTAGCTTCTGGACCTTCTTGTCCTCGCGGATGATCTTCTCACAGAGGAGCAGCTCTTCCACTGTGATCTGCGGCTGCACGCCCTCTGGGAGCTTCTCAACCGTGTTGACTTCCCATTGTCCGTCCTTCAGCGAGAGGATGGTGTTGTACGAGGCGCTGTGAGAGTGTGAGCGTCCCGAGGATCTGTGGTTGGCTGAAGGGATCTGCGCACCCAGTGACTACATCACAGAACTGATCGCCGATCGTCAGCCACAAACTACGAAGCGAGTGCGTTGCACGTACATCAGCCTCTGCTTTGCGCACGATCTGGGGCGCTGGCTCCGCCTTCTCTCCGGGATTGAGCGGTATGCCCAGGAATGCGAGGACGGCCTTCTTGGGCGGCGGCAGCAGGTAGCTGGTGATGAACCTGATCGCTTTGATGTCCGTCTTCGCAGCTGTATACCGACGCACGGCCAGCCCGACTTGGACGATCTGCGCGATCGTTGAGTTAGTGCAGTACGCAGCAGGCGCGTCTACTGCACCTCATCGGGAGTCAGGGGGTCCAGAGGGTGCTTGAAGGGAGGGATCTTCGCGTGGGTGGTCTCCTGGACGGAGGTCGCGGTGGCAGGGGCTCTATTCTCGAAGGACATGATAATTCTGCTTGCAAGAGCGGCGGGAGGTGCGATGCGGGTGGGTCTCAGGATCGCTCTGGCGCGCGATCCTGCGAGGGTGTCTCTATATAGCTCCGGAGGTCATGCTCCTTGTCGAGAAGAAGTGTAGAGCCTGGTTCTGACCATACGCTTGTGGCGATAAGTGAGCCGTCTTTGGATAAGCCGTCGCTTAGATAAACCCCTGTATCCGATCGAATCTAGACCCGGCGGCACGGATTCATCGGAAGACCGCGATCTTGTCCTCGAAGGCTTCACCAAAGCGAGCACCAACGAATGCTGGCTTCACATATGCCGCAGATCAGCAAAGTGCAGGATACATCTCTCACAAGCAGTCAGTTGCATTACTCACCTCTGTAAGATTTGATATTTTCTCTAAAGATAACCGAAGAGAATCGGAAGACTGTAAAAGTGAGATTGTCGATGTAAATAGCTCACGGAGATGCCCTTGTATCTAGACGACGCACCGAAACGGACATGCACATAGAAAATTAGCCATCTGCACAGACATGCGCAGATGGCGAGAGCAATTCCCATGAAGCAATTTGCGCAGAGACACGTCATATAAGTCGCGCACGATACAATTCCTGGGGTATCAGCCGCTCTATCAAGATATATTTAGGTCAAAAATTGGGAGGAGGACGGGGACTTACGGGCCTACGCAACGCAGCGCAGGCAGGCGGGGTTAGCGACGAGGTTCAAGCGCCCACAGGCAAGGCTCGCTGGCGAGCGAAGCCAAAGCACGGATATCTGTAATTGTGTTGCGGCACGTTTCATCAACTTGAGGGATATGTCTTTGCAATATACATTGCTCTGTGGGATCATACACTTGTAACTAGTACTGCAAATCCAATAAGCACAAGTGACCTCGCGTTAAGAGAGAGCTCGACGCACCACTACGGTGGGTATTTTCGTGCCCGGCTGTTCACTCTCAAGATAAAGTGAGAATATCCTCTACCGCATTGAACAGCATAGTAGAATATGTAGTGTCAGTACGCCATGACATGCAGGCTAGTGTTGTAAGCTCGGCCAGCTCACCATTGATAGGAGCAACTTGAAGTCCAACAGCTACCTACAATTTCGTTTTGTGAATACGGAGACTGACTGCAGTGACGGACTCACTCACTGTTCACTCAGAGTGGTATATTACCCTTCCTGAGCGTAGTCGTCTTCCGGCCCAAGCTGCGCTTCATCATATCATGATACATCTTGCTCGTCTACCGGCTCTTCCTCTTGTGCCACCTCACTCAACGTCTACTCACCTCAGTCCTCAAAATAGTCCCAGTCGTACCCCGAATCCTCTTCGTCGCTTGCACTTTTCAGCGACAGGCTTCGAGAGGAAGGTGATGCTCTTCGCGCACCACTTTCTACTCGTATGGACTTCAAGTGCTTGAGACTCTTGAAGTCACCCTTGCAGCCTATAAAGAGTTTCACAGATGAGAACATGAGGTAGCTGCAAGGGCGAGCAGATATACCCTCATGACAGAGTGCGGCTCAGCCACCAGCGCGCGACGACCTCTGCACGCGGTCACGTGGGCGCATACAGCCAGGTGAAAATGTATAGCGTAGTGTCTAGGAGTACGTATCAGTACTACGAATGACAGGACTCGACGCCTATCCATAGTGTTGGACCGTTGCTATATCAAACTTCCGTAGTTAAACACGACATGGGTCCAGACAAGATGTCAGAGTACGAATGATACCGTGTAGCGGGCACCGAAAGGTAGTATCCGGCCTACGCAACCGATGGCTAGGCTAGTCTGTTGAGCCGGAGAATACCTTGCTGAAATACGGTTACCTATGTACACTCTCCCGCCCCAGACAAACGCACTGTGTCTCGAAATGACCATCACATTGTCCGAACAACATAAGTTACACTCTATGCGCACGTCGGGCTTGGCCTCAGAAGGGGTGTCTGCGTCCCCTGGGTCCGACACTTGCTGAGGTAGACCACCAAGGAAGAAACGCGCGCGCGCCTCGAGACCGCTCTCCGGAGCAGTGCTCACGGCTTGAGCCGCTTCCGCATCAACTTGAAGTTGCTCGCATCGGTCGGAACATCTCGACCACTGGAATCAGTTCCTGGGCGGCGCGCTTCAGCTTCAGCCCCATCCGAGTCCGTGCTGATCCACATTCCACACTTTGCGTCGGCAGGATGCCACTCGCCAACGAAGACTACGGTGTTCCAACGAATATCTGCGCCGCATGACCAAAAGAACCCATGCATCCCCGCGCTCTGCTGGATATTCACGGATGTCGCCCGCCCGCTGGAAGTGCTACGGTACAGCGCAAGTTCACTGGTCCGAGTCATAGGTAGGAGGCCGCTTGGCAGCATGACTGCCACTACTGAACGTTTTCAGCGACTCGAGTTTCATCGAATTCGGCATCCCTGAAGCCCCCGTCCAACGTAGGCAGTGTCGGGATATAGCCTTGGTTAACATCGCGCCGCCAATCCTGGTTATACGTCGTCTCTTCAATCCTGCTGCTCGGTATAACACCTACGAAGACTGATGGTTAGATGCTCTTGCGGTCGAGGGGATGACGAGGTATGACCTTTGTCGATTGATGTCATACCGGGCGCAGACCTGAATATGAAGAACTTGACGCCCCATTCAGGCTGCTCTGTCCGCAAACGATCCACCGCGCCAGGTCTGACGCCCATGGCATCCGCCATCGTATTCAGAAAGTCAGACATTCGGATGACCGCACATCTGACAACCCCGAATTTATCTCTGGCGCGAGTTCCTGCGTACGGAGTGTAGAGTGACTCCTCGATGATGAGGTGCGTGCGCGCGCGGCTAGGATCTTGGTATAAACGCAACGCGCTGACGTACGGTAGCACATCCGCTGCTCGTCGCCACGCATCCCAATCTTTCTCCCTTTGTGCAGCAGCTGGATCCGTTAGGGCGAGGCGCTGGATGCGCTCGTTCCTCGCCGCCAACTCTCTAAAGCAGATGATCAGAGCACGTCGCGTGCGCATACAGAAATGTCGAGTTTACCTGCAGGGTCCTCTAAGACAAGCGGTCAGTGATGGGCACTGTTGTCCGACGATACAATTCAGCACTCACTGGTGCGAAAACCAGTCTGTCTTCTGGCACTCTCGAGAACTAGAGGACGTTAAGCGGCCTGTCGTGTCAAAATCCCAGACCAAACATCGCACCAATAGTAGACCTTTGTGCACTTTCCACACATGTAGAGCCTTACGATAGGGTCCCGAGCGTAGCAGCGCAAGCAGAACTTGATGGGGCGTTGGTATGTCTTTTCGGTGCGTTCCCGGCCTTCCAACCAGGATGGTCCACCGAGATTTTCGAGAATAGGGCTCGGCGCTTCGCCAGCCCGCATCAAGAGCTCCTCGTAGTCTGCAGCCGGCAGCCGGCGCGGGTTCTGACGGAACCACTCGACAAGCCACTTCTCCCTGTCGCAGTTACAGTATGAGGCCCATACTCTGGAACACAGCAATCAATGACTAACTGTTTCTTTGCGGAACCGAGCTTGCCTCGCCGCCGCAGAACGCGTGACAACCATACTTTCGCTACGATTAGATCACGCAAACCTAACTCATCAGAAGCAGGCGAATTGGCAAGCCCTTTCAGCAGTGACTGTGCGATTTCATCATCCGTGCCGCTTCGTGTCAAAGCTTCCACAAAGATCATGAGAAGGTCACTGTCCCCCAGGTACGTCAGACTGTCTGAGTGGATACGAGGTAGACATCACCGACCGTTGCGCCGTAGTCTCATACCAAGACCCTCCACACGGCGCTAGTGTGGAGGGTCTTGTCGCAAAGTCCGGGGTCTTGTAGGGTTCTGGGGGGTGGCGGGGCAATACAATTTTTACTTATCTTGATAACAAAGCACGATAACACAAGTTGTAATCGAGATAACTGTTGGCTCTATTGCATTGATCTATACAGTGCCGCGGAACATCGCACACACGAAAGTCATCATGTCCCAGCTTCGCAGGGTCGAAAAAATCAAGACTGTCCTCGAAACCATCAAAGAACAACGTTGGACCTCTGTCAACGACTTTCTGCTTGCGTACTACAACAGCAATGATCCCGACATCGCCCAACAAGCCCGACGCAACATCGCTTACACGGATGGCAAACGCTTTGCCCCCGCGCAGATCCTTGACTCGTGGTTGGAGTCGGCGCACGGAGAGACGAAGCATCAGCTCGAGCTGATGATTACACATAAAGCCGCTGACATTCTCGTCAAGGAATCGACAAAGGCTTGTCATGACCATAAACTCAAGCTCGCCTCGACGAAGGTTGACACGGCATACCTCTCGACGGACTTCGCACTATCAAAACTCGCCGCGATGTATCAGGCCATGTTGCCATGCATGTGGTTGTTGCTCATGACAGTCCTCACTGCGACAAATGATTACGAGCGAAAGAAGAAGAAGGAGAAGAGAGATAAAGACTCGAAAATTCCCCCGGTTCGTCTCGTGTTATACTGCACGTCAGAAATGCGACGATTCTTATTGTGTCATTCATAGGTGATTGTCATCATCATCAGCATGCTTCTATTTGCTCGCAACCGCGCAACAAATCTATTTCAAGTGGTCATTGGCATCTTCTTGTCGAGCACGGGAGCGGGGCGCCGGGTCATCAATACCTTCAATCATATGGGCCTATCTGTCAGTTACGAGTATGTACAGCTTTTCAAATGGCCGTCAGAATCTATGGATGTTAAGTAAAATTAGCACAGTCCAGCGGTGTCTCGTGGCTCTGTCAGACAGTTCGAAAGAGCATGCGAATCAGTTCATACGAACAATGGTTCGGTTATGGGCATTGGTCTACGACAACATCAACTTCACTCTCCGGAAGGCTTCGCAGCGGCTTGACAGCACTACAACACAGTTGAATGCCACAACATCAGCAGTCTTTTCGCTGCCAGCGAAGTTTACCAGGGCTAGCTATGCCACTGCGCTGTCGATCGCCGAGCGGAACAGAACTCAGGAAAGCGTTCGCTATTCACACTGCGCGATCTTGCGCTCACTCCGGAAAAGCAAGCCCAGCTCACGGACGCCTTCCGCCACCATGTGCGTGTTATCCTGTTGCAACATGCACCGGGTCTCAAGACGGGAGGTCGACGGAGTCGGAAGCTATGGAAGCGGGTCAAGGAATCGAAGCCACAGATCCGGGTTCTCTCGCACGAGAAAACAGAATTCTATCCTCTTCCAGCACTCGCGCAAGAAGAAGCCTCGGTGGCAGGAACTATCAAAGTCGTTGTGAAGCTCTTCACCCAGGTGCTCGGCCTGGTCGAAGAGGTTGTAGTGTCGGAGCTACGGCTACTCGTTGGCGACTGGTTGACCATCCGCAACTTACGCCTTATGAAGGATGAAGTGGCCGAGGAATTTACGGCGTTCGCACGGATGGATTGGGTCCAGGAGGTAGCAATGCCTTTTCATTTCCAATTGAATGCGATGTACATGCTGTTCCGTACACACCTCGGGTTCCCAGGCGACAACAATCCCAGCTCGCTCGAACATCACCGGATGCTACTGAAGCGATCCAAACTCGACCCGAAGAAACCTGAGTACAACAAGGCGAAGGAACTTGTGTATCATTCCCTGATTGCACGGATCTTGGACTGTACCCGGTATGATCTTCGATGGCCAGCGAGCTCAGCTTGTGGCTTTCGTTCACTAAAATTGAATGTACTGACACTGTACTTTCACTAGCACATCACTTGGCTATGATAACCATCAGAAGCTCAAGAGCTGGAAGCCAAAATGGGAAGATTTCAATGCTGTAGTCAACAAGATCGTGGCGGACTATGCATCGACGAGGGCTGCACATACAGCACTGCTCACAGGTGACGAGGTACTTGCACATTCAATCCTGTTCATCCGTGATGCCCTGCTCTTCCGAGAATTTTCGGAGGCCATACAGGATGCGGATGTGGGTCGTATGTGGCTTGTACATGATTTCTGGGTGTTCATGATGCGCGGGGCGGGTTGTCACAACTATGGGAACGAGATCCTCGAGATGAAGGCACAATTTACCATGTATCCCTCCTATGCTCTGTGAGGTTATCGAGCATACATGGCTCGTCAATCGGTGGGGAAAGAAAGGCGATCTATCCCAACAGATCTGTACTTAGAACACAACAACGGATTTCTGAAGGTATGTTTGATTGACCACTCGAAGCATATGACTCAGGCTAACACATGGTAGAATATGTTGCAGCAACGGGAAGCAACGCCTCGATGGACGACATACAGAACAAGTCATCCGCATGTGTTGAGGTGCTTCGTAGTCTCGCACATGACGTTGCAACGTACTTTGGTGTCCAACGACTTTCACCGATCACACAGTGAAGTGAGCATTGAGGGCGACATCGAAGCTCTCTGTCTCGACCTCAAGGAGCAAAGTGTACATACATTCAAGGCAGACAGACGCATCCACCACCTCCTACACGATCTCGTGTACATCAAATCGCACGCGCAAGCCCAAGGCACAACGGCGTACGCGATGTCCTAACTGAAGGACGACAAGCTCTTACACGAGGCGGCCTCTTTGAACAGTGGTTAAACCGTGCGACGGACGACGACACGCGTGGCGAAGATGCGGAGGCGATCTGGATGACGCGGTGGAGACAGGGACCGCTTTGATGACCCCGACGGTCACATGGAGGTCGATGTCGAGTTGGATGAAGAGTTTGATGGGATACAGAAGACTATGGAGACGAGGATGAGCATGAATAATTGAGTGCCAAATAATCATGCTACACGCACTGCGATTTCACGTTGGTGGGCGGACGTGACTTGGGATTGGCGAGAAGATATCGAATATAGGGTTCTTGCTGTTCTCGTACGACATCTGCGACAGGTCTCATCGTGTAGCGATGGGCGGTGAACTGGAGGTTTGTCTTTCGTGCTGGATCCCTCATGCTGTGGCTGAGACGACCCCTCAAGGCGGAAGCTACAGTCGATGAATGAGGACATGTCCATGAAACAGGATAACTTACTACTCACGTTAGCATCATATCAGCATAAGCTGATGCATGCGCAGAAGCCCCCTGTGACGGTCCACTCCTCGTCGGTGAATCAGGTTCGGGACCTATCTGCTGCTTCGGCCTTTTGTTCTCCTGAGCACCATGCCGCACTTCGAAAGCGACGCAGAACTCGCGAATGACTGCGAGCAGCGACGTCATGGTGTCTTCGTCTGTCATCCAGGTAATGAGGTTGTCGATCAAGAGCGAGTCGACTGTACGGGCGGCGCCCAGGATGATATGGGCCTTCGAGACAAGAGTACTGATATCAAGGTCATCCATGACCCAGTCAGGCGACAAGAAGGATTATTGTCACGGGATGGCGGCCCAACGCCGGTCGCGCCATGCAACCAGTATGTCTCGAAGCTTGTCTCGCTCGGCTTGTGGGCAACGACGCGTCGGTGATGCGGGAGTGGCAGAATCGGGAGCACCAGAGTGAACTTCGCTAGTGGCTGGACGACGAAGAGAGTCACTCATTGCCAGGATACGAGCACGCTCAGCATCCGTCAATACGCCAATGGGCACATTGTCGTCGAGTCTGCAGCATCGCGCACTACAGCAGCGCCAGGTCGAGGCTGTTCATTGCGTGTCTTCTTCTCCCACGTGTATCTTGATCTCAGGCCGCTCTCCTCTGTTTCTTGACCCTCGCTTTCATAGCCAGAGAACGTCTTGAAGGCTGGTTCTGGACGCAGGTACTGTGTGGCAAACTCTCGCATGCACCGATCAGACTGCGTCCTGTTGATGTACTCTCGTGTCGCCGGGTCCAACTTCGCTCGTTTCTCGCTGCCTGGATCGCGCGACGACTTTTGCACGCGTGGCGGCTCAACCTTCCGACCTGCACCTGCTGGTGCTACGACTACCTCTTTTGCAGGGCTGGGGTTGAATGCCCAGCCTTGTACCAGCCATACCATTGTCCCGAAGAGACCGGCTTGACGTACTGCACGCCCGCCCTTCTGAAACGCCGAAGGAAGGTCCTCAACACCGTAGATGATGACCCAAATGACGTCTGGTATGTCACATCCCATCCCTGCAGCATCGGTGCACAGAAGCCAGCGAACTGTGCCCTCGCGAAACCACTTCAACACGGTCGTCTTGTACTCTTCGGACAATACCGACGTGAAGATCCGAAGGCACTTGCGTAGGGCCGTGGTAGTAGGTTACGCAGCACTCGACAAGCCCGTCGCGCTTGCCGCCGTGTCGAAAAATAGAAGATGGATTTTGGGAGATCGGATGCGGTGAGTGGCTCTCCGGGATGAATGCGAAGAGATCGGCAAAGCTATTGATAGGGTATTCCATGCGACGCACCCACTGCGCGATCGAAGGACGGTCGGCACCGAGGTCGATACCCCAAAACGGCCGTGTCGTGCCCATGTGCAGCGATCTCCCACAAAAGTTGAAGATTTCCGTAGGGAACGTTGCCGAGAAGAGTGCCCATGGTATGTCCATCCCCGTGATAACACGGAGCTGTCTGAGCTCCCCATAGTCGACTCGGAAGTTCTTCGACCATGTGTAGATGACATGGGCTTCGTCAACAATAATCGCAAGGATGCGCCGTCGGAAGGACTCCTTGCGAAACAGTTGTTTGAACTGGTTATGATGCAGGAGACATTCTGGCGAGGCGTAGCAGAGGCGTGTGCGTCCGTTGTCCAGCTCGCGAAAGACGGAAGGCTCATTGTTATCCTCGTTGATAGCGATCGACCGGATGCCATTTGGCATCGGGTTCGCCTTTTCACCCACGACGAGAGGCGCCTCGCTGGCGCCCGAGGTTTGTCCCGCCGCGTTTCAAGCGGCGAACCTGGCAGTGCAAGTGTAAGTAAGTACAAAACAATCGGACTGTGTGTACGTACCTGATCTAACTGCAGGCTTTAAGTGGGCATACAACAAGGACGAGTCCATCGGATTTCGTCAACTCAGCTGCAATTGCAAGCAGCGCGAATACGAGTGACTTGCCCGCCCCTGTGCCCGCGATGATCATAGAGTCATTGGTCTCAAGGATCTTCGTGGCTGCACCGAGCTGCCAGTCCATAGGTCCGTACCCGAAGACGTGTTTTGTAGCTAATATCCATTCGTCATCAGGTATCCATGCATTAAGACGAGGCCAGCGAGGCGGCGGCGGCGGCGGACGGGTAGGAGTGGGCAGGCGACTCGGAGATTGCTGGACGACGTCGTTCGGAGGGGCTTGTATAGGTTCAGGCCTTATGCCTGGACTACGACTTGCTGAGGGGTGGCAACGCGCGGTGTCTTCCGCCGACGCGGGGTGTCGGTTAGCAAGCTGAGAGGAGTCCAGCAGGCGAGAATGAATCATGATCGAGGTGGACGGTCGTAGTGGGTCAAATTCGAATGCTATTGCTCGAGATTGCTCGCCGTACATCGCTCCGTTACAGTCCTGTAAGCCGGCAATAACAGTACGATCTAATCGTGATAACAATGCTATCTAACGAATTTTGTATGGAGATAAGAAAAGATTGTTATGCCGCGCCACCCCCAGAACCCTACAAGACCCCGGACTTTGCGTCAAGCCCCTCACACGTGAGGGGCTTGTGTCGACCTACGTTGCGCCGTGAAAAATTGCCCGGGTGGAACAGCAGATCGCTGCCGGAAGTCGATGATTTCACTGAAGTATTGCACAGCCTCCCTTGGTCGATCAATCTCCGGTTTCCTGTCCAGACAGGCAGGCAGTTGAGCCGATACGACGACGATTACGCCAATACAAGAGGCTCACAACAGGAATAGAGTTATCTTCGCCTTCGCTTGTTGTCGCTACGACATTGGATGGGAGTAAGAGTTTGTACAAACACAACAGGTGACCCCTTGGTGAACTTACTAGGTAAAACCTATGGATGTCTGGCTGGGTAGCAGATTGTGCCTGACCGGCCCAGCGTGGGCATACATGGCGCCTATTTCGTCTTTGTATAAAGTGACGAGTTGCACGTCCGTGCAGTGGATCAGAGCGTCGATGTACATCTCAAGAGCCCAGATCACATGTTCGTGGATGTCCTCCGGCACTGTTCGCGTACCATCAGCATATGCACTACCCTCGAGAGATGGGATAGCAAACGATACCATCGCTGTGGTGAATGAGAAAGCTATACATGAATAGCCAGGGAAGTCTGAGTTTGAGTACAAGAGAGCGTGAAGCCGGTTCCTGCACATTTTCACCCGTGTATGGGTCCTGTAACTCAAGCACAGGTCGCTCGGGCATCAAGGCTATGGCCTCCTGCCAGACCGCAGACGCTTCGTTTCGTGAGGGTTATGAGTACAGGACCATGGTTGCCAGCTCCGAAGTCACTACTTACTCATTGCGACGTCCTGCCTGACGAGATCAAGGTCTGGTAACAGCGGATCTCCTGTGTCGTCGATCTCCTCATGTCGCGACATGATCAACAAGAAATGAACCCGTTGTTGGGGTGGCGCGGACACGGCCAAACGCAAGTCTGCATGGTAAGCCGAGCAAGCAAAGAAAGCATCCATGTTAGCAAAACAATCCAAGCTGTCTGTCAGGACTTCCTAGAGCCGTCCTTCCGGCCTGAAGGTGGAGGAGGTAAGTTGGAGGTAAGGTCTTAAGCTCAGTAGGCGCTCTAGGTATCGAACAATGATGATGGCGACTGCGTGGGAGGCGGAGAGCGCTCGCTGATCCTGTTGTGGCGATCTACACTAGGACGGGGGTAATACGGCGTGGTCTGCCTACTCGGCACTGCGCACTGCGACAAGGATATTGATTATGTAGGGCAGGATCTCAAGTCCACTGTGCGGCGAGCAAATCTGCAGTTGTCATTAAACTGAGACGACAGTGAAGAGGTGCGCAAGTAAGTATGGGGTATAGGTAGCGATGAATACAAATAATGAACTACGCGCATTGTGTCCCAGTCGGTCCGGAATCTAAGTGATACATCTCTACAATATATGTGTAATGCTGGATTGGGCCGTACAATGTCTTTGAGCAGAAGATACGTACTGTTGTCACCAAATGATGCTCTCCGTCCGGGCAAGGCTGGCTCGCCGTGGGGGTCTCGGAGTGGGCGGAGGAGCGTGGGCTGTGGAAACCACAACGGGACGCTGCGCTTGCATGGGTGTAATCGGTGAAGGGTGTGGATTTTGTTGTGAACCTCCAGCGAAATGCGCCGCGGGAAGGGGGTAACAACGAGGTGATGATGTTGGACGGGAGGCATCGGTCTGCGCGCCTGACGAGTTTTTCGTCTCTGGTTCAACAGTCCGTCGCCTCTTGGCCAGGGTTGGACGACGCCAGTAGGAGACTCAATTATCTCCGTTGTAGCGCATGCGTTCTCGAAGACCTCGGCTACGAACTTTGGTGAGAGATCGCGCATAGTGAGAACTCCGCTGGGGACCTCGGACGTGCCATCGTCCATGTCGTCGGTGTTCGGAGGCATGTAGACAAGCTCCTCAGAGATGTCGTCTGTGTTAGGCCGGAACATTGCATAACAGACGCGCCTACGGTATTCGGCGGTTGGTTTTCGGATGGGTGGCATGATGTACGGGTACGGGCCACTTGGACGTGATGCATATTCGAGACACGCGTCTTTGTCCTCTTGTGGCCAGTTTCGCAGCGCCTCTTCTGGCGTGACGAGGCCACAATCCATCAAGCGCCACAACAACTTCCCAGGCAGCTTGAACATCCCCTTCTCCTTGGGTCCTGAGCGGAGGTAACGGTCGTGCACCACCAGTGTATGCAGGGGCTTCCGCCACGCGTCGGGTACGCGCGGCAGAAGTGAAGGCTCGTACGCGAAATCACGAACTTTGACTTCCGCGGCTTTTGCGGCCTCGGTATGTCCTGCCTGCGCCATGGTGTCGACGTCTCCGACGAGCTGAGCGGCTGCAGACGACGGATGCTCAGTCGTTACGCGACGAGCACCGGTGGTGACACCGTCTTCGCGGAGCGGGCAAACGACGATGCGGGGTGGAAGAGGTGGTCGACTCGATTGAGCCTCATTCTCCTCGCGTTTGCGCTTGAGTGGCCTGGTCCCCGCTGCTGGGGTGGCGTCGCAGGCAAAGGAGCAGAGCTGTCTGCGGACAAAGCGACTGCAGGGCCACCCGAACGGTAGAGCACCGCGACAAACCTAGCAAAGAGCGGAGAGACAGCGATAGTCAGAAGCGATTTCGACATGATGGTTATAAAGAGAGGATGACGCTTGTTGACGCCCCTTTTATCAGGTCCTGGGTGGTCAAAGCGGACTCGAGTGGCTTAAAACGTGCTTCAAACAGTCAATACAAAAGGTTACATCGCCGGTCCAAGCTGTGGGCGAGATCCAGAGACGATGGTTACCGATCCAGGTTGGGAACGCCACCGGGGCTTACGTCATCTCCTTAGGTTGCATATCGTTCCAAAAACGGATATACCGACCCAAAAATCAACATCACTCTCGTCCATCACAATTTGGCTACCCGGTCCAACGAGTCTGGCAGTGAGTCGTTCCTCTCGAAGCTTGGACCTCTATACTATTCAACACCACTGTCATGACTTGCGTCCTGGATTACTCCTCTCACGGGTAGGCGGGGCTGGGTACAGTTGAGTCCCATGTCCTTCCGTACCAAACTTGTCTGAGGCCGCCGTCAGTGCACAGTGCATGGCACCTGTAGAATGATTTTAGGAGAATCTATGCGGCCTCTTCTCGACGGTGGTGTTCAAGGGCTGGGCACGACGGATAGTAGCTCGTGTAAGTGGCTAGATGGACGTACAAGTCTCATGAAAGCACCCGATTTTCCCCCATTCGCGCCGGCTGGGCCCTGTGTCTATAAGTAGTGGATTAATAGCAGAATGTTACCGGAATTCAACTGCCCAGTCGACTTTGGATATTTTTTCCTGTTGCATCTACGTCGGCGGCACAGGGAATGTTATGATACTTATGAAATGCTGCACAACGCACAAGTGCGACATGATAAAATTCGGGATCATCACGAACAGCGGTACAGTGGAGTGTTTCTTCTATGCCGGTGGAAACCGATGACATGGGAGCCGTGCCTTTCCCAGGTGGCGAAGGACATCTTACATGAAGTCTTGACGGCACACTCCGTAAGGTAACGTTAGCTCGGATTATTCCCTGAAGCCCGACTTACCAATTCGTCAGTAGCCCCAGTCCGATAGGACCGATGCCAGAGACATATGCACAATGACAGACGACAACATCATCCATACGGTAGTGCATGATTTCACCAAAGACCCGACGGCGACGCGCGTCCGAGTCCTCATCTGCAAAACGTCGTATGGTACATTATGCTAGGTATGCTACAGGAATACATGAAGCCCACTCCAAAAATCTGCAGGGTATATACCGTGAAGGTAAGCAGAGCACTACACCGACGGACACGACACTAACAGCACTGATACATTATGAAACACAGGACGAGCATAACGATGCAGAGGAACGATAGCGAGAACACTATTACGATTCGAAGCATTCTGGGTCATAAGCGTAGGACGAGTCACAGAGCCGTCATCACCGCGAGTGCCACGCGCCTGTCGAAGGCCCTCCGTAAAGGGAAGGATCCTGGACATACCCATGGTCAGGTCCCCATTGTCCCCCGATTTCTGCGGATTGTCCTGGGAAAGCGGAGTAAGCAGACGAGTCGAACGCGAGAGCTGTCTGGTGGCCGGTGCCTTGCGTTCCTGGGTGCTGTCCGGCATACATGGACGTCTGCATCTCGGGGGCCTGGCCCATCACCTCGCCGGTCGTCAGCACTGCGGGCGCGGAGAGGGTGCCGGGCACGTTGGACGTCATGGACGCCTGCATTGCGCCTGAGCGGACCGCTTCCTCGAAGCGAGCGGCAACGAACGCCTCGTATTCGGGAGTCACAATGAAGGGTTGATCTTCCGAGCTCTCGGCGGAACTCTCCGGCGCGGTAAGCGAGGGCGAGGGGAGCGGCGACGGCGCCTGGCTGGTGGACGCCATCATGTTGTAATACGAGACGTGGTCGATGCTGAGGCTTCTGCCCAGCATCGCCGGTCGCTGGTGCATGTCTGTGGCTCCCATGTCATGCGCGGAGGCGGAAGACAACGCGTGCATCTCCTCGATGCTCAGGTCCGCTGAAGTCGCGTCGCGGCGGGCAAGCGCCTGCATTAACTGCGCGCCGCGCCCGATGTCGCGCCCGGTGGGCGAGCGAGTACTAGCCGAAGGGTGCTCGGGGGTATGAAATTCGGTGAGGCGAGGGGCCATGGCTTCCAGACTGCGCAGAGCAGCGGCAGTGGAGTCAGGCACTTGACCGGAGGCAGACGACGGTGATAATGGCTGCCAGGACCCTCTGTTCAACGCAAGACGATCGTCAACAGACGGCCGCTCGGCAGTAGGGCTGGAGCGCTGAGAGGATGGTGCAGTCGACGAGCCCGGCGACGCAATAACGGTCTCAGAGGAACGTACTGGTGGTCGAGGATAGGGCGCCGACAAGTCGAGACGCGGTAGGATCGGTCGTCCAGGCACGTGGCCCTCAGCGAGAGTAGCAGTGCGTTTGGTCGGCTTTGCACCGTAACTGCGCTTCTTCGTCAAGCCGTGCATGCGCTGGAGATAGCCGACGAGCCCGAGGGTGTCCGTGGTCGACCTGGAGTGGAGGGCGGGGCGCTCGTCTGGGCGCGGCGGCGACGTCGTTGAGACGGAGGAACGGCGGCTGGATGTCGGGCTAATGGGATGGGCTGGGGAGGACAAAGGCGAAGTGGTGGTTGGAGAGAGAGGGATCTCCGGGCTGCTGCGTCGGGTATCGAGGAGGGGCACCGAAGTAGGAGTCGTCCTCATGCTGGTAGCTGCTTCAAAATACAAGCCGTCAACGCAAGAATGCGCCCGGCAACAATAGAACACAAACCTCCTTGTTGTGGCTGCTGCAATGCACGCCCCGAGATGAGGATGGAAAAGCGAGTCGCATCGACCTCGAACCAGGGCGGGATCTCAGACAGTGTCTGGGCAAAGCGCTGCGAAAGTTGAGCAAGAGCTATCGTCAGATCCCGAGGACGGAGCATACCGTGCGAGAGAATAGATCACGGAAGGACCTCGATTCATTGGCGGGACCGACAATTAAGTGGAGGTGTATTTCCTCCTGCGGCGGAGACGGTCAGAAGGGACGCAAAGACCGACAGTTTGGTAACAAATGAGACCGACCTGACATAGTGCCAAGGCAGTGCCCACCCAAGGATCAATGCCAGCCTGGACGGGGCCAGGTCCTTCGGAGCCTGTTAGCAATGGCGACGCAGCAATAATAATGAGGTGCTGGTTAGTGCGACGCTGTTTGCCAGAGGCCAGGTAAACCTGTAAAGGCGAACTTACGATGTGATCAGGTCGTGACGGTGAGGCACAAAGAATCTTACGTTGACGCAGCGTCGGATGGTGCCCGTCGAGATGAGAGTGTCCGTGTGGCGGCCGAGACTGAGATTAGGCAGGTTATTATAGTCGGCTAAAGTAGTGACGGTCGTCGTCATGGGCGTAAATGCTGGCGAGCTTGTGAACCACCATATTCGAAATTGCTTCGGGCGGCATGAGCGGTAAGGTCGCCGATATATCATTGACGTGCTCACCGGGTTCGTCTTGTTGTCTACGCGGAGACCGTGCAGTAGGGCGGGCAGGTATCGGTGTCGGACGTCGTCCCATTTGCCTAGCATTGTCTGCGAATCTTCCACCAAAACCAGAACGGAAACGGCGTGTCCGGAGGTGTTGGCGGCGGCAGATGGGAACGAGGTGCTCGGGTCCATCGACGGAGAAGCCCCGCGGACGGTCTATGCTTGAGGGGGACAGACGGTGAATGTTATGACTGGAGAGATGGTAAGCGCTGCATCCGGAGGTGAGAACGTCGATAAGGTGAGCGTATAGTGATATGGGTCCTGGCGGACTTTCTATTATATAGTCTCGGGCGGTGAAACGCGGCGCGGAGACTTCCAGGCGCAGCCCGCTCCCGAGGAAAGAACCCTAAGGGCACGATAACTTACGGTGGGCTAAACAAAACGGTTAAAGCTTGATGGGAGCTGCCGTGGGCATATCTTCGACCAACCGAACGGAAGCTCAGTCGAGCGCGCCCCGTCCTGCCCCGTCCTCGGGGGTTTGACTCCATTTCCACTAATCTTGTCTGTTGATTCCTATCAGAGCGATCGTGCAGCTGAACTCACAGCGACATGCTCTGTCGTCGGCCCGCAGGCGTGGACACATGTCGAGGCCGTACCGCAGCCATAAGTCCGAGGCGACAAGCGCGATCTGCTTCCGCTGTGAATGGTCTCCAAGCAGGACGCAGCCAAGACGGCGCAGGCGCGAACGATCTCATGACTTCCGGGGCCCCATTGTCAAATGACGGGCGCACTCCCGCATTCAAGTCTGCGGGCAGACGCCGCCGCACACGGTCATCTGCGTCTGTCGGGACATGCCCGGGCAGACACACACGCCCGATTCCGTGGGCGCGGAACAGTCTTTTGAGTTCGGCTGGCTGGGGGCGAGGACGCGCGAACCTTGTTGCCATGCCCCGCATTTACTTACGCGCAATTAATTTAGGCCTTCCCAGTATGGGCATACCGCAGGCACAGTGATCGTGTTTGAGCGTGTTTGGCACGCCCACCCGCGTCGCGCATGCCGGTGGCGGCTGAGGCTGCTGAGCAGCGCGTCGACCGTTGCCTCCATCCTCGTCCTCGTCGTCCAGCCACCGTCCACGTCCTCGCCGCCATGGCCGCCGTCTCGCTCTCCAACTCGCCTATCACGCAGGTGTCGCAGACACCAGTGCAGACGAACCTCCAGCCCCACCTCCTCACGAGATTGCTCCTCGATTTGCGCGGCAAACGCTTTTCCGTGGACCGCGAGACCATCATGAACCTTCCCGAATCCGTCCTGCTCTGTTTGTTTCCGAACGGGCTTGTACTAAGTCGTCAAAGCGCCGCGTTATCAGATGGAGGAGATAATGACGACTACGAGGAGCTTTACGCTGTAGACGTGCGTGTCTTGGTCATCTAGCCGCCAGGGCTGTGAATCTCTCCCTAACCCCTTCGCTCCTTGCATAGTTTGATCCGGATTGTTTCTCATACGTGCTCACGTTCTTCCGCAATGCCTCGGAGACGTTCTATGGCACCGCAACTTCGCCCGGCTTATTCGCGGCTCAGCAGCAACTCGTGGATGGCGGTTCTCCGACGTCTGACTTTGGGCCGTCGCCATCGCAGAACCCCCTCTTGACCAAGCAGGCTATTATCGTCCTCAGGGAAGAGCTCGAGTACTTTTCTATTCCGCCGAAGAATACCAGCGCATCGACGAACAGTAATGGAATTGCCAATGATGCCCTCCTCGATCTGAAGCGGAAATGCGGGGAATACCTCCTCCATAAGCGCAATATCTTCACCGCGCTGCAGCGCAACGTCAACAAGGAAAACAACGTAGCGGAACAGCATCTCATTGACATGCTGTGCATGAGGTTGGTCGCGTAGTGCTTCCTTGGTTCCTCTACTCAGTTTATCTACAGCGGGTTCGACCGAGACGACGAATGGGGATACCGTGCCATGGAACCCTCACGCTGCTGCATCTCCTCAATAGCACTCGTACTTCTGAAGACAGGCATAGTGCATCACCCGCCTGGTCCGACTGGCGAGAAGCAGGTTACCATTGATTATAACCAGATGGCGACGGCGCAGAAGCTGCTTCTCTTCTGGCGGAAGCCTGCGGTGCGTACTTTTTCCACGCTCGCGGCATGCTCTCCTGCTCATTGTCATCTGGCCGTGTAGCGGAAGTGCTGGTGGGATGGTCTGGAGATCAACCTTGCCGGCCCTGGGGAGCCGGAGAACTCGGTTAAGCTGTGGGCAAGACGGGTGTGGACGCTGGAGCTAAGCTTGGTGCGTGTCCACTGTATTGCATACTGAATGATTACGCAGGGACTGACGCAGCGCATTCCAGGTCTAGTATATGTTTCACTTCATTCATTTGCTGTACACGCTACGCTTTACCGTCGGTTTCTTGCATCGGACTTCCGGAATACCCTATTCTCACCCGTGTGACGTACCTACTACTTCTCACCAATCCACTGCTGTGGTATCAGGTTATCTACATGGGAAGGCACGTCAGCGGTGCTGGTCAGCCCATCGTCATTGAACTTGGACACAGTCAGTATTGAACAAGGATCCAAAATATATGTGCCGGCTCACTCACTTTTCATGACGATCGAACATGTCATTCTATATTCTCTACCACGACTTACCGTTCTTTCCGTTTACCACTACTCCGATGCATCGTAGCTACAGCGATTGTCTGGGCGATTTTCACGGGCAACGTCGTTAGTAACCCGTTATCAGATGCAAATCAAATCGTTCCAGAATGGGTTACAGCGATCGGACATTCGATCGCTTTGTGCTTCTGCACCTTGTCTGTTCCCGCCACCATCTCAAGCTCACTGAGTATAATCATTGCCGACTGCCGACTGACTAGTCTGCACGCTATCAGATCAGAATACTCGTCTGTACAAGTTCATAGAGAGGAGATCGTCGTACACAGCACTCCACACGGAAACATCATGGACTTCGACCTGGAAGAGCTTGTAAATGTGGAACAGACGTGCGTAATTCCTGGCTATCATGATTCATCTTGCCTGATGGTTGCAAACAAGGTTTTATGAAGAGGGTTACAAGGACGGGTTCGCACACGGCCGAATCCATGGTTCTATCGAGGGGAGGGCCTTGGGACGAGAGAAAGGCTTCGAAATGTGGGAGGAACTCGGCTTCTACGAAGGCTTTGCCTTGCTGTGGCGAGCCGTCCTCTCCCAGAGAGGAACAACAGACGAGTGTGTCTTTCTTCCATTTCATTATGTTTCTCCGTGCGTGCTGACCACGCCACACTCCTTGCAGCCGGGCAGCACAGCATATTCGACAGCTCCTGGCACTTCTAGCTCAGTTCCCCCGCGTCAACCCGTCGGCTACGGAGCCATCTGAACTCGACATTCCGAAGCTCTTCCGACAAATCCGTTCCCGTTACAAAGCCCTGTGTGCCGTGCTGGGTGTGCAGCCCACACTGCACGCGGGCGCCCTGTCCTCCACCGCGGAAGATCGCGATCCCGTTGGACACTTGGCTGATGCTCCATCGGGCGGATCAAGGAGTGTATGGCCTGTGCACCCTGCTGCCAGCGCGCGCTCTGGGGCCGGGGAGCAACTCAGCTTTTGAAGATCATCTTAGTCCCGTCGCGCTGCCACAACCGTGACGGTCGGACATATCACTATCGCACCACGGTCATATCGGGCAGGTCAATCAATAGAGTTTCCGTCCTGTAGGACCCCTCTGACCTTGGAGCTCTCAGGCATTTCGCCGCTGTTGTCTTCGTCGACTATCGCTGTCCAATCGCCATCTCAAGCCGCGCGTGTTCCTGCCCATTTGCGAGCTAGTGCAGCGCTTCAACCATCCGCAACAACCTGTGAGTTTGCGTTGGGGATCTCCGTTGCTTTCTCACTCATGTCATGTCTTCCGTATCGCGCTTCTGTCTTGGGCCCCATCCAGCTGAGTTGACTGCTCATGCCTTGTTCCTGGGAAGTTGTGCCGGAAGTGAACTCAATGCCTCGGGTATCGCGAGTGTCTTCTAACTCCAGATGAAGGACGCCGGATCAGCGAATCCCATAACTTGTATTTGGTGAACGCACAGTGAGCTCAGTAGAAGTTTGCTCGTGATTTCCCACCATCCGTTCAGCGGTGCCTCACTCCGACGCATACTGTTGCTTCTTATTCCCGGCGATCAAACATGGTCTTACAGTAATTCCTCCGACGGCTTCGTCATTGTGCACCTACAGGATCATCCCTCCACCTCAATGGCGGTCTGGTTCAGTTGGCGTACGCTGTACTGGTTCCCCTCCTTACTCCACCTGTTGTGGGCACGAGTTCACATGGAAAGGTAGCCCCGAGCAGCTCGTGGTAACGACGTGCCGCCGTAGAACTGATTACAAGATCGCCGCGCTCCCATCGTGGCGAGATCACAGTATAGTCGTCTCGTGCTCCTGACCGACCACCCGCCCGAAAGTGCTATCCAGGTGCTATCGCTCTCCCTCCAACTTTAAGTCAGCTAACCGGGAGAACGCTTGGTCAGTGTGCTAATGGTTCTATTCCTTATCACAGAGCATCAGGCTGGTCAGTGGGCGCGCCGCACCGCGCGCGAGGCAGCGCACGCCCGAATGTGACATCACGGCATTGGCTGGTGTTGTGCCTGTGGCTATATGGGTACGTTTTGTCGCACAGGCGAGGGCGCGTACAATCGTGTGTTTCCTCTGGGATGCCTCTTTGTATGAAGCGTGGCGGTCAGCTGGCCTTACGCTGACCCCGCGATCCCATGTGGGCGTGGCCAGCGTGCCTCCGGACTTAACCCGCGTACGTGCGTACGTGTGCGGCCGACGCTGGCAGCCCTCGACTCGGAGGCATCTGCGCGGATCGCGAATGGGCCAAACATCGCCGCGGAGGCAGTCTGGGGCGGTGCACTCGGAGCGAATTCGACGGCAAGGGCGGCCAGGCACGGTAACGACGATGGTGCTTGCAGGCCTGTGCGATGGGCTCCACGGTGTCGGACGGAACATACGGTACTATCTCTGTCTTGTCTATGCCCGTCATTTCCGATCCGCCAGTCCTCACAACATGTGCTAGTGATCATCGTGGCAGCCCATCTCCGCTGCACCGTAGTGCTATGACCGTCCGCAAGGGGACAAGACGGCTCGGTTAGGAAGCGATCCTGCTGAAGCCGGACAGTGGCCTGCCGTTGCAATCACGGATACCTCTGTGGGCACCTCAAGCCTCGGCGATAGCATCGCGGTGGAGATTGGGGAGGATAGTCAAACGACGCTGGGGGTGGTGCGTGGGTTCTTGCTTTTCTGGGCTGAAGGGTTAGTGCGTAGCCATTGGTGTCCGCTCGCGCATGGGCTCTCATGGAGGCGGGGTAGATGGTCGAGATAACCTAAACTAAGGGTGCGTTGACATGGTAGTTGCGCCAGGTGATTTCGCTTCTCCCAGAACCCCGTCGGCGTGCATTGAGATACAGCGCTGCGGGTCTATGTCAGCGCGTCTCTCTCGCCCGACGGTGTACCAACTTGTGGGGTATTCTTTCGTCGATTGAATAGCTGGCTGACCTCGCGACTTTTATCGATCGTCAGGTGTAGCCTTCCTGGCGCGTGGCATCACCGATCATCTTTGTGGGGACACACGTTGCCACTCCGAGAACGATGGCTACGTCAGGACAGTCGCCAGCGGTATGGTAGTCGGTATCTTGCCTGCCAATGTGGGTCGTTGTTCTCACTAATGCGTACCGACTTATTGGTGTCCTTTCCCCGGGTTCGCATGGTGGTTGAGGTATGTATGCGTCGGAGTATCCTTGCTGCTTTCAGCTGACTGGTCTTTCGTGATGCGTATTCAGTACTGCTCTATCCCGCGAGCCGCATGGGACTCCTGGCGGTCATGCACGCGACGGTCTGCATGAACTGCTGATGCATTCCCTGCATGGCTACCCCGTTGAGGATGTCTGGTAGTGGCCAGCCTTCGAGGGGGCTGACCGTTAGCGTCACCGCCGGTATCGCAATTCTGGAGGAGGAGCATTGTCTTCAAGGTCGTGCTCAAGGATTGCCCGAGCATTCCACACTCCAAACTTATGATCCAGTCTGGAAGACCCGTGCTATGTGCATCTGCCCTGTCATTCCAATCCGTTGCGATATGCTAAGCAAATAGATTCATCTATCCATCCAGTTGTTACGGCAGACAGTGTCGCAGATATGATTGGCCACGGCTCTCTGGATATCAATCAGATCCTACAGAGCTGCTTAGCGTCGCGTTCACTACGACCCATGAATCAAGACGTTCTGTATGCTCTTTGGACATAGCTTCTACAACGCTGGGCTCATCGACACTTCCGAATATAGAAAGAGGTGAGTAGCACAACAATCTGTCACAATTGACGCGCCTACAAAATCAAACAACCCAAGCAGTAGTACTCACGTCATCACTCTATCGAGCAGCAAGGTCGCGATGACGACATCCCGAAGTGCGCGAACAAGACAGCCGTCGAGCTTGTCGACGCCGGCCGATGCCGTGCTGGACGGGATGGAGCATATATATGTCGGCGTTCGACGTCGCGAGGGTCTTATTCATCTTTCTGTCCTCCTCCATCCTTGAATTGAGAGAATCGTAGACAAGATGAGCGACAAGCTGGAAGAGGGTCAAGATGTCTCGTACGTTGTCCGCCACTCCACGATTGCTACGCAACTCACGGGTGATCAACGTAATGTGTAGATGGCGCTGGGGAGGCGGAAATCCCTCCGGCAAGGTTGCTGAAATCGTCACGGAGGGGAAGGCCGAAGTCACTAGCAACAAGGTAAAGGAGGTGCCGTTCAACTTGAACGACTTCGATGGTGATCACCAAGTTGAAATCTGTGCAGGGCAATACAGTCACTCGCAACGCCCGAGAGGGTGATCCGGCGGTGAAGATTTCTCGCAGCGGGGTAGGCAGCCGTAATTTCGAGGCAACTCGCTGATGCTAATCCATTGCGCATAAGAACGACGTCGTGAAGTTGGCTCACGAGCTCAACGAAGTCAAAGAGGCGGAGTGATTGAAGCATAGACGTCTAGATACCCAGGAGAGAAGAGTCACTCCATCATCCATCGTGTAGAATTAGGCTCAGTACGTTATTTTATGCACTTGTAAGGGTGGAGCAGCTAAGGTAGGCTGTCAGGCTGTCAGGTCCGGCGCCTCGCGACGGTCACCTGACCGCGTCTGTCACGTCAGCGGCGGTCAGCCTCGCGTCGCGGATTGCGCCATCGTGCGCACACTTTGCCAGTCCGAGTCGCCCATCCAGACAGAGCTCAGTCATGGCCGCTCGAGCACGCATGGTTTGCAGACGCCCTGCTCCTCCTTCGACCCAACATCCGTTCTATCTCTTACAAGAATTGAAGGGCTAGAATTCGACCAATCATGGATACACTCTCCGTCGAACTGCACGCACAAATATTCGAGTATGCATGTCTCGACGACGGCAGCACCGCACGCGCACTGGCCCTCGTCTCCCACTACATCCACGACGTCGCGCAACCATTTCTCTACCAGTCCCTCGCGGTCCAAGGATTCATCCAGATGCATGCCCTCATTGCGACACTTACCCCTCTCCCGCATTATCTCCGTCGCATTCGTTACCTCTACCTCTCCGACAGCAGTCCATCTGCGTGGCACCATGCGCCCTTTGAATCCCCCGGCCGCATACTGAGCGACGCCGACATGGCGCGCTACGAGGAAGCCCAAGCTGCCGCGGCGCACCTCCTGCTCCTCGCTGCGCCGACGCTTGAGATGCTCGCGGTCACAGCAGACTGCCTGTTTATGGGTACCGCTCTCATCGCGCACCTCTTCGCGCTGCAGCTTCCGCACTTGCGTGAACTGGCAGTACGCGGGTTCTACCCCTTCCTGGCTGGCACGGACGGACCGAGCATGCCCCGGTTAGAGCGTTTGCACCTCGAGGGCAATAGGAGCCCTTACGGGTTGCTTGACTGTGGCGGCATGAAAGAGACATGTCCTGCCCTCGAGCACCTGGCCATCTCGGGAGTCGTCGCTGCGCATGGCTTCGCAAACGAGGTGGAGGCAGTGGTCTGCCGTTCAGAAGGTGACATGGAAGGGCCAAGGGATGCGGACTCACCACTACCGCGAGGGTTGCGCAGGATTGTCATCCGACCGGGGAGCGTCTTGCACGCGCAGAACGCGGGGATCAGGATACACCAGCGCCAGGCGAAGATGACGGACCTTCTGGAGCGCGCGGCTAAGAGCTCAGCGGGCAAGCTCGTCATTCGTCGACCCCCTTCGGAGGTCCCTGAAAAGACTGGCGCAGAGGCTGGCCGTATGTATGAGCTGTGGCGAGAAAGGGTCGGCGGCGGCAAGGGATGGTGGGAGGATGCATAGCTTGATTCGCCTGTGGTCAGAGTGCCTGATTTCTGAGGCTCGATTTGCATGTGAGTGGAAGGATTTGATGTCAGAAACGTACTGTCTGACGGTTACAACGCAAATGAAGACACAGCGATTATCATATATTTCCCTTCGCAGCAACTTGAATGTGCGACATATACCGTACAACGCGCCATCAACGTTCAACGTTGAACACCGGCGTGACCCTGCAAATTGGGACTGCCGCCATTTTGAAAGACCTGCATCTGCGGTATTCAACGCTCGCCGTACTTACCTTTACGGGAGGCTTGTAACGCACAGACCACTATGCAAGCCTTAGTGGTGATCTAAATAGGAAGAGGTTGGGATGATCCGGGTCCCCGCTCCTGTGGCGGCGCGGCAGCGCCGAGTTTCCACATCTGGATGTGCTTCTTTTCTCATGCCGCTTCCGAGTTGGAGGAGCGATCGGCGTCGCTCTTTGCCAGTGGCAGTACGCTCCAGTCACTACTTACTTTAGTACTCGGTACGTGTCGTAGGCACACTGATGAGTTTACAGGTTCAGAGGCTCAAATGGTGTCCAAGACCAAATCGAAGATTATATCCATAATGTCAGTATTGATGTTCACTGGTGTTGCTCAATATGCTCGTGCGCTGATTAGTCTAGAATATGCAGGGCCTGCTTGACGATCTCGTTTGCGAACGATTGTACTACCGGCGCGTCCCACTGATCGTTCGTCTGCGCATGGCCTGAGTCAGGAAGACACGACTACGACCTACTCGGGGTCACTCACCAAAACTTGTACGTGCAGCTTTGAACGCATCGTCCACGCGTGGCAAGATCTAAAGTTCGTGTCAATAAACGTCTTAAACACTCCTTGCAATGCATCCACGTACGGCATCCCCAGAATAAGCCTCTGGCTCGTGGCCATCCCCGTTACCTCAATGATCGGATTTCCCCCTTCTCCGCGTTGTCTCGATACCAGTGATCCGGCAGCCAAGCCTCCGTGGCGCCTATGTTAGAGATAATACTGCAGTACGGATTGTTCGACACGGCGGGTTGGTTCGGCGGCGCGAGCGCCACAATAGCAGCGCTGACGTGGGGGAGGTGCGGGTTCCGCTGGTGTTCATCGTACTGGGCCTTGAACGCGCGCATGGAGGCGCGTCTTGGGTGTGTGAGGCTCGGCGGAGAGGATCTCCGCGACAGGGACGGACATGGGGATCCAGCAGATCGCGGAGACGAACTTGCCCTTGTCGTCATGGGAAGGCACCTGGTAGCGCCGTTGCAAGGCAAAGCTAGTGCAGGTAAGTTCCTTCATACAGCCGTGGTGGAAAGGCGGTGACTTACGGTACCATAGGGTTCTGGATGCGAGCTCCGCGGACAGAGGGGTCGGTCGTGTCGTGGTAGGACAGGACAGCGAGTTTGTGCGCGGCGACGAGGAGATGCGACATCGTGAACCCGGACGCCTTCGTCGCGGCGACGACCCGCGCTGTCTGGTCCTCGTCCAGCGCTGCCACAATCTTGACAAGCCGTGCAGGGACGCCGAGCTCAGGACGCTGAGGCGTGAGGCGAGCGATCGCTGGACAACCGCAATCGTATCAGCGAATGCGCATGCCGAACGATGGATGCGCGGATATTACCACCGGGTTCGCATACTCTTGCATGATCTTGCCCATCAGTGCCATTCCCTCCGTCTCCCAGTTCGGGCGCGGCCCGCCCGTCGCTGTCACGGGCCCCACAGGTAGGTTCTTCGCCTCTGTGCCCCACGCGAGCGTCTCAAGGGGCTCGCACGCAGGGTCTGACATCCACCAAGCACGAGCGAAAACGCGTTGAGGTGGACCGTGCGTCCTGGATGACGTGCGTGCTGTGGAATACGATGTACACCACGTCGTCCGAGGCCTCCAGCTTGCTGTCGCCGCCATCGGGGCTAGCTGCGCTCGATCGGGCGAGGAAGCAGCGGAAGATGAGCTCGCGCCCGCTTGGGAGGACGTACGGCAGCTTGACCTTCACAACTTCCGACACGAGGTCATCGGCATGGATGCGGTAAGGTAAAACGACGACGGCGGCCTGCGCCCAGTCGATGGCGTCTTGGACGGAACTTGCAGGTGTGTAGACCCAAGAGCGGAATCGCGGACCGTGGATGCCCTCTTCCAAGGTGGACGCGACCAGGGGACTCGTGAACCTTAGCAACAGTGGATAAGTGACACTCTGACACCAACACGCAGGGCCACGTACCGCAGGTGTGCGATTGCATATCGGAGCCTTGCAGCCACTTCGTCGAACGGGAACGACGTGCGGAGGGTAAGTCCGAATGAGTTATCCGCGATCCTACGTAGGCGAAGTTACTAGGCATGGACAGGCATGACGTGATGACTGAAACTCACCCATCTGTCCACCGGCTGTGTTGATCGGACAGCAGCTCGGACCCTAGAAGAGGTCTTCAAGGTCACGATGATCAGACCCTTCGAAGGAGCGATACCACTCCGTGGACGTACCTGGACCAACTGTGTTTTCGTCGCGAACGATGGTGGACCATGACGGCTCGTTGGCAAGTGGACGCATCTTGGGCTTCGTATACTCAAGGGTACCAGAGGGGGTCGAAGCGGGACAGCAGAGGAAGGGGAGATTGGTTTATGACGGTTCAGAAGTATAGCCAGCTAATGCCGCTGTTGAATAGGAGTCGTGGGTCGAGCTCGGGCTTCGTGTCAAGGTGAGTACTTCAGGATGGGCATGGATGTATCACACCCTGATATTATACACGAGAGGCCCCAGAGCCGAAGCTTACCAGATGACATGAAGATCAGGCATATCCGTCTCGAACCTGTCCATGACTTTTCTTTCCGAGGAGAGTTCTTGGAGTCGAGCCCGTCAAAAAGCTCCAGTGATAACCCACATTGATGATATGACATGGTGGCCGCATGCTGGTAAGCGCATCATGTCATGGTGTTCCGTTACAGCAGGAACCTGCAGGAATGTAAGTGATCGCCATCACTATTGATGTGCCCGCCGCCCAGTACTAGTGTCGAACACCTGTCAATGTCAATCATCGCTCTATTGCACTGGCTGTACAGGCCGCCTTGGTTGTTATCAAGCTGGTACAGCAAACATGACAGGTTGAACGAACTCCGCCGTTTCACCTAAGACCTGATATGCGAACCGATTCGGATACTGTAGCTGTACATGGTGAGTACACAAGGCGGGCACAGACGGTGCTGTGGCCCAGAACGATATGCAAGTTTTCCCCTGCCGAGACATGCGCCCCTGGGTCGGTGACCTGCTGAGAGTCAGGTCATCGATGGCGACGAGGGACGAGTGCAAACATTACATGGGCGGGTGACGAACACTGTAATAGGTGCAGCCACCAAGCAGCCACAGGCGTGTATGTACTACCGAGTCACTAGCGCTCACCGTCGAACTCGACGTACTCAAGACGTTGACCATCATGTCGCTCCCCAGTTCTATGATCGCTTCCTTTGCGCTTTCATCTATAGATCCCCCAGGCGAACGGCGACGACTCATGAAACCCTATAACCAGCCTCCTTTGAAACGCAGCCCGTTAACCGAAGAAGTAGGTTCGTGATTTGATTTGAGGAGTTCGTTTGTTAATCCAGACTTTCAGGCTGTCGAGCGCGTATGCAGCATGGCCCCGCTACCAAGGCTCCATCGCAGTTTCATACCTGACATGAACGTGACGTGGAAGCCACCCGTCATGTACTACGGCTGGTCAATCGGTGATCTCCAGCCTAAACTCTTGCAGTATGCCGAGGAGCACGATCTTCTGAGCCACACTGTCATGGAGGGAATCTCGAAGGCGGTGACTCCGTCCGGCGCGAACACATCTGATTCTGATGATTCCGACGATGAAGGGGAGTTGGGCAGTGTGCATCCGACGAATGAGGAGGAAGAAATGGAGGGAGAAGTATGCGTGGACGTGGCCAATTCCGCACAGAATGCCCTGTGGGCGATCGTCGAAGAGGCTGGTGTCCGTGTGCGCCACTTTCAACCCTACACCCGGCCGTTCCGTCTCCGTGGTGTGCTACATGAGCCTCATCACGTCGCAATCTCCATCTACTCGAACTACGAGCTCGATCAAGCCGTGCCAGACGACGATATTGCGAAGGTGCAGAAGGTACTCGATATCAAGGAGGTGCCTGCCTGGTACGTGAGCAATATGGCGTCCGAATGGAGTCCGTTTCCTCCCCGGCTGTGACGTCCTCATCTATATCATTCTCTGTGCGTATGGTGTTCTCATGGTTTCTCTTGATGATTGACTGACTGGTCACCTAATTTACGGTGTAGTGTTACAATCTGCTACTAGAGTATTCAAGCGCACTCATTGGGGCAAGCAGTCGAAATCCAGATGCATACTACACGGGTGTAAATATCAGCTCACGAGCGCATGAGCCGTAAATCAGGTAGGGTCTGTGGCGACTGCCAGCCATCGTTCAGCATAAATACGCACCAGACCTACATACATACAGGACGATCTGGACGAGCCGCATCTTGGTAGCCTAGATCCGGTGTGCTTATCGCACACGCGCATCAGACCACATGCATAGAGGGCTGAGGTTTCGAAGAAGGCGTGGCTGTGATGCCCGCCAGTGGAAAGTACAACATTGCGAAGACATCACCTTCCAAAAGCAGACGAACAATGGGTGCGATGGAGCCACGTGATCAACACGTGGTAGCCCCGATTTGTCTTTCACACTCCGCCTGATCCACGAGCGCGGTTGTGGCGCTGTCCCGTTGCTCAACATCCTCCTCATTCCCGCACTGCCTGCATATACTGGGACGCGATTTCCGCGTAATACCTGCTAGCTGTCGCCATAGACGTCTTTTGGGTGGCCATAAACCTACTCGCTGAGACGGTGAACCCACAATTCACGCCGTTACTGGACGGTAAGTGTCTCGGCCTGCCCGTTTGGGCGATAACAATGGACTGACTCATAGGTCCATCAGACAGAACTCCGTCCGCGATATTGCCTTTTTTGAACACAACGTTTGCCATTGGCTTGGACCGCCGACATGCCTCACCGCTTAAAGCCTCGCGCAAGTCGCGTTCGCACGGCTCCCTGTGCAGCTCCCGCTGTAGTCTCCCGCCCCATACTCTCTGGTCCCATTGTCAGCCGACACTTCCTCCAATGGCGCATCGAACACCCCGTCAGATGAAATCGCGTGTGTACACGATCCGCAAGCACGAGGCCCTACAAACGAGCGAAATCAACATGGACGGCTGGAGGAGCGAGGTGGATGGTAAAATTGTGGAGATGATGATCCCCATCAAAGAGTTCCTGGCATTCTTTGTGCCCAGCGAGGCGGCAGTGGTCCTGTCGACGACCGAGAATCCCTTCAGGGTACCCGTGGGCGGGCTGGAGTCGACTATGTACGAGCCTCTGGTACGTGGCGATGGCAGATTAGCACAAGGAACTGTCTGAACATTATTCAGTGCGTGGGACTGGAGGCGATCGTCGCACACTTCCCAGAGAAGAAGCGTCCGTGCTTCTACAACAACGCACACGAGCCGATCAAGTTCCCTTTCCTCCTCGCCGAGCAGGACCAGCACGCGACGAAACCGGACGTCGTCGCGTCTTTGCCCGGTCAGACATTCAAATCCTCTTCCCAAATCGCTGGCGGAACATCTCCGTCGTGTTTGAGGCGAAGAGCACGGACAAGGAGGATCCGATGTTATACTGCTCGAAAGTCAACGACGAGACGCTAGTGCAGCTATCCAAGAGCGCGCGTAACATCCTCGTTTCTCAAAGCCGGCTGTTCGTTTTCACAGTCGGTATCTACGGACGCCACGCACGTATCTTTCGATTCGACCATGCAGGCGCTGTATGCTCGCCGGCGTTCGAGTACGGGTCTAACAACGGCACGGTGCTTCACGAGTTCTTCTGGCGTCTCGTGCATCCGATTCGCAAGGATTGTGACATCGTCGGGGCGGATCCATCCGTTCGGTTCCCGTCCGAGCACCCGAGCAACGACGTGAAGGAGAAATTGATTTCCTGTGGTGTTGAATTCACCAACGAAACTGTGAAGGCGTGTCGCTGGGTCACCCTCGAGGGCGCGGACCAGGGCAAGGACAAGAAGTACCTCCTCTACGAGTTGATCTTCATCAACCCACGCCTTTTCTCCCGAGCGACGATGATTTGGAAGGCTTTGGAGCTCGATGAAAGCGGCCAACCGACTGGTCATCACGTCGTCATCAAGGAAGCTTGGCGCCAGCTTGCGCGGGAGTCGGAACTGACGTTCCATGAACGAATCCGTACGCACGTCGCGTCGCAGCCTGCGCCTCCGGCAGCGGCAGATGAGGGATCGGAACGCATGGACGAGGACGCGTTCATGGCTGCGTGGAATGCGACATGGTCTGGTCTTATGGTAGTCACGCTGGGTATCGACCTAGGAGAAGAGGAAGAACTCCACATAGAGGATGAGGATCCAGTCGGACATCGGACGCGTGCTGGGGTTCACCAATGCCAGGGTGAACACCAATGGTTCGAGCGGAGTCATATGCGCCTCGTATCGGATACCATTGGCACCCCAATCTCGCAATTCAAGCGTACGAAAGAGATGACGCAGGGGCTTCGAGACGCGATTCACGGTACGTACTAAGTTCGCCATGCGCTCCTGTGATATACGGGCGATTAACTTCCATTTGTTGTGTGCTTGTAGGACATCAAGTGGCGTTCGAAGCAGGCATCATGCACCGCGACGTTAGCGAAGGCAACGTTATGCTCGTCAATGGCAGGGGCTTCCTGCATGATTTGGACTACGGCTTCGACTGGAAGAATTTCCTGCACAAGTTGGGCTACGAGGATACCATCGCGAGCTGGGAGCAATATGTGCTCACTGAGAAGGGTATACCGAGGGCGGACGTCCCCGCGCCCGCTGCAGAGCCAGTGCAGCCGCACACCCATGAAAATAAGGGGAAGGCTGCTGAGCGACGTGCGGTCATTAATCGGCGGGGCGAGAAGGAGTATTTTGTCGAGGCGATACTCGCGGAACGGCCGACATCCAACGGAAAGAAATATCTGGTGAAATGGGCGGGTTTTGGGCATGCGTCGAACTTGTGGCTGCCTCTCGCCAACGTTCGGAACTGTGTGGCCCTGTCACTCTGGCTGAGCCGGCCGCTCGAAGACCGCACTCGAATGTCCAAACAACATTCCTCTAACTACTGCGGCGACCCGGAAGAGCCTCATGAGGGGGCCAGGCCGAACGTAGTGGTGACCGACGCAGTCCGCGCAGACGACGAAAAGACGAGGCTAGAATGCAAGCAGCGTACAGTAAGTCTGCGTCCAAGTATGGCTTTATTCGTTCGACTTACGTTTCTGTGGTACAGGGCACGTTCTACTTCATGGCCATCGAGGTGTTGAACAAGAAGATCATCCATCAAGTCCGACATGACCTTGAATCATTCTACTGGCTCTTGGTTTGGCTTGTTCTGAGGCATACCAGACATAGTCGAGGAAATACGCACGACATACTGAAAGCCTTGTTCGATCTGCCCTCCGACGAAACTTGCGCCATGGTCAAGATAGGCTGGCTGATGCAGAGCTTTCGGGTGCAAGACAACCAGCCTCTGAGCGATTTACTCCGTCAATTCGCACAGCTGTGTCGTGAAAACATCGCCTGGGAGGGTGAGGCAACGTCTAGTCCCGTGACGTACGAGAGGGTGCTGCAAATCTTTGATGATGCTCTTGAGCGCAATGACTGGCCTGAAGACGACGAGGCGATACCATTCAAGCCTGCCGACGCTAGCGACGAGAAGCCAGCCCGCTTAGAGCGTCCTTGGAGCGCCTTGCAGTCAGGTCAGATGGGCTCACAAGCCCAGCACAGCCGAGGACAACTCTCTGGTTCTCTTCGAAACACAAATAATGTGCCTTCGAACAGCGCAGCGCAACTACCACCGGCACAGCGCCAGCGGGGCTCAGGTGGCGGTGGGCTGCTTGCAACTCCGGATTCTGGATCGAGGCCAGCCATCGCGTCATGGGCAAGCCCACCCGTATTTCTGCCGGGTCTGGCTTCTCCTGAGTCGCCTACGCCGTCGTCACGAAGGGGGACCTCATCCTATTCCGCCGCATTGACTTTGCCTATGCCCGTGTTTGACGGTTCATCAGGCAAGTCCAGCGGTTCGTCGCCCGACCGTTCCGATGGCGAACAACAGGAGCCCACGCAAGGGAGGCAGGGATACGCGGCCAGCAGGTCTCGCAGTAGCCGGAAACGGTCCCAAGAGGACCTGATTGGAGCCGACGAGGATCTCGCAGTGGGTCCGTCAAAGCGTTCAAGGACCCACAGCGAGCTGCCGCGCCGTCGGCTGTCGCGCGGCCCAACTCCAGAGCGATGATGAACGCACTCCTCTGTACTCTATTGTCTCTCCCGAGGACTGACTGTCTGCATCGCTACGCTCGCATTCTGTTACCCGTGTAGACCGTCTCGTCGCTGGATCGCTGCTGATGTATCTATATCCACTGTCTGCTGTTGTCTCCCATCCATCCATGTTTCGCTAATTGTATCAACGTCGGTCTGGTTTTGACTGGTCGACGTCTTGCCGCGACATCAGAGAAGTGTTTGAATGTACCAACTAATGCTGTGCGTACGCAGGGTCGTCGTCTGCTTTACGTCGTACGTCTATCAATGTCAACATTGGGCATGGCAAGGCTATGTCCGCTAATTACGGACAAAGGAGTGACTACTACAAACACCACCGCGACGCCGCCTGCATCCACCATGGTCCCGCCCTAACAGAGGACCTACCGGACGTGCACATCAATAGGCCATCCGCCCACAGAACCTCACCGTCGAGAGCACATGATAATGATTGTCACTAACGCATTACGGTTCGCACCCTCAAGGCGCGGGAGCACGCGCTCACTCCGGCTTGTCCGTCTCGATGTCCTCCAGCGGTACTCCGTCGTACACACCGTTCGATGGCTTCCGCTGTGCGAGCGGCGACACGAGGTGCTTCACCCAGGTGGAGTAGAGCGAGCGGAGAGGGTTGATCGCAATTGACGGGCGGGGAGGGGGAGCGGAGACTGACGCTGTGACATTGACATTGCGACCCAGATGTCGGGGGAAAGCCCCATGCTGAAAGGACGGGTTGGTTTCGTCCACCACGGCATATCAAGATGTTTCTCACCTTATTGAGAGGGCCCTGACTAGACGTGCAGAGCTCGTCGGCGTGGACCCCGGACTGACCAGCGGGTTCACCATTTCCTGGGAGCTCGCCGCCGAGCACGAGGCGGCGATCATAGAGCTGACGGCACCGGACGTGACGCTGATCGGCCCCTCGCGGACGTTCGTCTCGTTCATGAACACTCCAGCGAAGAAGCTGGCGGCGAAGGTGGGCCAGGACATCGGGATGCGCAGAAAGGGCGGGACGTGCAGGAGAAGAAGGTCGTGGCGACACTCAGATAGAGCACCGTACCACATAAGTACGCGCGACCAGCCTTGCAACGACAACATAAGTACGCCATGACTGCATCTGGCCAAATGTCAGTACTCACTACACATCCGGAAAAGTTCCCGACGTACTGATGGTGCCTCAACTCGCCTGGCACATCCGTCTCGCAGGTCCTCCAACCTAGGCTCTGCCAGTGGTTTCGTAGCACTCATTCAATACTAATGGATTGGGGGACCTCCGAGTCTAATGTGCGCGTGGCTACGGTTCAATTGCAAAGCCGTACTACAGACATGTAAGTCTCCAGTTATCCAGACGAGCACTCACCGTTTCTCGTACCTTTACCTGTCTGTACAGCCTTGCAGACAACTTCGCCATGGCCAAACTGAAGCGTCGAGAGTCGAGACGTCCAGCTCGAGGAGAGGACGCGCGACGCGATCATGTGCCCGAGCTCTGTGGCTCACCCGGAGGCGCGACACCTGTCCGACAGCCACACCAGGCTGGTCTGCCACACCACCGTACTGGCCGTAGACATCCATGTCGCTATACAGCCGTAGCATCCCCTCTTTTTCTCTGCCCTCTGTCTATCCTCCCGGCCAGATGCAGGGTCTTCCTGCTCCGTACAACCAGCCTCCCTTCAAGCGCGGCTGGTTGACCGACGAAGTAAGTCTCGTCCCTGACTAATACGCATTTCCCAGTCGTTCAAAGTCGTAGGCAATTAAACGCGTGTCTAGTATGAATCCCCTACCTCGACTTCATCGAAGCTTGATCCCCTACCTCGACTTCATCGAAGCTTGATCCCGGACTTGGACGCTGCATGGAAACCTCCCGTGCTGTACTACGGCTGGTCGATCGGCGATCTTCTCCCGACGCTCCTCGAATACGCGGAAAAGCACAAGCTCACGAGATACACCGTCATTGGTTATTTGCAAAAGCCTACGACGCCCTCCGGTGAGAAACTGTATCTCTCTGACGACTCGGACGACGAAAGCGATACGGGGAGCGTGCACTGGGGCGACGCAGAAGATGAAGAGGAGGAGGAAGACGGCGAGGTTCGCGTTCAGCCGACTGTATCTGCAGAGAGCGCTCTTTATACCATGGCGAAAGAGGCCGGTGTGAATATGCGTCATCTGCCCGCCTCGAGGCAGCCCTTCCGCGTCCGCGGCGCGCTGCACGCCCCGCATAAGCTCGTCATCTCCGTCTACTCGAATTAGCTTCCGAGCTGGGCTGGGCTCTCCCCGACGCCGAGGTCGAGAAGATGCAGACGAAACTCGGGATTCAAGAGGCGCCTGCATGGTACGTGAGCAACATCGATTCGACATGGAGTAGGGTTGCTCCTAAGTGGTGATTAATGTGTTGTCTCCTGCTATCCAAGGAAAGCCAGTTTGATGGTACGTGGCGCCGGTATTTTGATCGCGATGGCTTGACATTAACTCATTCGCGAGTATTCAGGCTGTTATGATGTCTTGGCCGATGGCCAACCGATGGCCCATTCGTACGGGAGCAGACGAGTAGGATAGTGTACCATAGTCCAATGGATCATGTACGAGGCGAATGCGACGGATTATTTTTACCAACGAGCACCGAGACCAAATCAATACTGTCCAACTTTGCCAGGCTAAATATTGTGACAAAACATTAATTCCAGCAAGTCAAAATACATCCGTTCGACGCACGTCGCACGTCGGAGGACGCGCGCACATAGTGTCACACGTGATCGATCCAGCGATTGGCTCGCCGTCAACTCAGAGCGAGGCGTCTGCGTCGAGGACTCGAGTTGTCCAAAACAAGTCTGGCACCTTTCACCGCTCTGCACACGACCGAGGCCGTATCTGCCCTGCGCGACCATGTCCACCGTCGATTTTGACACGGCGGTGAAGCAGGAGGAAGCGCACCTCCGCAAGGTGCACCCCACGCCGGACGACATCCCGGGGTGCATGACGCTCTTCGACGACTTTCTCTCCTGCAACAGTACGTCCCCCTCCCCGCCCACCCCACTCCCCGCTGAACCTGCCCCGCCGCGCGCGCAGTCGTGGGCAAGCAGCTCACCTCGCTCTACCGCTACGGCCACATGTCCGTCTGCGGGCCGAAGCTCGCGGAGTTCAAGTTCTGCATGTCGCTGAAGGGCCTGCACCCCGAGGAGCGGCGCGACGCGTGGATCCGGCGCCGCGCGGAGTGGTGGGCGCGCCGCCGGGTCGAGAAGAGCAGCGAGGACGTGTGGGACGTGCGGACGTACGTGCGCTTTTCGCGACATCTGGCGAGGGCTGACTGACGGGCTCTGTGCGCGGTGTGTAGGGAGCCGCTGAAGGACTTCCCGCCGGCGAGGCCGTACATGCCCTCGGAGACCGGCTCTGCGCTCGAGTGAGGGATGGCGTGCAGGGCTCTATGCGGACCGCACGCGCGTTAGGCTCGACCGCATTATGAACAAGTGCGATCAAGATCGCAGTCAATTTCGTCGCGTGGATCATGGGGAGCTCGTGCACCAAGTGCTCGAGTGCAGGCTAGACTGGACTGCCAGCCCCTGGGTACTGCTGCGGAAGTGGGAACAGTGTTTGTATTCGCCTCACCCATGATGGGCGTGATGGGACGGCCCTTGCGCAGCCCCTCGTGTACATCTTGCAACAACAAGAACACGACTTCAGGCTCAAGTTCCTGAGGACGATTCACGGGGGGCGTACTGGATACGGACGCGGCACCTAAATGCGTACGTTGCACAGTGTGATGTTATTGGAACCCAATTCTTTCCGATAGTTGGAATTCTACGGGAGAGCTTGAGTACAGCAACTGCAGGAACGAGATCTAGGCACATCGTCGCGTCTTCGTGCCCCCCTTCCCCGGATATACTGGATGCTCGTGCCCCACAACCCGAGATTTGAACGTGCGGTGTTGTTCGCCTCTCGTTCGGCCTGAGTGTTTGGTCCTGGTTCTGGTAAGTATGCCAGAACCTGCCTCGCAGTTAGATATTGAACATTGAAGACCTTTTGACACTAGCGATAAGTGACCTTCGACGGTGCCGAGACTAAAGAAGGACGTATTCTACGACACTCCTCAGCGCTTCAGCAGCTCGGTCTGGAGATTGATGAGGAACTGCCACTTTGCGTCGACCTTCTGACGTGCGTCGCACCCGCCAGCCCGATACGGATGATCTTTGGGATGTTCCATGAAGAGTTCGAAGAGCGTGCAGGACTTAAGTTCAGTTGCTGTCAGTTGAATTCGTTGTACCGGTGCGAACGCGACTCGGACAATGGACCTCGGCCTCAACGGCTCTGAGATCAAAGTAGAAACGTTCTCGAAGCTGTTTCCAATGGACGCTGGTCCAGAGTGCAGATACGTCGTTGTCGCGCAGAGCTGTGGTTGCGCGCCGTCGGTCTCCTTGGTCGCGGCCGCCAGCCCAAATGCGGACAGTCGCACTACAGTCGCGGCAAAGAGGAGCGGAAAGTCCCGTGAAGAATCCGAAGCTCACTCGCCGTCAGCTCCATCCTCGTATCGATGCGATCTCGAGACATGACGACATAGCATGACCGCATTGGGATGGTAGTTGACACTTGCTGTGCTAGTTCGTGCGCAGGTTTATTCACCTCTCTCTTCACAGAGACCACGCCCGGTGTATATATAGGCCTCGGTATCGGGTAGAAGGTCGACCCCGTCCCTTCCTCCCCTCCCACTATCTCCCCTCTCACGCGAAGAGGATGCATCGCCCGAGCACACGCCGTTTCCCCATATCCCTACGCCCGTCTTTCTCGTGCTATTCCAGTCCCGCGCCGTTGCCAATCCGCTGAGACTGCTTATATCCGCTTAAATGAGTCATGATATCAGTGAGCTTACAGTGCCCATTTGAACGCTCAGCTGCTGACATGCTTGCATAGACGGACGACTACCTCTGAGATGAACGCGGTGTCGAGCGGTCCGCCTGCAACACGCCACGATCTCAGGCGTGTCCAGACGTAGGAACGTGCGCTGCTCGAGACCAGTGTGAGTACGCTGTCATTTGTGAACGTTTGAACGCTGGGAACGCCGTCGCTGCGTGGTCTCCAGTGTCTCCGTCTCCCGTCCGGATGTGGACGGAGAGGCAGCCCAACCGGGCCCGACGGAGGCGCTATTAATAGCCGCGAATGAGCGGGCCTCCCCGCCGGCTATTTGAGGGGCGCGCCACCCGATCTGAGATGGGAGTGCGTCATCGTCTCTGGGGTGACCGAATGGAGCCGCGCGCAGCCCTTCGCGAACAGCGAGCGGGCGTGCGCAGTGCGCAGCGCCTGTCCTGCCAGGCCAGCACATCTGAGACACAAGACCCCGGCTTCTCCCTTTCTCTCCGCCACCGCTGCGCAGCCGCTATAAGTCTCCTGTTATGCGCTGACTTCCTGCTCCCTCCTACTTGACACCTTTGGTATGTCCGTCCCTTTGGCTGCCTTTGGAGTGGGAGTGCTGATAGGAAGTCGCGAGTCAGACAGGACCCCCGTTGTCATTCGGCCTCACCGCCTCTGGGCTTCGCCGACAGCCGCCCGCTTCGCACACTGGCGGAACATTCTTCGCTGGACCACTGTCAGCCACATTCGCATCTGTTCGTCTACCCTCTCTACAACCTAGTCCATCCTGCAGGCGCAGTGTCAGCCTCCCCTTCCCTCCTTTCATCGTAACTTATCCATTTCGCTGTAAACATGCCGTTCGGACACGTCCCCGGCCCCCTCCGCACCCTCAAGCTCAATCGTGCCTCTCGCGCCCTTCTGCTCGTCGGACTGGGGGTTACGCTATTATACATCGGTCTGACACTGACGACATCCTCTGCGCGTGCACCACACCTGCTTTCGTCCGTCTCTGCCTTCATGACCTCCCCCCTCAACGGCCCCGCGCCAAACGCCACAGCCTCTGCCTCTGCGCAGAAGCCGAAGCCCACGCAGTATGACCCGAAGCTGATTCTTGGTGAAACGCATAATACGGAATACGCCGGCCCACCGGCGGGGTTCAATGGCACGCGGCGGGCGAACGCGACGTTACTTATGCTCGCGAGAAACAACGAGCTGGAGAAGGCGAAGCAGAGCGTGCGCGATCTCGAGGAAAAATTCAATCGCCAGTTCGGGTACCCATGGCTTTTCCTGAACAACGTACCATTTGACAAGAAATTCAAGGAGTGAGTGTCGGTCTACGCCGGAAAGCACTCGTGCTGACATATGGGCTAGGGAGATGAGCGCGCTCGTGTCGGGTCCGATTACGTTCGCACTTATCCCTCCGCAGCACTGGTACCAGCCCGACTGGGTCGACGAGGACAAGGCGAGTCGGAGCAGAGACGCGATGGTCGAGCAGGATATCATCTATGCAGGTGCGCCACATGCTGTCTCGTCTGCTTTTCTTGCTGAACGCCTCCACGCGGCAGGGAGCGTGTCGTACCGGAACATGTGCCGTTTCAACTCAGGTTTCTTCTACCGCCATCCGATTCTGCAGCAGTACAAGTGGTACTGGCGCGTCGAGCCCGACGTCCACTTCCACTGCGTCGTCGACGAGGATCCGTTCTTGTACATGGAGGAGCACGACAAGGTCTACGGTACGTCGCTCGTTCTTATGATATGGAGGTCACTCACGTTCGCGCAGGGTTCACGATCACGCTGCTCGAGTTTGAGAAGACGATCCCGACGCTGTGGCCGACGGTGAAGAACTTCATCGAGGAGAACCCGCAGTACGTCGCGCCCGACAACGCGATGGGCTACCTGAGCGAGGATGGGGGCGAGTCGTACAACCTGTGCCATTGTGAGTGCTGCTATTATTAGCTTCGATGGTCGGCGGGGCGAGGCGGCGACGGGCTTGGCCGATCGGCATTGCGATGGCTTCTTTCCCCGTACGCGTCGCGGCAGCGGAGGTGCGGGGCTTGGCGCGGGCTCTGTCAGCCAAGGATGTTGTCCTGTCGAGGAAGCTGACTCGGAACTGCTTGGCGTGCCGTCCCCAGATGCGCTCCCCCCGCACCGTCTCCCGTTACCTAGTTCGAGTTTCGCTCCTCAGGGAGGTTAACTGACGTGTTGCACCCAGTCTGGTCCAACTTCGAGATCGCAAACATGGACTTCTGGCGCGGGGAGGCGTACACCGAGTTCTTCGAGTATCTTGATGCCAAGGGCGGGTTCTACTACGAGGTGCGTGTCTCGCCTTCCCCATCCAATTGCTTCGTTCGTCCATGTACTCAGCTATCTTGGTTTCCACAGCGCTGGGGCGACGCACCTGTGCATTCCATCGCCGCGGCACTCTTCCTGCGGAAGAACCAGATCCACTTCTTCGACGAGATTGGGTACGAGCACCACCCGTTCACGCATTGTCCGCACACACCGGGTATGATCAAGAAGAAAAAATGTACGTGCCGCGGATGGAGGAGCTTCGACTACCAGGCATACTCGTGCATGCGCAAGTGGGAGCGCATCTTCAGGTAGTCAGGAAAGGAAGGGGCGTGTCGCAGGATTCGATGAGGGAGGGTTGAATGATGGTGGTTGAGCCACGCCCGTGTCCCGCCCTCCTGGTCCGTGTTCGGGAGTGTTGGTGCGCGCGGAGCGTCCCCGATTCCGTCCAGAGGCCGCGCAGACCTGCCGTCCAGCGGTGCCGCTCGCCCGGGTCTGAGGAACACGGCCGTAGTGATTGAGGTCCGCGCTCTGGTTTGGGTGGCTTGGGTTGCGGGCAATCCGTGAAGCTGCGCCCTATGGTTGGTGAGCGAGGTGGCGAGTGCTGTTTGGGGCGGGGCTGCCTACGCGGACTCGCGGACTGCGGTATTTACATCCACATACGTATTCACACATCTACGTAGCGAGCGAGGGCTGGAAGGCGGCTTTCGCTGACGTTTGCGCATATAGCGCATTCTGCCCATGTTCTCTCTGGAATGTATTTCTAGGCATTTTGGGTACTTGGAAAGCAGCTCGACATTCGCGAATCTCGTGGGCATAGAATCTCGAATCATGTGAATGCACTGGCCAAGCAAGTACTGGCGGACAATTCTGCGACCTCGCACTTGGGCACTTCTGAGCGTTTACTGGCATCGACTTGAACGGTATTGCAACCGCATGTACGAGGCAGACTGACAAAAGCGCGTACGATTAATGATTCCACTGGCGGCTGCCGTGCGAAGTCCGCACGCACTGTAAGGCTCTGAGGAATTAAAATACGCCACATCAGGTACACGACTAAGTACTACTCGTTGACCACCTGCATAGAAACGAAGGACTCGATTCGTACGCCAGGCACTGGTCGCTCGCGTCTCCTTCACCCCGGAGTACTCCTGCGTCCTGTCGACAGCCTCGTCGGGGACGGCGGAGCCCATTCCTCGGCCCGCACAGGCGGAGATGGCGAGGAGGCCCGGGTCGAGGGCGGGAATCCAGATGTGGATACAACGGGCTGCTGGTGATGGGGCGGGGCGGGAGGTAGCGCTACAGAGTCTTCTGTCGGTGTCCAGAGTACTTTTCAGCGGGAGGTCCGCCTCGGACACGGTGACTTCGTCTTCCTCCCCGAGCCCGGATGTGTACGGGCCCGAGGACGATCACCACCTGGGAGCAACCGTACTCCATGTCGCGTAGGTATTGCTCACGTACCATGCAGGCGCCTCTTGAATCCCGAGTTTCGTCTGCATCTTCTCGACCTCGGCGTCGGGGAGAGCCCAGCCCAGCTCGGAAGCTAATTCGAGTAGACGGAGATGACGAGCTTATGCGGGGCGTGCAGCGCGCCGCGGACGCGGAAGGGCTGCCTCGAGGCGGGCAGATGACGCATATTCACACCGGCCTCTTTCGCCATGGTATAGAGAGCGCTCTCTGCGGATACAGTCGGCTGAACGCGAACCTCGCCGTCTTCCTCCTCCTCCTCATCCTTTGCGTCGCCCCAGTGCACGCTCCCCGTGTCGCTCTCGCCGTCCGAGTCGTCAGAGAGATACAATGTCTCGCCGGAGGGCGTCGTAGGCTTTCTTAGATAGCCGATGACGGTGTATCTCGTGAGCTTGTGCTCTTCCGCGTATTCGAGGAGCTTTGGGAGGAGATCGCCGATCGACCAGCCGTAGTACAGGACGGGAGGTTTCCATGCAGCGTCCAAGTCTGGGATCAAGCTGCGATGGAGTCGCGGTAGAGGATCCATACCAGATACGCGTTTCATCGCCTACGACCTTGAACAACTGCATAGCCAGAACGAGACTTACTTCGTCGGTCAGCGAGCCGCGCTCGAAGGGAGGCTGGTCACGGTTGTACGGAGCAGGAAGAGCATGCTTCTGGCCGGGAGGATCGACAGAGGGTAGAGAAAAAGAGGGGATGCTACGGCTATATAGCGACATGGATATCGAATGTCTACGGCCAGTACAGTGGTACAATATTGAGGGCAGACCAGCCTAGACCAGCCCGGTGTGGCTGTTGAACGAGAACTGCCGGGCCGCTCCTCCAATAGCCGCAGAGCCCGGTCACATGATCGCGTCGCGCGTCCTCTCCTCGGCCCTCGGGCTGGACGTCTCGACTCTCGTGAGTCTCGACGCTTCAGTTTGGCCATGGCGAAGTTGTCTGCAAGGCTGTACAGACAAGCAAAGCTACGAGAAACGGTGAGTGCTCGTCTGGATAACTGGAGACTTACATGTCCGTACGGCTTCGCAATTGAACCGTAGCCACATTTGACTCGGAGGTCCCCCAATCCATTAGTATTGAATGAGTGCTACGAAACCGCTGGCAGAACCTAGGTTGGAGGACCTGCAACACGGATGTGCCAGGCGAGTTGAGGCACCATCAGTACGTCGGGAACTTTTCCGGATGTGTAGTGAGTACTGACATTTGGCCAGATGCAGTTATGGCGTACTTATGTTGTCGTTGCAAGGCTGGTCGCGCGTACTTATGGGGTACGGTGCTCTATCTCAGTGTCGCCACGACCTTCTTCTCCTGCACGTCCCGCCCTTTCTGCGCATCCCGATGTCCTGGCCCACCTTCGCCGCCAGCTTCTTCGCTGGAGTGTTCATGAACGAGACGAACGTCCGCGATCAGCGTCACGTCCGGTGCCGTCAGCTCTATGATCGCCGCCTCGTGCTCGGCGGCGAGCTCCCAGGAAATGGTGAACCCGCTGGTCAGTCCGGGGTCCACGCCGACGAGCTCTGCACGTCTAGTCAGGGCCCTCTCAATAAGGTGAGAAACATCTTGATATGCCGTGGTGGACGAAACCAACCCGTCCTTTCAGCATGTGGCTTTCCCCCGACATCTGGGTCGCAATGTCAATGTCACAGCGTCAGTCTCCGCTCCCCTCCCCGCCCGTCAATTGCGATCAACCCTCTCCGCTCGCTCCACTCCACCTGGGTGAAGCACCTCGTGTCGCCGCTCGCACAGCGGAAGCCATCGAACGGTGTGTACGACGGAGTACCGCTGGAGGACATCGAGACGGACAAGCCGGAGTGAGCGCGTGCTCCCGCGCCTTGAGGGTGCGAACCGTAATGCGTTAGTGACAATCATTATCATGTGCTCTCGACGGTGAGGTTCTGTGGGCGGATGGCCTATTGATGTGCGCGTCCGGTAGGTCCTCTCTTAGGGCGGGACCATGGTGGATGCAGGCGGCGTCGCGGTGGTGTTTGTAGTAGTCACTCCTTTGTCCGTAATTAGCGGACATAGCCTTGCCATGCCCAATGTTGACATTGATAGACGTACGACGTAAAGCAGACGACGACCCTGCGTACGCACAACATTAGTTGGTACATTCAAACATAGTCTCCGTTGCTGAACAAAGAGATACTTATAATGCAAACACTTCTCTGATGTCGCGGCAAGACCTGTCAAAACCAGGCCGACGTTGATAAAACTAGTGAAACATGGATGGATAGGAGACAACAGCAGACAGTGGATATAACTACATCAGCGATCCAGCGACGAGACGATCTACACGGGTAACAGAATGCGAGCGTAGCGATGCAGACAGTCAGCCTTCTTCGGGAGAGACAATAGAATACAGAAGCATGCGTTCATCATCGCTCTGGAGTTGGGCCGCGCGACAGCCGACGGCGCGGCAGCTCGCTGTGGGTCCTTGTACGCTTTGATGGACCCACTGCGAGATCCTCGTCGGCTCCAATCAGGTCCTCTTGGGACCGTTTCCGGCCACTGCGAGACCCGCTCGCCGTGGTTCCCTGCCTCCCTGGCGCCGGCTCTTGATGTTTGCCTTTGGAACGACTGGACGACGAACCGCGGGGCGCGTCGGATGCCTTGCGAAACCTGAGAGGCATACTAGGCAACGCGCCTGAACGAGCTGAGGAGCCCCTTCGTGACGACGGCGTAGGCGACTCGGGAGAAGGCAGATTGGCCAGACTCGGAGGTCCCAATGGGCTTGCCCATCGCTCGAAGGCTGGCCCGGCACTTGCATTACGTGGTGTTCGGGGCGAGTGGTCGGCACCCTGAGCGTTTCCGAAGGTCGGCCATGCCGGTGGGCGAGACAACAATCCGCTGCCTCTTGCGCCACGCTGGCCTCGCGCGAGTGGACGTCCCACCACAGGGGCATTGACTCCGCTTCCAGGCGCGATATTGGATGGTACTGGATGATGCTGACCGCCCGAGGTCATTTGACTGCCGGTGGACATCCAGGTACTCCCGTCACGCGCTTCATGAAGCGACGCCGTGTCATTGTCCGCGGCAGGCTTGAAAGGGATTGCCGCGTCGTTTTCCGGCCAATCTGTACGAGCGAGAGCCCGGTCAAAAATATCCAGCACGGCATCGTATGTCAACGGGCTTGGGGCTGGCTTCGAAGCCTTCTTGTGGAAGTTTCCTTCACAAAGGGTCGAGAATTCATCGAGGAGAGCGCTCAGAGGTTCGTTGTCGTGGACAACAAATTCAGTATCTAGAAAGCCTCTCTTAGTGTCGGCGCAAGAGAGGTCATCGGGACCATCAAACATGGCTTTCAACCGAGCGTGCGTGTTGGGGAGACTGTGTCTTGTGTGCCTTAGAACGAGCCAGACCAAGAGCCAAAAGAACGACTCCAGGTCATGTCGTGCTTGATGAATGACTCCGCGGCCACGCAGCACTTCTATGGCCATGAAGTAGAATGTGCCCTAAAGCAAGGAAGTATGAGTAAATCGAGTCAAAACTGCCCATTGCGCTTAGACTTACTGTACGCTGTTTAAAATCCATCTTATTCCTCGCCTCGCCTCCAGACACGGCATCGCTGGCCAACACAACCCTGCTCGCCCCGCCGTCATGTTCTGCTGCCTCGCGAGCTTTGATGTACGGGATTGACAGTTGGGCGCGCTCTTCTTGTGGCCTACTCAACCAGTCTGACATCGCTGCGAGCTGCCGGACGTTTTCGATCGGCTCCCAAGTGTTCTTCTCGTCCCCAAAACCCTTCCACTTCACAAAATACTCCTTGCCCGTCGATGTCTTTTCTTCCGCAAGAATTTTCTCTACGGGCCATACTTTCTCGCCCTTGGAGTTGATCAACGGGCGTGGGGGTGGAGCTTTCTTCTCGTTGCCAGTATCACGGAGCGGCTCTTGCCCAGCGTTCGCAGCAAGCACCGGGCCGAAGATGTCTTCTCCCCGGATACCCGTCTTCGTCTGGACAAACTGCTCCCAGCTCTCCAGCGTGTCCTCGTAGCCCTCGTCACGTAGGAACTCCTTCCAGTCGAAGCCGTAGTCGAGATCGTGCAGGAAGCCCCTGCCCTGGGTGAGCATCACGTTGCCTTCACTGACGTCGCGGTGCATGATGCCAGCTTCGAAGGCCAGCCGATGACCTGCAAACGCACGACGATAAGCAGTCAGTCCACATGTCGCCAGAGGCGTGCATCAAGAGGCGTGCGCACCGTGTATTGCATCTCGAAGCCCCTGCGTCATCTCCTTTGTACGCTGGAATTGCGAGATTGGGGTGCCGATGACGTCCGAGACGAGGCGCATATGGCTCCGCTCGTACCATTGGTGCGCACCGTTCACTTGGTGTATCCCGGAGCGTGTTCTGTGCCCAACTGGTTTTCGTCCTCTACGTGTAGTTCCTCTTCTTCTCCAAGGTCGGCACCCGCCACGACTGTCGCCAAGCCACGCCACTCCGCGTTCCACACAGCCATGAAAGCCTCCTCATCTAGGCGGTCCCATTTCTCAGCGCCGTTTCGGAAGAGTTGAGCGGCGGCACGACGTGGGTACGGATCTGTCTATGGAACTTGAGTTCCGACTCCCGCACGAGCTGACGCCACGCGTCCTTGATGACAACGTGTTTACCAGTCGGTTCGCCATGGTCATCGAGCTCCAAAGCCTTCCATATCGTCGTCGCGCGGGAGAAGAGGCGTGGGTTGATAAAGATCAGCTCGTAGAGGAGATATTTCTTGTCCTTGCCCTTGTCCGCGCCCTCGAGGGTGATCCAGCGACACGCCTTCTTAGTTTCGTCGCAGACGTCAACGCCACAGGAGCGCAGTTTTGGCTTCACGTCGCGCGGGTGCGAAGTCGCGAGCTGAACGGCCGGATCCGCACCGACGATGTCACAATCCTTGCGAATCGGATGCACGAGACGCCAGAAGAACTCGTGAAGCACCGCACCGTTGTGAGACTCATACTCGAATGCCTGCGAGCAAACAGCGCCGGCGTGGTCGAATCGAAAGATACGTGCGAGGCGTCCATAGATGCCGACTGTGAAAACGAACAGCCGGCTTTGGGCGACGAGGATGTTACGCGCGCTCTTGGATAGTTGCACTAGCGTCTCGTCGTTGACTTTCGAGCAGTATAACATCGGATCCTCCTTGTCCGTCCTCTTCGCCTCGAACACGACGGAGATGTTCCGCCAGCGATTTGGGTGAGACGATTTGAATGTCTGACCGGGCAAAGACGCGACGACGTCCGGTTCGTCGCATGCTGGTCCTGCTCGGCGAGGAGGAAAGGGAACTTGATCGGCTCGTGTGCGTTGTTGTAGAAGCACGGACGCTTCTCTCTGGGAAGTGTCCGACTATCGCCTCCAGTCCCGCGCACTAAACAATGTTCAGCGAGTTACTTATGCTAATCTGCCATCACCACGTACCAGAGGCCCGTACATAGCCGACTCCGACCCGCCACGGGTAGTCTGAAAGGATCCTTGGCCGTCGACGGGACCATCGCCATCTCGCTGGGCACAAAGAAGTCCAGGAACTGGTCGATGGGGATAAGTACCTCCACGATTTTACCCTCCACTTCGCTCCTCCAGCCGCCCTTGTTGACTTCGCTCGACTGTAGGGCGTCGTTCTGGTAGATCGTGTACACGCGCGATTTCATCTGACGGGGTGTTGGGTGTGCCATCGGCGAAGGCGTCGTCTGACGATGGGAACAGAGAGTATCGGGCGGGAGACTACAGCGGGAGCTGCACAGGGCGCCGTGCGAACGCGACCTGCGCGAGGCTTTAAAGCGGTGAGGCATGTCGGCGGTCCAAGCCAATGGCCAACGTTGTGTTCAAAAAAGGCAATATCGCGGACGGAGTTCTGTCTGATGGACCTATGAGTCAGTCCATTGTTATCGCCCAAACGGGCAGGCCGAGACACTTACCGTCCAGTAACCGCGCGATTTGTGGGTTCACCACCTCAATGAGTAGGTTTATGGCCACCAAAAATACGTCTGTGGCGACAATTAGCGAATATTACGCGGAAATCGCGTCCCAGTATATGCAGGCAGTGCGGGAATGAGGAGGATGGTTGAGCAACGGGACAGCGCCACAACCGCGCTCGTGGATCAGGCGGAGTGTGAAAGACAAATCGGGGCTACCACGTGTTGATCACGTGGCTCCATCGCACCCATTGTTCGTCTGCTTTTGGAAGGTGATGCCTTCGCAACCTTGTACTTTCCACCTGGCGGCATCACAGCCACGCCTTCTTCGAAAACCTCAGCGCTATATGCATGTGGTCCTGATGCGCGTGGGCGATAAGCACACCGGATCCAGGCCAGAAAGGTGCTGCTTGCTCGGGCTCGTCCAGATCGTCCTGTATGTATGTAGGTCTGGTGCGTATTCATGCTGAACGATGGCTGGCAGTCGCCACAGACCCTACCTGATTTACGGCTCATGCGCTCGTGAGCTGATATTTACACGCATGTAGTATTGATCCAGATTCAGACTGCTGGCGCTCAACGAGTGCGTCTTGACATTTTCTACGCTGCGGTCTGCACAAAGTGGCGCGAACATGCGAAATAGATCTTGTCTCGAAGACTAAATCGCGTTCTGCGTGTCGGATACGAGTCGTACATAAGCCATCATGCGGGGAGCATTGTATGGCATTCAGCATTCTGGAGCATTAGCTCGCACGTCGGGGATACGTAGCACATCGCCTACAGAGAATAGGTATGCCCCAAATGCAACTGCCGGAACCTCCAGCTACTGGGTTTGTGACATTACACCTCGAGGCTGGCCATCCAGTGCCACAGGCGCGCTTTGTGTCCTGAGTATGACATCGTCACTGCAATATACTGGTGAGTTCCTCGGGCAGAAAACGCTCAAGTTACAAGGCTGTACCGACTCGCCATGAACATCACGCGGCGCCTCCACAACGGTAAGTGCTGGTCTGGGATACTATGGACGACTGCAGGCTTACTTGTTCGTGTATTGATCGTAGAATCAACGCGTAGTGCGAACAATCATGCTTGCGAAGGCTTCAGCTAGAATCGCCACTGCGCCGACCAACGGATCGTAGTAGCTTCTTCGCTATCCGTTCACAACCTTCTCAGTCCTGAGCTAGCCTTTACTAACGAGAACAAGGCATCGCATCACTCAGATGACCAAGCATAAGCCTCGATTTCAGAAGAAAAGGTATTTCTTCGAGTAAGTCAAGCCACTAAATGCAGGTGAGCGGTCACTCACTTGAGGCCACTACTATCATAGAAAGTGCAGTGTGCTCATTGACGAGCATCTTTAAGATGTCCGACCGCTCGTCCGGCTCTTCCTAGTGGTCAAAGCATTGTCAAATTTCGCCAGAGCTGGCATGAAGCGCCTCTACTCGTGCAACCAGACGTTCACATACATATCCCGGGTCGGACGGTTTTATTAGAATCATCTCGTACCACTGCCACATCTGGCTATGCAGCTCCTGCTTCACACTGGGAATCTGTCGCGGCCTCTGAGTCCGCGGTGTTATGCGAGAATCGGGACCGACGTGCGAAGTACGAGACAAAGTACGCCGGTTCATGAGTCTACCTTTGACAGCTGCTCAGCTCCGCCTCACATGCAGAGTTACTTTTGGCCGATTGTCGCTCGACTCTGCGATCTGTGCGTATCATTATTCATGGCCCCTGTTTCTACATAGCCACGTCGTGGCATGGACCGTATTGCTGACGCTACGCATATTCCAGCAAATTTTTCTCAATGCGTCTGCTCACAGGACATCTACCATTCAGACAACTTGAAGCACATTCGAAATGAAGATTCGCTGAATTACTCGGGGCCACATCATTGGAAACTCTCATTGAGCCGTACGCGCACTAATCACACCGCGTATCTGTGAGTCGCCATTCTATCCCTCAATGCCAGGCCAATGGCTGATCGATAATGCTAAGTTACAAGCCACTGGAATCGATCCGTATAATGGCGTAGAAGTCTCAACCGAGCCAATCTGAGTCTCCACACGAACCCTTCTGAAATTCCCTCACTGGCAACCATCTTCGCCAGACCCTCATTCTGTCTGTCGCAAGCACACGAAGCGTGATGCGACCGGTCAATTGACCGCAATATTCGGATCGGATTTACGAGCGGTTGTTTGGACAAGGTCATCACTGACAGATCGACATGGACTCGGCGACGAGCGGTGATCCGAGGTGAGGCTACCCTTTACTGCTACTCATGATTGACTACAGCCAGTTGCATTCACAGTGTGCGCCTAGCGACATGTAGTGCCAGGTGTTGTACGCTAGCGAACAGTCTTGGCTTGCATAGACGTGGATGCAGTCGGCGCATACGCGAGCCAAATGCGTGGCTACTACCTCGGAGTGGCGCAACGCCGCTTTGATTAGTACAGAGCGAAGTTGTTGTTCAAGGACAGCTTGAGTATGTGTCGGCTGATGCGAAACCTGACGACTGGCGCATGCGGCCGCTGCTCGATTAAATCCAAGTTGTGCGCCGCATATCCGCTCGGAAGCTTGACAGTTCTGCAGCGCTTGACAGGAAGGCGCGATCCTTAGCATGCGCAAAACAAGGTGGAAATGGGTCTAGGTCAAAAGACGAGAGCCCGAGTACCGCACCATCTTTGCATACCCTATCGCAAGCACACAACCTCGAGCGAAGAAAACCGAAGGATCGTTGATGCTGTACAATGTCAGCCGCTGACCCAAGTCTGTTCGTCGCTCCGTCTGCGCATGTCGCTGCAACGACGCTGTCTGCCTTGTAAGTGTTACCACCTTCTTCCTCGCCTTTCACGGGATGTCTGACGTCTGACATTACCAGCCATATAATGAACTCCTGCACTGTCGCGATATGCGGTTAGTGTCTAACTTACCGCGTGCATGATCACGTTGATGAGGCTCCGTACGCAGCTCTGGTCCTCTACGACCACGCAATATCACTCTCAAAAGAGATCAGATACTTCTGGAAGAGGGGAGTTCGGACAGGATCCAAGTTATTATTCTTCTCAAATCGCTACTCGCTATCGGCATATGCCGTCTTCACTGTCGCAAACATGGGCCGGCTCAGTCACAAGGTGTGTGGATTCCAGAGTACGAGTCGTGCTGACTAGCTGACGTTGCATAAGGGGTGATGTGGTCATATCTTAACACGATCGACGCGCACTGATGTCATCAATTCTTAGGTGCATGACCGTCAACGTAGTCATCAACGTCTGCCTCTTCGCTTTGTGTGTAACGCAAATAGGTATGTCTCCGGAGCTGGGAACATAGTGCAACCGTAGCTCATTTACTGTTATCAGTATTCGCGGCGCTTCGCGTCTTCGCGATCAGTGGTTACAACAAGCCCGTCACTGCGCTTGTATCATTCCTGAGCTCTGCTACGATCTGGGGTAACTTGGTGAGTCGACTGCTCAAATATATGCCACATCGAATTTCCAGGTACTCAGTCTGAAACACCCTTATAGTATCTCTTTTGCAAGACGACATATTCCCTACAGAGCTATACCGGCATCGTCATGTGCTCAAGTTCGCTCAACGTCTCGAATTTCTCATTTTATATGTGAGTAACTATTCATTGGCACCAGTAACCGGACTGACACTCTGATCGACAGATGCATGTTCCCTCTTTCCCGCAACATTGCTTGTCTACTCACCGAACGTCTAGGCATAGTGCTCAAGGATGTCAGTAGTATATGCGCGGATCTGCTGGTCCTCTCGATCACTTGGGGAAAGACGTGGGCCATCAAGAGAGCGGGTGATCGTGCGGGTGTGAGAACACCCATTGTGAACACTCTATTGCGTGACGGCAAGTATATTCGTCACTCAGTAGTCGCGAATTCGGGATAACACTCCCCATTAGGGACACTGTATTTCATGTGAGTCCTCCAACGAGTCCGAATGACGCTTCTGTGACAAATGTCCTGTTACATTCTCAGCTCAGTGTCGGCTCTCAACGTGACGCAGATAGCATACTTGACTTTCTATGGTGTACGTCGCGCAGTTCCGTATCTGAAGTGCATCGCAAAGTTGACGTCAACGTGGTTCACTAGGAGATGGACTATGTGTCTTGTTTCTTGATACCGTAAGCACGAGTCGTTTGCCACTGCCGAGCTACTAACCTCTACTAACATGCCTTTTCAGACTCCCCTCCCTGTTCCTCTCTCGGTTTCTCCTGAATCTTCACGCGAGCTCTGAGTCTTGTTGTTCAAGTCTATTGGCGGGCTTGAATTCACCGATGGCCTCCATTGAATCACTGGAATTCACGCAGCACACTGCAGATGAACAATGTCGTTTGGACTCTATATCATACTATGCGAGCGATCAACCGCTGGGAGGAAATGGAGGTTACGTAGAGGACCGTGCCCCAATTGTTGTGGTCGAAGCATGGGCCTGATAGTACACACCAGGCGCGCGTTTCATTTGGGACTTTGCATTGAAAAAAACGGATCGTACTCGTAGTTATGTCTTCAGCAAAACGATTGCGAGGATCTACGCAATTTCCTGCCCGCATCCGAGTCGTTACCTTAAGACAGGTGGTCTTGACGGATTGTGCTCGCAAGCATAACGGCAGAAAGGGCCTCCTGGTCAGGTTTGCTAGAGAAGGCAACATTAAGATTTGTTTGTATGCGAGCGGCTCGCAGTGTTCAAGTGCACAAAGAAGACCATACAAAGCACGAGCGCTGAGCCTCAGCGCTCAGCGCACTGATCTCGATCACGTGCATGACGCGCTCTCGCCCGCGGCCAAGCAGCAGGTTGTCAGTCCATCACGACTTTGCTAACGACTAGTTCCTCGTTCTCGGCAGTGGTTTGCTCTTTCGCCTTGCTCGATGGAAGCGTCTCTCAATAACTTGAAGAAAGTAATATCAAAATCAAGAATCAAGGATAAACGGAAGCATGTCGAAGTAATTCAGCAGGTTTCCTCGTTGCTTGTAGCCGTTCGTACGCATCTATCCTACGCTTTACCGTGCTGACATGCGCTTCGACCGCAGAATACCGCTGACGACACTCAGAAGAAACTGATTAAGCATCTTCGCCAACCCCTCGTCCCAATATTCTCGGCATATCCTTTACCTGCGCTGCAGTTCGCCTCAGCCCTGTTCCATCACATATACCATGAGAAAGTCTTGACGGCGCTCGGGAATCAACTGTTGGAGGAGAAGCGACGATGGGAAGATGTACTGACTAGCTTGTTGTCTGGCATCCTGGTGAGTCTAGGGTCACGGGTGCTCGTCTGCTGTCAAGCTGACCACTGCACAAGGATTTCTTGGACGAATGCGAACCAGGCAAGCCACGCTTCAGACATTGCACGAGCACACAGCTGATACAAATTGCACAAAAAAGACAAGAACAGAAGTATTTCGGCCAAGGATACCATTGCTGACGCCCTCTATCCAACGCTCTGCGACATATGCTTTTCGCTTACCGCACCCATGCAGTCAGTTGACCTACGGTGCACGGTGCGTACCATGACTGCATATATGCGCCTCATCTGCGCTTGCAGAAGTATACTGACACTTTCAAAGGCATACACGCTACTTTCTGACTCTGCTGCCTCATACGCCACGAATCAACTGAAACTTCGCGACAAGGCGGTGCTTGGGGGGTGAGTATTATCCTGGCGACTGGTCAGCCCGTCTCATTACGGCACAGTGAGCGCCTTGGAAGCATGATTTGGCGTACAAAAGGTGAGCGACACGACTATCGCCTTGATGTGTGCTGAAACATCTGCGCCCTAGACTACCTTGCCTTGGAGTCTCTTCTCACGCTATTCGCGCGCATTCTTCCCTCCGCCAAGGATTCTCAGTCTGGTCAGGCCAAGCGGGCAGCATATATGAAGGCGGTGTTCCTTTCACCTCAGCAGTCAGAACATGCCAGCGTTGGGCAGACAATCACAAAGCTCATGGAGCGCGTGCCGTCGAACGAGTGGGAGGAGACATCTAGGAAGATAGTCGACGCGCTCGCACTGGCCTATATCACTTTGTGGGTCGCTGAGGGGGCGCTCCACCGACGGAAGCTAACATATACTCAAGTCCGCAGCCATTCTCCGTCGACAAAGTGAACGCGTGTGGCGAAACCAAGCAATGCGACAAGCTATACATAGACGACAAGGCCTTTCTGTTCAACGTATTGATTGGGGTAGGACGTAACTCGCTCGATGAATTCTGGCTGAGTATATGCTAATACGTCGTGTAGGATGAGCACTGTGAAGCCTTGGAAATACGTTACGATACAACACGCAAGATCGAAGTTACTCCAGGACAAGCAGAGGCCGCTATTGTGGACATTCGCGTGAAGACGCCTCCCGCGATCAGCAAGGCTTACGTCAAGAGCGCCGAGACAAGCCAACTTCGTATCAGCTTTGCGCTTTCCAACGCTGATGTCGAGAGGTTCTATTCTGCTATTCGCAGCAGAGGACTCGTAAGAGCTCCCTGCGGGCCTTTCGAGGTACCGCTTATGCACGACTGATCATGGCGCGTAGGTGAGATTGCTCAAGGATGTCCCACCCAAGCTGTCGTTAGCAAGGTCTCCGGCTATTTTGGATTTTGACAGCGAGGGTCGGCCAGTGAAGGAACTAAGCCAGTCTGAAGTGCGTAAATTTCGCTATCGCAATGAGACCCAAAAATCTGACTCTACCTTCATAGCGAATCGAGAACGTGGAGAAATGTGAGTGTGTCGAACCTCCCTACGATATGCAAACCAGTCGTCGCATACATTGACCACTGCTGATGCGCACACCTTCGCAGTCTACCATACCAATCAAAGCAGTGATGATCTGTCCGTGGCCACGCCCCAAGAGGACGCCCCAGAACAAGTGTCCGCCACTTTAGCGGTGGTATCTTCTGCACCTAACGGTGGTCGTACTACGGTGCAAGCGAAGCAAATTGACTCTAAGACGCAGGAAGCTGCGATGCCCGTTACCGCAAAGACTTTTGAAGCCGCTCCTGAATCGCCTCCAAAGACTCAGCTCACTAGCAAGGTCCTCGCCGCTCAGAACAAAACAACAAAATCTACCCAAAAAGCGACTAGCGATACTACAGCTGTTCCTTCGTTAGCTCAGGTGCCAACCGCTATTGTCAGCAAGCTTGTTAAGCCTCTCGGTCGGACTCGTTCGAAGAAGATGCGCGACGATATCTTTGGCGCCAGCGATGAGGAACTCTCGAAGTTTCGGACGTGGATCAAGCCCCCTCGGTGTGGAAGGCCGCTCATAGTGCAAGAACCATCGAAGAGACGACCAGGCGGCAGAAGCACTCTTCCAAAGCGGTTGCTTCGGCGGTCCGCTCTGGTGCTACTAGGCGTATCCTTGACTCTGACGATGAGGAGACTGGTCATTGTGACCCTGCTGATCCTGGGGCGACTGACCGACGGCGGACCGGCAACAACAAAACGCGCATCGCTCCTCCTAGCCCAGAATGCTCTGACGACGAGGGACTCAGGCCTACGGAGAAGAGCTTTGTGACGCCGCCCAGGTCTCAGCTGGACTCCATGGCCGCGCCTCTCACCCCGACGAAACCACCTGCTGGGCGGTCTCTTCAACCCCAAGATGCTAGTTCGCCTGATACTGGGATACTTGAGGCTATGCCGTCTGGTGCTGAGAAGAAGCTGTCTAGAGGCGACAAGCAAGCATCGAACGGCCTGAATGCTGTCACGCAAACACCCGCTGGGCCCACTGCTGGTGTCTCTGCGAACGCTCGCGCTTCGAACAACGCTCGCAAGTCTGACAGTCGCGTACGTGACAACGACACTGTTCCTTGGCTTCGCGTGGTGTACTCGTTAAACGCACTGCGAATACGGATGAGAATACTCGGCGTGCGGCCGAGTCCAGAAGCGCAAGCAAGTTACCTGCCAAAGTCATACCTGTGCGCACGAGCATCGAGCTCGATGGTCACAGTATGTTCGCTTTCATGTCTTCCACCTATGTGGCTGACCTGTGGCAGACGTGAACAGTTCGTCTCCTGTTCCGATACTGAAACCGGAGCGCACCTCTGTCAAGGCGAAACTGCGCAAGAAAGGTCAAACTCCAACTGAAGATAAGAAAGCCGCTCACGTGAAAACGTCTAAGAGGAAGAGAGCACCTATGGATGAGGACCCTGTTCTTCCGGATACCGGGTTGGTTCAAGAGACTGCTGAACCTCCAGCTAAGAAGTTTCGTGGGGAGGAACAGCAAGGTTCTTCGCTTCGAACGAGGAGGACCGACTCGCGTATTCTCCGTCCCCACACGACTGCGGCTGCTCGGACGACTCAACGATATCGCGCGAAAAAGGATAAGACCTCATCTCCGCTCTCGAAGACAGGCGTCATTGACTACGACGAGCTGCCCGGCAATCCTGTAGCTTCGGACGCTCGTTCGCACACACCTCCTGCTTCGAAACCTCCTCGGCATGGAAGGAAAAGACAGTGGGCACAATGCCGCAGACGTATCAGCGCGAAGCACACGTACGACCAAGGCAAACGTAAAGGAAGAACGATCGCACGCATCTGGCACTGCACTTCCTGCGGATCTCGACTTCGTCTCAGCTAACGGGAATGCTTTGTATACCGAGGATCTGGAAGACGAGGAAGAGGTTACAACCCTGCTGACGAAACCATCGAAGCCAAGTGTCACCGTGGTTGAGAGACCCGTCGTAGAGGCGTTGAAGGCGTCGGCTGCCTCTTCGGCCTCAGGCATGAATCCCTTTGTTAGTACTACCCCAACTGCGAAAGAAGCCGAGGGTGTTGGTGAGAAGCGCAAGGTAAGCCATCAGGATATACGTTCAGTGTCTATTCGTACTACGTCTATGTATATAGGTCAAGTCAGAGGGCAAGAAGAAGTCGAACAAGATGCCATGGCTAGCTGCGACGAAAGAGACTGGCAAAGCCGGGGTCGGGAAGTTACCTGATTCGGACGCTCAGGAATGTCTCACCGCCGCTGGCACGTCTGCAGAACACCGGCTCGAGGTAGCTGCGAAGAAACAAAACAATTACCGGAAGCCGACAAGGTAGAGGCGTAATCGCACTTTGTATCCCCAGTCCTCATCCGATGACGATACGATTTAGGCAAAGACGACCGCAAGCATGGAATTCAGCCAACGAAGAATAGGAGGTACGTCTAGCTTTAAGTACGAGGCTCGCTACGATATTCGTTGTTCTGGCAGACCCCAGGGCTTCCGTAGCGCGTGCACCTGTCACTGCACCTCACATCGAGACAATCGATCTCACGCATGACGATACTCCCGTCAACACAGGAATGCGCCTTTGCCGTGTTGAAGAGACCGTCTTCCCCGCTCCTTCAGACCGACCCCGAACATACTCTGGTCGACCCTCCTCAATTCTCCACGTCGACTCCCTTCCGTAAACTGAGGCTGCAGCTGGTGCAGGGTCAACGGCTAAAAGCGCACGTTGCGTCACATTCGCACCGAACGTTGAAGAGAGACCGTCGTCGCCCTCTCCTCTGGGCGCGGACCCTATGCGAAAGCCGCGAGGTCGACCACTCTCATGCTCACTCCATAGGTGAGGAGCAGAAAGCTAGTGGTAGGCAACGAACAGGTCCAACGTCCGATCCCAGTCACTTATGTTCTGTCTCCATATAGTGAAGACGAAGTTGCCTTCTCATACGAGGGTCGACATAAAAGGCAAAACCATGAATTCTCCGGGCATGCAGAGATCCACGCCACACAAGAATAATGCCAATGTCGATGACATTGTCGACGTTCTTGAGGAGCTCCAACAGGTGCGTTCCAGTGGATGTGCGAAGGTTTTACTCCAATTCTCTTTCAAGGCAATTCTTCATCGTATCACGCAGAGATTCGAGGCGTTAGGGAAGAGGTGCGCTTCGGGCGCAACACTCTGTTATCCGAGGCTGCTGAGGATTTGTTGCATATGCGCAACGAGAGGTCAGTTCCCTATGGTGTCATTGGTATTTGGGCCCACTGACCGTCGTGCACTGGGCAGTGTCACTCATTTCAATCACCTGATCGACCTCGAAGCAGAATACGCAAAGTTAGGTAGGACTCTCGCAGACGGATACGAGCAGCTCCTCGAGAAGGTCAGGACATTCGCTCGGACTGGCGCGGATGGTGGGAGATCACGACCGCGGAGTATGATTCAGCGAATGCCGGTCGACCTGGCCGCCGTTCCTGCATGCTTTCGTCCTAGCAACTGATGCGTTTATGAAGCCCAGCCATAATGCCTCGATGACCCGTAGAACGAATATTTGTGTGCTTCCAATGCAGAATGTTGGTTGTAGAATAAATCCGTCGAGTCTGAGAATACGAATGCAACCGACCACTGCCAGTCTGGATGATAGTACCCTGTTCACGAGAGTCAGAGAGCGAGCCCGACATTGACGCGTCCATCAGGTGATCGTGCATGCTCTGTATCATCTACCTGTCTTGCTATCTCGTCTTCTGCAGTGTTAACACTTGTCGGATGAGCATCCACATTCCATTCGAGCTCGTCGAGTTCCAGACCCATGCGAGTAGTGTCTGACTCTGACAAATTCAATGAGGCAAGGCAACGCGGCCTTGAGCTGGAACGGAGGTTGAACAGAAACCGCGATATGCAGATTGGGGGCAATCTAGAATGGATGTCAGCGCACGCCGGTGAGAGAACCCAAGTGATGCTAACGGCGTCAACAGAAATGTCATAAAATCGAAGCCCTAACGTGTCGTCGTTGAGTGCACCGATCGATCAGAAACATGATGCAACTCACACTGTTATACACCTGAATGATAGCTTGAGCGATATTGAGACAGGTGATCGCTCTGTAAACCGAGGGTATTACCGTTAATACAGCGTAGACCGAAAGTTCAGAAGCGTCACTTACGCGAAGTAGAGTGTGCCTACTCCAGTGCCTGATTAGTCGCTCCAAGAGCACTATGACGCGCGTGAACTCACCATCCCGTAACAAGATGGTGACCAGTGGTGCCTTTGCTCGAGCTTGCATAGCCGCTCTCTTGATGCCCCATGTTTTCCACCACGTCATGCTGAGGACGACAGCGTCCGATAGGATGGTCGTGACGGCACTGATTACCAAGCCTGGATTCAGGAAGTTGTCAGGATAGATCTGCTTTTTAGTGGGCACCTCATACATCTGTTGACAGTCAACACTCTGACGCGGACACATGAGGTGATGTATGACAGGAGAATCACCTGTAGTACGTGGCTTCCGAGACATTTTCCAAGTTGTTGGCGCATGTGGCTTTGTTACCATGGATTTGAAGAGAGAATCTAGTCTTCGCAAGTAGGTGCTACTCGCCATCATTTCAGAGCAAAGCGAGAAAGGGTGGTGATCATAAACTCACGATGTTCGCGAGCACGGTCGTCATTCCCAAAAACAGTACAAAGACGAACGCAGTCCAGCTGTAACCGCCGATGGCAAACGCTCTCAGAGCTGCGAATACTAGGGATCGCGTTGGTTCGGGGGTGGCTCGCGTTGAACGAGCCTTGGCTTACAGGCCTCGGTGGTTTCTAGTGCGAAGATGCATCCGGCAATGCATGTGCTGACAACGGCACAGCTACATGGGAATATTAGCGAAGACGTACTACTATCGCAGATGGCGAAGTTTACCCCTGTGCAGATGGTCAACAATCAGAAGCAAGTCTTGCATACGCATAGTGAGATCGCCCCTACCCTAGTGTCAAGCTGGGCGAATTCGCCAAGGTTGAGTAGTGCAAAGAGCAGCAACGCATACCGGTTGGCGAAGAAAAGTAGCTTGGATGGCGCCCATTCGCTTCTCCAAAAGTGCCGCAACTCTTCTTCGATTGTGAGTGTATGTTCGAAAAGGATCAGCGCTGACAAGAGATGATCACGGATATTTTTTAGTGTCATTAAGACGTAGTACTCACCACAGACGGCTGCGCCACCACTGTTGACCATGAAGCTCAACGTCTACCTGTAAGTATGCAGCTGAGTTCGCAGACCAACCACATATGCTCACTTCTGCCGAAGAAAACTCTCTGAGGAGAGGGGCAGTACTTGCACGGGTTGAGATATAGACATCTTCACTTAGTGCGCATACCATGGGGGCGGGGGCTTGGGCGATGTCAAGACGAGAGCCTTTAAAGGTACTTCCCGGAGCTATTGCAGGGTAAATCGAGCCTGAACACGAGAGCATCGATCACACCTATAGTGACAGCCTTCTGGACTGCGCATATTGATCGAAGCAACGACGGCACAAACGGACCCTGTTGCAAGGCTACGGTCAGCCTCATCTTACGACTCGAGAGTCTGAAAAATGACTACGCACACAGTGTCGTACATACGTCTCCCACACAGTGTCGTACATACGTCTCCCTGTCAAACGTTGACGGAATGCATGCAACGACCCTCAGGTTGAAGTGACGGGGAGCCAGTCTGTACGCGGATTCACGTTGGGCATCGGCCACGGCGCTAAGATTGCTATTGACCGCTACTTGGCCAATGCCGGACACAGCAAGCGGTGTTGCGGTATCTTCGCAGTGTGAGATGAGAATATCGGCACGAAGGCAAGATCCGCCGAGAAAGCGGTGTTGTGGGGATGTTAGCCTCAAAGAGAACGGAAGCGTACCTGACCGTAGCTCGTTGTCCCCAAGCTTCAAGAAAACAGGCCGCAGTTCATGGAAGTCGTCATTGCGAGTTCGGACTCCTCGTCATATGGCATAGACTTGCGAACCACCTTCAGCCTAAGCCTGGTGTCAATCGCTCGCGTTCAGTAGTCTTCTTCATAGAGCGGTTCCACGCTGACCGATGCTGATTGACATGGCATGCTGTGGACCTGAGGTGGGGGCTAAGTCTGATCTGGAGCTGATCCGTGCACAGTCAACAAGTGAGCGTTCATACTGATCGACCATGATATTGAACTCACCACCGCGCTGCATACTTAATCGCAGTCATCTCGGTTTCTCCTGACTGATCTTCAGAAGGCTCGCGCGATTCCGAGTCCCAATTCCTTGAGTTATAAAAACTCGGCATGCTGTACACGTCCCCCGAACTCGGGAACAGTGCACAAAAGGCTGAAAATGACTTCAACGCCTGCGCAGTCAAGGTGCGCTAGCGAACAGGCCGATACGGCAATATGCATCTGTGATCCTTTCCACTGTCGCTAAGCTTCCCATTATCGATGCATGAGATTACAGACTTACTGCGGTGTCGAGATCCGGGGTGGCCATCGTGCTTCAGCTGGAAAGTAGGAGGGTACAAGAGGTCGTGAACAAGAGAAGCGTGGCATGATACGCGGTCGAGACATTTTTGCAATGATAAATATGGATTGGGAATTAGGTTTCTAGCTGTCATTGCCAATGCCTGTCACTGCGAAGCAGTGCTGCCAGACTTTGGTTGTGTATTTCGTCACACGCAGAAACGACCTGCTTGTACAATATGATTCGAAAGAACAGAAGATCTTGCCAGAGTCAATCAGTGAACAGCATCAAGAAGTTTTGGTGCTCACCGCATTAACGACAAGCACCGACAACTCCCTACTCGACCTCTCAAGCTTCACCCACATGTCTTGCTTCGATCGCGGTCATCTCAGTGCCCTCGGTCTGGTGTTCGCTTTGCTCCCCGGGTAATTCCCAAGCCCAGGTATCTAGCTGGTCGGAGCCGAGCATGCTCCCCATGTCCCCGCGACACGGTGCGCGAAGTACACACTTCCCGCTGGGGCGGTCTCCGATTGCGAAGTCGACGCTGTTGCGAGCTGCGACAGACTCGAGCTGGAGTGGAGGTTGAAGAGGAAGCGCGAGATGCAGATGGCGGGGAGCCTGCAAGGACAGCACCGATCAGTGTGTCAGTTTCAGTCAAGGGAACTGTACGTACGGTGTGAGGAAATAGGACAGGTAGTCGATGGCCTGGAGAGACAGACACGAATGAATATGCTGGATGAGACGGGCGAGCTGGTCGAGACTCACCCCATCGTATATCTGGACGACTGCTTGTGCGATATTGAGAGCTGCCAACGCGCTGGTCGAGATAGCACATCAGTATAAGAGCATTCCCTTAAGTCCGTGAACGACATACGCAAAGTATAACGAGCCTGTACGGTACGATATAATCATGAGTACGGCGCAGACGCTCAAGGAATAAACTTACCATCCCGCAACAAAATAGTCACAAGTGGTGTTGACATCCGAGCGTGTTCGGCTGCTTTCTTGATCCCCCATGTCCTCCACCATGTAATCGCGAGCACGAGAGCGTCACAGAGGATCGCGCTGACAGCACCTAAAATAAGGCCTACGTAGTGAAATGTGAACATCCGAGCGCGTCAACAAATACGACAGCGCACATCTATCAAAAACGGCTCATCATTCAAAGTGTGATATGATGGTGCGTGAGGGGACATACCTGTAGTAGGATTCGCCGGAGACATCCGGGGTGTTCGCGCATGCCACTGCACTGCCATAACTTTCGAGATAGTAAGTCGTTTTGGCGATTAGATACTGGGCGCAACTACCCATTCAGATCTTGCGAATGCAGGCAAAGCTCAACACTCACGATATTCGGCCAGATAGTGAGAGAGCCAAGTATCAGGACGAGTAGCGCGGCCGGCCAGTTGAATCCACTGATTGCGAATGCTCTCAGGGCAGCAAATACTAACGTACAACTTGAAGGTCAGTAATGTTCGTGTTCCCTTCAGTCATTCTTACCTGCTTCTGTAGCGTAGAGAATGAAGATACAGAGATTGAGTACGACACTTAAACCTCCGCAACTAAAACAGCGTCAGCTATCAGACCGGTACGGAGATGAGCACCTATTACCCCTTGCGACATCGTTGAGCTAAGGTATCAACCGTTTAACATAATGGCAACTTACTGCAGTGTTCGAAGGTGCCATTCCACCCAGATTGAATAGAGCAAATCCCAATAGGGCGTAACGGTTCGTGAAGAAAAGCACTTTGGATCCTGTTAGCCTTCCATGCCAGAAATGCTGCACCTCGTCAAGAATCGTGATCATATGCTCATAGACAATCAACGCTAATACCCGTTGATGAGACGCGGTATCATAGAGCGTAGATACAGACGTACCAGAGATAGCAACGGTGCAATAGTTGGCCGTGTAACTGCCGGTGGAGACAAGGTTAAATCGAACACCAAAGACTGACTCGCTGAGAACTCACTATTCAGTCATGAACACCGCGGCGTACGGCGGCGGGACTTCCTCCGGTTCAGAGGTCGCCATCGTCAGCAGCAATCGTTAACAGAGCGTCCTGCGTGGGGCTATGTACAGCTGAAGTTTGCATGGCGCGTTCTCTCCGAACTCTATAAACTGGACGCGGCGCGTAAAGTCACGCCAAGCGAACGGAGTGCCCATGACGCGGACGCCTGCTAGTAGGCTGTGCTTGCAGTACTGAGATTCCCTAAGATTAATGACCTCGCGGTGAACTAAATAGCCCCAAGCGCGTTGTGATACGGACTAATATGGATCGCCCGAATGTCAGCACAGCCACGATAAGCTATACTTATGGGCGCTGCTGCGCTGCACCACTCCGCATTCTGCCCAAGCTAAGTACGTGAATGGGGCAAGGAACTCAATGATGCAGGAGGAATCATCGAGGTCGCTTCAACGTCGCATCATTTGCGACGGGCTTTCCGGAATCCGAGGCGATACACCTCGCTAGGCTAATGGCGTAATGATACGATCTCGACGCTGAACCATCTGCAGGTTATGATCTAGAGTCATGTTAGATATGCCAACCGCACGTAGCAGACCGATTACAATACATACCAGTATTATCAGACCAGGTCAGGATGACTGTTCGGACGCAGCGGTCAGTCACACAGCCACTGCCAGTGTTCGCCGGTACCGGCGAGCGCGCCCAGAGCCTATCTCTTGTGTCCAGTCCAGGCCTACCAGGAATGTATGCTGAATGACCCCAAGGGTCGTCGCACTGAGCTGGCGCGAGGTCATGAGAGGAAAGAGAAAGATAGAGCTTGGATAGAGCCAAGGTCTGCCAAGGTACACGGGCCGCCAGACTGTCGGGAGAGGAGATCAGATCTCAAGGACTCGGAGATCTCCGCCAAGTCTGTGGCTGGAGGAGTGCGGCGAACTGGAGGGGGAGGACATGGTAAGGACTGTACTTACTCACAACGTCCATTCGTTTACTTCAAAATCTTCCGTGGTCCCAGGGGAAGAACGGCATAGCGAGATATGGGATGTCATGTCCTTCAGAATGATTTACACTTTCGTATTATACAACGCGCTTGCAATGTTCCTCTCTCGACACGGACGACCAGCGGAGCACCTTCTAACAAGGACAGCCCTCCGGCTGCGCGTCGTACGCACTCGCCATCCCGCCTTGCGTGCGACTATGCCTTGCTTCCCTTGGCAGCCTTCGGGGCCCCGGCGGGCGCACCGTTCTTGGCTGCCGCGCTCTGGGCGCGGGCGGCGAAGCCGTTCTTGCCCGTGTCCCCACCGGACTTCGCCTAACAGCGCATGAAATAACAAAGTTAGAGACCCGAGGCGGGTACTATGAGCGCGAGATTGCGCACACCTGAGTGGACTGTATGCGTGATGCGTCCGAACCGGACATCTTGTTGCCAGCACCACCGCCGGCTGCGTTGAGGACGAGTTGTCAGCGGCGCTGCGAGGAGGGGGAGACGGGAGGACACTCACTAGCACGAGATCCTTTCGCTGGCATGTTGAACTGAGAAGTTGGAAAGTGTAGGACGGTAGGCTGGTGTGGTGGATGAAGCTGGTACTGAGCTACAACCCTCAAGCCGTCGAGCTTTTATAGCCGTCAGGACTGAGGCAGAACGCAGAGTACGCCATTCGATGCGAGACATCCGCCGTTGGTCGCAGCAGGATGCGCGACGTGCGCATTGGGACGACGTCAGACGATCGCTCGCGAGCAGTCATTGCGGATGCAGAGCGAGCCCATTACGCGTGCGCTCCGCTGCTGAGAGTGGTCAGACGATCTGGCCAAATTACCTCGACAGACCTGGTACCGTGTTCGCGAACAATCCGCAGCTGACGTGCCGGATCTCAGGGGGAAGGAGGATAAGCAAGGATGCAGTCATTGTACGTACTTGCCTGCCAATCCGAGGCGGATGTGTGATGGCCACAGCTCGCCGACGCGATCGGATACCTTCCGCAGTACATATACATGCCAGAGTACCTGAGCCAGGTTACATGGATGATCGGCGACCTTCGAATGTATCGTTGCCGATCGACGTGCAACTCCTCGTCTGCGGCACTTGAACAAGAGGTATTCAAGCGGGTTCCCGTCTACGTGCAAGGCGCTGCGCGGGAGCAACGTTCTCTGAGTACCGTGCATGGCACAAGGTGTCGGCCATACACCTCCGCAGGACGAGCCAGGGCTATTTGAGTTAAAGTTCCGGCGGCTTTGCGTGGTTGGCTCTGTGAGAGCCTCAGAGAGCGGAGATGAGTTGAACTTTGTCCGTTGAGCCACCGCTTTACGTCGTTGGACGGCGCGATTCCCGGAGATCGCGCGAGACTCGCGGACGTGGAAAAGATACCGCCCGACCTTTCCGAAGGTTCTCTGGCATATCTGGCAAGTTTGAGAGCACAGTCGAGCGCAGACGGTTGACCAACTTACATGAACTGGCTCGTCCCGCGACTTTGACCAGAAGACTAGTGTCTTAACTGCCGTCAGTCAAGAGTAGGCTATGCTGCGTTCAAATGGCCATCTAGGAAGCTCTTCAGTGTCCACGAGTAGAGCATCTGCGAGGGAAGGCGATCAAACAGCTCCACGTTAATTTCGCTGGAACGTCGCATAAAACACGGCATGTAGACAGTCGGCGGTGCTGTACCAGTCAAACTTCAGACATATGTCTGAGGGCTGAGTTGCACTTGTCAAGACGATAGCCACGTCATGAACTCCCCTTGCCAGTCTCTTTCTGCCAAACCTCGCAGATGCGGCTGTCCCATTCAATAACCACGAATGGTCCACGCATGTGCGTAGATCTTTCCCACTGAGACAGGGCGTTCACGAGGACAGTCATTGAGTGGTTCACTGTCTTCGGTCGCACAGAGTGGAGTCGAACTCTTGTTGACATCACAGCTTCGAAATCATGTCTAGAGCGAAAGCTGACTTTTGCACCTTCAAATGTGATATACGTCGGCAGAGAAGTGCTGAATCATATAGGACGTAGTACGCACCTCCTCCTGCCACTCAGCCCTTGCAGTAGTGGCGTGAGCTCGGGATAATCGGCCTAGTCGTTTTTGAGTCATGCATGTGGCTGCGTCATCTTTCGTTGTACGCATCATCTGACTCGGATTCCACACTGTTTATTGGATTCAATGGGAGTGAGACAACGAGCGAACAGTCGAAGCGCGAGCGTCGAGACCGCACTCTGCATGTGGGATGGGGAAGGATGGGGATAAGGATATCGGCCGAAGCCCCTGTAATGCAATCTTATCAGATAACTTTGATTGACGGTCCTGGGATCTTATCAGATAATGGTTTAGCCACACCCGAACGGCCGACTCCTCCTCAGCTCCTCCTCCCTCATTCGCCAGCCTTTGAACTGGCATCATGCCGCGGAGGGTGAGCAAGTCATTCGGCATTCAATCACGCAGGTCATGATGTTTCAAGTCATTCGACTCTTTTCAAGCCGTGAACGTCGGGGGGCCTGGTTTGCGATATAACGGTCGTTGCGTTCGCCACTCGGACTGGACTTCACGAACGCCTCCTGTTCAAGTCTAAACGGTAGCGAACATCGCGAGGAACAATGGTAACGGCACTGAAGAAGACAGTGGTCGTCCTTGGGTTGTCATACGGAGGTGAGTGACTCAGGGAACGCCGCTACATCTACCCCACTCACCCTTGACAGGTGCGCATGCTGCGCGCACTCTCTCGCAGCGGCTCCCCAGGGGCTGGCGCGTCGTCTGCATCGACCGAAACACACATTTCAACCATCTGTATGTCCTGCCACGATTTGCCGTAGTCCCCGGGCACGAGCACAAGGCCTTCATCCCGTACCAACCCATGATGACACTCCACGACCCGACGCCCGTCGCCGAGACCGTACTCCTGCATGCCCACATCACGTCGCTTGCGCCCAACTCGCTGACGCTCTCGCACGCGTTCCCCGAGCACGGCATTGAGGGACCGGAACGGAGACTCGACTTCGACTATGCGCTGTACGCGCTCGGAAGCCACCTGCCGGCGCCCATCAACCTCTGGGGGCCTGTCAGCGACGACCCGGACGTGTTCGCTGTCACGAAGAGCACGGTGCAGGACGTCGTAGGCAAGCGCCAGTCGCCCTCCGGTGTGGCCGAGGGGAAAGGCTCTGCGTATCAGGGGACGAAGCCGGAGGCGATCAGCTGGCTGCAGCGGTTCGGGGAGCGAATCAAGAGTGCGTCGAGTATTCTTGTTGTGGGTGGAGGACCTCTTGGCGTTCGTGAGTACTTGCATCCTGTTCAAACATCTGCGGCCTGCTCACATCTGCTCAGATACTCGACGGACATCAAGGAGAGGCACCCGTCGAAGCACGTCACCCTCCTCCATTCTCGTACACAGCTTCTACCAACCTTTGTCAAGGGCATGCACGACGAGATCGTCTCTACACTCACCGAACTAGACATCCCCACCATCCTTGGCGACAGGCTCGATCTCGCCTCTGTCAAAGAGGGCAAGACAGTGATTAACCCGGACGGAAAGAAGGAGCGCGTCGTCCGGACAGTGAGCGGACGAGAAATCCGGGCCGAACTCATTGTAAGCAGCTTCAACATGAACCTAGACTAAGCTTGTACTCACATCTTCCGCCCCAGCTTTTGTGCACGGGCCAGGTTCCCAACACAGGTCTCATGGCTCAAGCAGTTCCCGAGGCGGTCATCTCGGAAGGCTTTAAGAAAGGCCAGACTCGCGTCGCCCGGACAATGCAAGTGGCGGTGCCCGCTCCCTCGCCCAAGTCGCACGGCATCGACTCCGTCCGAACAGTGCTCAACGGGCTCAGCCTGTCAGACAAGCGCGCTCAGAACGGAGACAAACCAGTTCATCTACCATATCCGAACCTCTTCGCCGTCGGTGACGCGGTGGACGGGTTCGGCGCGAACAACGCGGGGAGGAACTCGTACTACATGGCGGAGGTGCCGTGAACAACATCTGAAGCTCATCGAGCGATCAGAGGCGGGAATCAAGTCGGGGCTCAGCTCGACCGATACGAGCCCGGTCCTCTTCGAAGGCCATCAAGATCTCGCTGGGGATGGTGAGCACATCCTGTCCAAGCGCATCTAACAGTAGGCTGACCGCGGGTGTGCAGCGCAAGCAACTCGTTCAGAACGAGGAGGGGCAGGCCGTGACATCGATGGACGGCGTGGAGGACCTGCACGCGCCGAGCATGTGGGACCTTTACGGCGTGAGCACGGACGACATGCACCGGTGAAATGACGCGCGGGCACGTTGTTCGCGATCGCCGCCGTTCTTAGACGGTCTCTGCTTGTTTGCGGACATACGACTGCCGGGTGTGTACGATAGACAGCAACCGATGTGGCTGGTTCGGTCGGAGTATGTGTGGTGGATTGAGTTGCTTCTGGGCAGTGCGCGCGACGTGCTCATGGATGTGGTAGGTCCGTTGTGGTCGAGCGAGTTATTCATGCGACGGTCTGCACGCATCGTCTTCGTCGAAGCACACTCGGCACGTTCGGCTTTGCACGGGCTGGAGATTGTCTATCCCAGTTTGGAATCGCCGTCTCTGCGCCTCTCTTCTTTCAGAGACTACCCGCAGTTGTCCCAGCACTCGGCGACCTACAGCAATGCGTACGTGGACTACGACCGACACGTCGACTTCGTCGAAGGGGAGGGAAAGGTCGCCTGACCAGCCGACGCTCTTCCACGCACACCTCTGTGCGGCCGACATGAAGTGCTTGCGAAACCGTATCTACAAGTTTGGGCGCGGTCCGTCAACCAACAGCAATTTGTGCTCGGTCACCGAGGTCAGCCTATAAGAGGGGTCGCTCGAGGGTAAGCAAGACAGGCGTCCATCACCGCGACAACCTACACACTGTATCTTTGCTCAGCCGCTCTCCAAGTTATTCAATATGCCATCTTTCGGATCCCGTACCAGTAAGCATCCCTGTCCCCTCGCTGAGCCACAGACACTGACCTGTACCCTCTAGCTGGTGGTGCCGCTGGCGCCAAGACGACCCCGAGCGATGCATCGCGCATCCAGTCCACCCAGGTAGGTGAAGGTCCACTGGTATCACCATCGCTCTGCTGACGTGCACCATCTTCGTGGCTGTCAGGCGAAGTCCGGTGGCGACGTGGCAAGGGCGGCTTCGCTGCGCGCGCCCAGGGCGCTGCGGCGCGTAACGCTGCTGCCGGGGCTGCGACCCCTGCGACTCCGCCAACCAGTTCGACGGCGGCTCCGGGCGCGAAGGCTGCCAAGGGCGCGAAGTAAATGCCGAACAGCGGTTTGCTAGATGCTGTGGGCGCATCATGTACCTGGTACTGGATCGCACACGAGTATAAATGAATGAAGCTGTCCATGTGTCTCACCTCCATTTGCGAGACGACGCGGCTCAGAGTGACCTGGTCCGTATGTCTCGGCGCGAAGCTGTCCATGCAGGAGAGCTGGTTGGCTTCGGGTCATGTATTATGTTTGTTCGAACGACGTAGGAGCAGTGAGAAGACTTTAGGTCCAGAACCGAGGTAAGTATCAAGGCACAACAGCTCGTCCGTCACCACGTTGAAAACGTGGCACCAGCATACTACGAGCGGGAAAGGAACCCAAGGTCAGCAAAAGTAGATCCAACGACGTACACACTGCTAGTAACTGCAGTCATACACACGCACAATGAACAAGCAGAAGCAATCCAGTATCCGGTACATACAATATGACAATGAGTTCTATGATACAAACTATGTGTAGTCGGTGACAGTATGGTGAGAGTTGTGACAATGCGACGGGACTACTGTCAAGAATCAGCGTCATTTCCTGACACGAGTAGAACACGTCTGGCTTACCATGAATGAAGGTATAAGAGCCAAGCAACGGCCCACTACTCTGACCAGTGCCGCCAACCCCAGTAATCGCCAGCAAGGTGCCACCGAGGTGGCCCTTCGACCCCGAGGGCTGCCCGGACGCTCTCCACATCATCCTCGTCCGGCAAGTCTTCCCGCTTCAAATCGAAGTTGGTATAGACTGCGACCAACAATCGTGTATCGTCCCGAGGACCCAGCATTGTCCACTCCAGCTGTACAAAGTCTTTGTGTATCGAGGGCCAATGCTCCTCCTTGAAAGCGGGGAACGAGCGTATGATAGAACTGATCTCGCTGACTTTCCCACCAGAGCGATCCAGCAGCTTGTGATCGCGTGCAAACTGGAATAGAGTGGCCCGCGGGGCGCGCCATCCGTAGCACATAGTAGGTGGTCTGTACGGAACGCTGCTCGTGGGTATGAGAAGTCGGGGAAGTGTGTCAAATGGCTCTAAGTTCTTCAGGTACGATGTAATCTAAAACCTTGTCAATGACGCCTTACAGCAATATTAATATGTGCAAGTACACAATACCTCGCTACGCTTGGGCCTGGCTTTGTACGTGAAAGGGCTTTGCAATTCGCGTTTGGCGCCGGGTAGATCGAGACTGGGCAGTACGAGATGGCGGGAAGATCGCGCCTTAGGCGTCGGGAGAGAATGAGAGGATCTCGTCTTTGCTACGGGAAGAGAGTTAGAGGATTGTGCTTTAGGCATCGCGGACTCGAAGTCAATGAGCAGGTGGAAGTCTGTTGCAACGGCCCGAGTGAGGTTGCAAGTACTTAGATCATCGTTGCGCGTGGCCACGTAGAGGTCAATGTCTCACCTTCAAACCTGGACCGATTTTTATCTTTGTCAGGAAGTGTGCACTTAGTAGGTGTCAAGGTGACGACTTGCGGTCGGCCACATCTGAGATCTGAGATCTGGATCATGCGTCGCGGAACTATTCTGAACGAAACATAAGTACCAAAATGGGATGATATTGCCTCCATTGTTCGAATAGCCGACGGGGTTGAAACGTCGATTCGGATGCCCCAAGAGTGGTCTCGACGCGCGTTGGAACATCTTTCCATCTCAGTACCATCTACTCAGAGCCGTAAGCCAACCCAAGTTCAATCAAGATGATTGTGGACCACTTCCCTCATGTTGATGCGCCTGGGATGATTCGTCCGTGTCTTGATGTCCCGTTCGTGCCTTATCAGCGTCCGTTGAAGAGAGCGGTACGTACCAACGTTAGATATCCGTGCATTTGGTCTTCATTCAGTTCCTAGGATGTCAAGAGGCTTGCAGAAAGCGAACCATTCTCCTCCCTGCCTCGGAGTCTGATCCCTGACGAATCAACCGATTTGGCACCGCCCGTCATGCACTTCGCATTGGAGATGGTGTACGGAGCCCTCGTCGCATATGCCATAGAGCGAGGCGTGGCTGTCTACTACCCCCGGACGAAACCGACGGCCAGTACGACTCAGACGTCGATACCGATTCCGTGGACGAGCCAGCCCACCAGTCGCGAAGACTGCACTTGACGGAGAGGCCACCGTCGACCAGGGTGGCGATACCGGCAGGCAGCCGAAGAATGCCGAGGTTGACGTCGGCGCGAGCATGGAGAGGGGCTTGCAGGCAATGGTGGAAGACACGGGTGCACAAATCTCGATGAATTGCTCCGGATCGCATTTGGCACCCAACGCTCGGTAGCGCGCCAATACTCACTGATCGTCTCTTTCTACACCAACTACCATCTCGCAAGAGACGACGTGCCTAAGACAGGAGAGATCGAGAAGATGTGCGCTGTTCTTGGGACTGAGCGCCCTCCGGCGTGGTACGTTGACGGTTACAAGATCACCTGGGTACCGTTCAACCGCAAATGATTTTGGAGCTAGAAGGACTGGTGCTGTTCAATGCATGTCAGTACATAGTATGTTACTCAAACTCGACGGCTCGAATGGATTGTGAATACTCATCGGTCAAGTATTCAATACTCACGCTGCAGAAGACGAGATACCAAGAGATACCAAGACGGTAGACGATGCGGAGCATGTACGATCGCCTGATGAACGCATCGAGCTCGTCCTCTGACTTCCGTAAAGAGCGTGACTATCATCTGGACTGGCAGTGGTCGGCTGCACTTGTTGACTCGAACTCTTCAGATGTACTTTGCAACCACATTCCCGTGCAACAGTACTAAGGAAGCACTGATTAGCAGTGGTCAAGCATGCAGCAACGACAGCTTACCATAACGTCAATGGTCACCATCCCGGTCTCATAGTGCTCCGACCAGAGCCACTGGTGACTATCCAGATACCACTTCGGCGACCCCTACAATCCTAGACATTGCCGAATCCTCTCACTGATCGCCTCGTCCGGCGAAACATCGCGCTTGAATTCGGAATTAGAGTGGACTGATACGAGCAGCATTGACTGGTCCTTCATCCCGATGGGCGACGTATAGAGCCGGAGGAAGTCCATGTCGATGTCGGCTACGCCGTCGACCCGGATCGTCGCATGTATGCTTCATGCATCGTTACAGTGAGAGAGAGCCGCATGCGTTGAAGCCGCCTAAGAATTTCGGTCTTCGCGTAGGCGAACAGGACCCTCTCCGGGGCCGACCATGCATGTATATCGACTACTGGGTATGAGGATGCGAGTGAGAGGAGATGACGGCGCAATGGCCTACCTCCGTCCACGCCTCCTCTCGCAAAACGCGAACGGGACGGTGAACGGGCAGCGTGTTCCCGGAGGGTCGAGCGAGCGCAGAGCGATAGTATAAGAAAGGGGATGTTTATGCTAGTACCCTTGAATTAAGTAGAGGCGGAGCGGTTTGTCATGAACTCACAGATGCTGAATCGTCTGCGGACTACGCGATACGCGTTACCCGGCAGGTCAAGCTTCGAGCTCAAGGCTTGCTACTGAGAGCGACATGGCTTGATGAGGCTATCTGGTGCCGCAGCAGCATAGAGTAGCGTCTGACAGAGTCTTGTATAGCGTAGTAAGAATACAGCGTACGTGCAACTATATCTATGATACAAGATGCGTGAGGAAAAATGCACGAGCAATCTAGGATGAGGGAGGAGGGTGGGCTGGCGACGTGTCAATACGAGAGCAGTCTGAAAGCGTGCAGTCTGAATCTGGGTATCCTCGACGAGGTATGAAGGTGGCGCTAAAGATCAACCGTCAGCGCAAATCAGAAAGTTAAGGGCGACAAAAAGTAGGCTTACCCTGAAGCGGTGAGAAAAGGGGCGGAAAACGACAGCGCAGCATCACCAATACGACCACCGCCAGTCCATACCATCCAAGAACCACCTCGGGGATCCTCTGAGATCCAACGCTTTCCGTATCAGCTCGATAGCATTGTCCGATGGAAGGTCCCTCCGCTTCAGATCGTAGTTGGTGTATAACGATATGACGAGCGTTCTGCGCTCCATGCCGCCAAGAAGCGTAGAACGTAACTCGAGCAAAGTGTCGGGGATCAGTGCGCCGCATTTCTTGCTGATTACGCCCAACGCTCGTTCCATGGTATCGAACTCGCTGAGTTCGCGACCATATTGTCTCGTCAGCTTATGCGATCGTGCATAGTCGAGGAGCAAGTCTCGAGGAGCGAGCCACGCATAGCGCATGACGGGTGGCTTGTATGCGAGTCGACGGGAAGCAATGAGGGCACGGGGTAAGGTGTCGAAGGGCTCTGCGGCGACTATATAACCCTCAACCTAATAGAGGTCAGTGACGAATTTCAATCAAACCAATCAAGACATTCACCTGATCGTATCTTGGCCTAACTTTCGTGAATGCAAAGGGCCGATGAAGCTTGCGTTTAGTGCCCGGCGGATCGAGAGTTGGAAGGTCGATGGAGTGAGTGGAACGATGTTTCTGCATGATATGATGGTGCTGCTTTGAGAGTGTATGATCGTCAATGATCGAGGGAAGGGGTTGCACACTGCTGAGGGCAGACGCAGACTGTGATGGTTGAAGTCAAAGGGCTGGCAGGTGGCTAAGACATGATGCAACCGTGGGAATCGTGGCCAAGTCCCACGTCGCGTGATCAGGGAGGAGCCGACAGGAGCCGAGATCCGAGATCGCATTGTGGTTGATCCGATGCAGACGGTTCGCAGTTGGATCCTTAATCTAGTTATTGGATCGCGGCCACCGCTGCCTGCTGGCAGTCGCCCGCACGCCCGACCTCAGGCTATACCGAACACTGAACTTTCGCCAGACTGGCTGCGGCCAAGTCCATATACCAAGAAGGGAGTCCCGGAACTGCTTTCGAGTCCGACGCACAGCGGCTGGTAGCCGGCGACATGCCACTGGCACGCCTGGCCCCTGGTGGGCTCTGAATCATCGGTTTGAGTACTGTATCTCGTTCAAGGTTATTGCTGGGTTATTGTGTCTTTCTTCGTAACGCGTTTCTACCTAAGCTCTTCACTGCTTCATGTCATATCCCCGATTACTACTGTGCTGGTATGTTACACTAAACTTATACTCGAGGAAAATCGGCAATTATAATACATCGTCGCTCTGCTGTTTAGTGAATACGTATTTGCGGGCGTAAAAATGAAACAGAACACTTCGGGAAACCTGTCAAAGAAACTGTAATGTACAACACACTACACTTGCACCGGATTGTCACCACCCCCAGCGGCAGCAATGCCACCATCTCCGTCGACCGTAGCGGAAGAATTGGCAGCATTTTGACGTTGGGGTCTCTCCTTACGTAGCTGCAGACCACCACAAGCACTATTTTTTGCGGTCGTCCACCACCGCTTGAATTCGATGCTGAAGTCGGTGTGCTCCTCGTTCAGGAGCATATAGACCTTGCTCTTGTACAATGCAGTGACGGCTGACCCGCTCGGCGCGCCACGGTGGGCCTTTTTTCGCCCATACTTGATGACCATGAAGTGAATGCCGATGTGGCACATGACGTACACAAACGTATGCTCCTTGAAAGTCCAGAGAGCTAGTTGCGCCTGTTCCGAGACTTGCGCTCGCATGTCCGAGAACGCCATATCCAAGTCAGCTGGGTCGACAAGCCTTGTGGGCTCGCCCGGCCGCTGGAACCGGTCACCATAGGGCTTGAGCTCATGGATAAAGAGGAGCCGCTGCCATGGCTTTGAGGGGTCATTCGGCGTCAGGAGTGTGGCATAATCGGGAGTCCTCCGACGATCCCTGTCGCGGCGCTCAGTACCGGTAGTTGCAGCCGACGCGTGAGTGGAAATCGCGGATTGGGTTGAGGCTGCGCTGAAGCCGGAGATCGATTCATAGCCCAATCCCACCACCGGCGCCATGCTTCTCGTGCGCCTGTCTGTGCAAGAGTGTGCAGTGAGCTTCTCGATCACGCCACAAGGGTAATATGAGTTATACCTGTAATGTCCGGGACATCGAAAGCGTCGGGAGGAATTGACATCAAAAACTGCGCAACCGACTTGATACGATAGCCGCTAGGCCCATTTGCGGAAGTTCGTAAGCCCGCCCAATCCAAGGAACTCTGGAGGAATGGATGATGGTGAGCTTCGAGCTCATGGTCCAAGAGCTCTGCGCCGAGACGACGGATATGCGTCATCTCCTGGTCGTGCTTGGTCTCGACGCTTCGCGGCCAGTTGGTCGGAGACATCTTGGACGGGCGTGGGGTCGTGAACGAGGGTAGAGGCGAATAGGCTTCTGGGGGTCGTCGACTCGGAGCCTGAGCCTTAGGTCGGCCTGTGTTTGCACACGAACGGTGTTTATATTCCACGACGTGACTTGGCCACAGGAAGCCACACCACAAGCCACACAAGTTCCTGATGAGCCACTGCCATCAAGAACGGGCTTCGCACCAGATCCGCTGGAGCCATAATCCGCGTATCGGTCGCCATCAGTTCATATTCAAGGAGGCGATGCAGCCTTTGTTCGCTCGAAATGGATCTATTCATAATATTCTGCCGTGGTCGCTGTGGTAGCAAAGCTCAGTGCGCGATTAGGAAGGACTTGCGAGGCATGCCGCATGGTTGCTGCCTGCGGTGACCAATCACCGATATCCGTTGTCTATCAGATTTTATGATGCGCACCTCGTGTATCAGACAGAGAAATTCCTCGGAACAGACCACATCAGTGAAGCCCGATAAAGACGACCATAGACGATGAACAACACTTACCAAATTCGTGAGATGGTCACGGAGCCACACCTGGATCAACGATTTCCCGTGGCTGTCGGAGGAGAACAATGGGCACATAGTAGCATATAAGGTTTGAGGTCTGCCCAGCAACGCTCCTTCCGCTGTCAGCACACCCTTACCATCGTACCGACGTCTGCTCCTCTCGAGACTAGAACAGTATGGATACAACCGCTGAGTGGAGGCTACCGACTGTCGACACGCCGGACACAGAGCGGAACGATCTGCTGCCTCGCTTTAGGCCGACAAGGCGACTGATGACAGGCAAGGTGCGTACTAGTGACCTCTCGCCGACGACCTTCATTGACTGATGACTTCTGTATCGTCGCAGGAGTTCGAGGAGATTGCAAATAGCGACCCACTTACTATCCTCCCGTGGATCCTCGTTCCCGATGGGATCGGCGACTTAGCACCACCTGTCATGCAGTACGGGATAGACATCGTACCGGAGATGCTCGTCGCGTACGCGGTTGAGCACGACATCGTTGCTTACTACGACGAGTCCCCGACGTGTTCTGAGTTCGAGTTCGATGAAGATCAAGACGACGACGACGAGGAAGATCAGGGCGAGCCTGAACAGGACGGCCATGACAGGATCAGCAGACAACCAGCACGAGCTGGTCAAGAAGGATTCCGAGGACGATGAGCATACGGACGGGCAAGAGGGACCAAACGAGAAAGGCGAGGAGGCTGAAAAGGTCGACGCAGAGCAGGAAGAAGAGGACGAAGAAGACGAGGAGGAGGAGAATAAGTTCCGCCCCCGTCCGATGACCGACCGTCCGCGGAAGACACAGCCCGAGATCGATAGGATTGAGAGCATGCAGAACGCTCTGTACGCTTTGATCAGGGAGATGGGCCTCTGTATCCCCTTGCGTCTGGTCAAGTTCGCTCTTGGTGTCCAGCGGCTCGCAGTGCGTGATACGTCTATGATCGCGTCGTTCTACAGCAACTATGACCTGAAGGCCAACGACCTGCCGAGGACGGAGGATATCGAGAAGTTGCGCACCGCGGTCGGATCCCAACATCCGCCAGGGTGGTACTTGGATAGGAGCAACCTTACTTGGGAGCGTTACTACTGATATGTAGTCTGTTCACTACGTGTACATGTCAGGATACCATGTTTCATTGTTCCCAAGTACTATGATCTCACGCACTTCACATTACGTCTTCTGCTCCGATTGTCTTCTGTATTTGTACCGAATGAAGTGTGATACATGTCTGGATGCCTTCCTATCAACCATAATGTAATGAGCAGCGTAGTGCATGAACTGAGGGAGCAAAATGTTCATACCATTTGACAGTAGTACCCGCACAAATTACCCGGGCCATCGTTGAGTATGATGTCCACGGTTTGAGAGAGGCAGAGCTTGCCGAGTGCTCAGTTGACTCGACTTGATATTAGCCAGAGCCGGACTTGGCGGTAGTAGTGTTAATCCATCTATGCAAGAAGTCATGCGGACGTCATCGTACTAGGGTATGCTCTCGAAAGATTTGTTGGTCTACAATAGATCCACAACAAATCCAGAGTCAAGTAATTACCTTGCCAGTAGACAACACAGCGCCTGCGGGGTGATTGCGAACAGGAAGCAGGTGTTCCGTCCAGGGAGGGCAGAACGATAGTACCAGTAGTAGAGACGAGGTTCCTCTGTATAGTTGTAGCTCGTAGGACACTAGAATGCTCTGTGTTAGTATCATCGGGATTTGGCAGTATATGAACATTACAGTGTGCGTTTGAGCGCAGTCGAGCGAGGCTCGGTAAAGCGAGACAGCAGGAAGCTGTGCCATAGTATGTAGAATACAGAGCGTACACAAGGTGATATCTATAATACATTGCAGCTGCATGGAGATGATGGACTAGCGGCGTCACAATACGAAAGCTATGAGAGCAAGGACGATGCGGGTATCATCAGAGATATGAACGCTACAATTGCGATGAATCGCATCAGCGTATAGCTCAATTAAGCACTGCTGAGATTGGGCGCACCTCGAGGTAACCAGCGAGAGTTGCCATCCTCGGCATCACCAACGCGACCAACGCCAATCCGTACCGTCCAGGAACCATCTCGGCGGTCCCTTCAGGTCTAGAGCTTGTCGTACAAGCTCAATCTCGTCCTCCGAAGGCAAATCCCTCCTCTTCAGGTCGAAGTTCGAATACACCTGAACGATCAGACTTGAAGACTCCATACTTCCGAGGAGCGTGGACTGCAGGCCGAGCAGGTCGCTGGGAGTACAAGCGCCACACTCCTTGCAGATGGCGGCCAATGCTCGCTCCATGCATTCGCAGTCGTAAAGTCCGCGCTCCCATTTCTTCACCAGCTTGTGACCCGTGCGTATTCGAGGAGGAAATCTCGAGGTGCTCGCCAGCCATAGCGCATGGTGGGCGCTTTGTACGCGACTCGGCGTGAAGGAACCAGCAGGCGGGGGAGCGTAACAAAGGGCTCCACTACAGTGAGATATGACTCAACCTAAGTTAAGTCAATAAGGGTCGTCATCGACCTAAGCTTGGACTCACCTGTTCGTATCTCAGTCTGCCCTTTGTGAACGCGAACGGTCGATGGAGCTTGCATTTGCTGCCGGGCGGGTCGAGGCTTGGTAGTATAATGGAGAGCGATGAACATTTCTTCTCCATAGCAGAACATGTAGTAGACTCGGAAAGGACGTGTACTAGTAGCTACGTCGTTGGTGGGTGTAGGGCGAAACACTGAGAGCGAACACGGTCGGAGACAGTTGGAAGCAAGCGTCGAGCGATGCCATGATCGAGCTTACAGCCGCGACTCGGAGAATCGAGCGCCATTGTACTCAGTTGAACTCTGGGATCTGAGATCCTGCTGCGGAGCCACAACGACAAGGCTCCGGCCTTGTTCCGTATTTGGTAATCATCTAGATCCCACCAGTGGAGGGAGCACATACCGGGATAACTTGAGCCTCTCAAGCTCCGGGGACTCAAAGGAACCACTGTCTTTCATGTCGACATCTGATAGTGCTACTTACTAGCCACTGTTGCGTGAAGTACATCACTGCATGATAACAACGAGACTCCGCACATTCAAGCCACGGCTGGATCCGGCGATGCCAGTGCATGTCGAAGCTAGCTTGAATCATTACTAGTGAGATCAGCGAGTTGAGGAGGCAAGAAGAGAAGCGTCTGAAAGTTCTTGTATAGCGTAGTAAATAATGCAAGATACATGTAAGTGAATCTATGATACAAGATGCGCGAGCCTGAGAAAAACTTGTATGCGCAAGCGACGAGCTAGTGCACACGATCTGCCAGGTACCGTCGACGAGTTAGGAAGGCCAGAGGTCCATCGTGTCAGCACAAATCAGGACATTGAGCGCAAAAATTGGGCGTACCTTGAAGAGGAGACGAAGAGGCAGTGGGAGCCTGCATCCTCATGGCATCACCAAGATGACCAGCGCCAGTCAAACCCGTCCAAGACCCACCTAGGAGGCCCTTCGAGATGCAAGGCGTTCCGTATCAGCTCGATAGCATCGTCCGACGGCAAGTCCCCCCGCTTCAAGTCGTAGTTGGTGTATACCGAGATGATGAGCGTTGTGTGCTCCATGCCGCCCAGGAGCGTGGAGCCTAGCTTCAGCAAAGTATTGGGGATCGACGTGCCACATTTCTTGTTGATAGTAGCCACCGCTCGGTTCATGGTTTCGACCTCACTAAGATCGCGACCATACTGTCTCGTCAACTTATGTGACTACACATAGTCGAGGAGAAAGTCTCGGGGAGCGAGCCACGCATAGCGCATGACGGGTGGCTTGTACACGAGTCCGCGGGAAGGGATCAGGACACGGGGTAGTGTGTCGAAAGGCTCAGCGGCGACTATGTGGCCCTCAACCTAAAGGAAGTCAGTGACGAAGTTCAATCAGACATCGAGATATTCACCTGGTCGTATCTTGGCCTAACTTTCGTGAATGCGAACGGCCGATGGAGCTTGCGTTTAGTTCCCGGCGGATCGAGAGTTGGAAGGTCAATGGACCGAGAGGATCGGTGTTTCTGCATGATAGGGTGGTACTCTGAAATGATGCGACTTCGCTTATGCTGTGGCTGATGCACGGATGCATCCGTGGGAAATGTGGCCAAGGCGTGTAAGTGACGCAGACTCAGTTTGTCATGTAGTTGGCAAGTACTGCGGTACGTAGGTCGTCAACGACTCCTGCTCACCATTCAACAGCCGTATGACTTATGCAAGCGCAGGTGTACATGCAACGAATTGAATATATGATACAAAGGAACAGGCGGGGCGACGGACTAGCAACGACTCGACTCTACGAGCGAAAGCAAACACGACGAAGAGGCCTGTAGGAGGTCTGAAGGGCACGCTCGACACCATCCAAGTTCACGTCAACAGGAGCACCGCGAAGGACATATGTCAGGCGTACCGTGATACGACGTGGAAGAGGTGGCGAGAGACCTGTCTCGTCCTCAGACGGCAAGTCCCTTCGCTTTAAGTCGAACTTCGAGCATAGTGACTGATCAAACTGAAGGGATCCAAGTTCCCTGAGAGCGTGGGACGTACCTAGAGGTCGCTGGGCGTGGCAGCGCTTGTTGATAGTAACCAATGCCCGGTCCACTGAGATTGCGCCCCCATTTTCTCGTTAGCTTAAGCTGTCTCTCCACGCGTAATCAAGGAGGAAGTCTCGTTGTGCGCGCCATCGGTAGCGCATGATAGGCGGCTTGCACACGACTCGGCGAGAAGGCACGAGAAGAGAGGTAGCGCGACGAACGGTTCAGCGACTCAGACTGTCAGATACGCCTCGGTCTAGACAAGTTAGTAAGGAGAATGCATGTAAGCTTTGGCTGGACGCTCACCTTTTTATGAATCAGCCTGGTCAAACGGTCTTGGTGAATGCGAGCGGCTGCTGGAGAACACCCACGAGATTGGTGGCCTTCACTTCGATTTTGACTGGCTCGATGCTGAGTGCGTAGGTGGCCAGGTAGTGAGTCGCGCCAACATTCGCGGGCAGCGCATTCCAACGTCAGCCATCTTCAATATCGCTATTACCATATTCCATTGACTCAGTTCTCTATGGCGGCGTCGGCATCTGAACAGACTATGTAAGTGACTGATTCGTACGACCGCCCGAGCGATATCTTGAGCTCACCTAGCTTAACGAGACGATGCTGAACGTCAGGCAATCGCTTACCACAGTACATATTCTTGACACAACGTTTCAATCAAGCAATGATACAATACAACACATACTGTACACCGTAGCAGGGCGATGAAACGCAACTATCCAAGAGAGCAGTACAATGTCCAAAAGAGCCGAAAGGCGTGCTAAAGCAGCTTTGTTCAGCTAACACCGCCAACAATGTGGTAACGCCCACTTACCACAATGATAGCCATGCGAGCTATTCACCGTTCCTCCCAAATCCCATCGCAACAATCCAGATACCACTTCGGTCGACCCTCAACACCCAAACGCTCCCGTATCTTCTCAACTGTCTCGTCGGACAAGATATCCCCGCGCTTCACGTCATAGTTCGAATAAAGCGCTACGAGTAACGTTATGCCATCCTTCGCCCCGACGAGCGATCCGCGAAGATAGAGAAAGTCTGGACTGATATCTTGGGCTAAGTCGTCGGTCCTGATCATCGCACAGAGTGCTCTCCTCAACGTCCAGTGGAGATTGATCCCGCCACGAGCCCTTTTGACTAGTTTGTGCTTCTTTGCGAAGTCGAGCATGGTCTTTTGCGGAGCGGGCCAAGCATAGAACATGCGAGGCGGCCGCCATGCATAACGACTGCTCGGTATAAGAAGACGTGGAAGCGTATCGAACGGCTTCATATGAGGGAATGCCTTCAGGAGCTGGAGAGAAAGCCAGTCAATCTAAAGGCGCAGAATATCAACCTACAACATACGTACTTTGCAACGATCTGGTCTTTGCTTGGTAAACGCGAACGGGATGGTGAGCTTGCGTTGCGTGCCCGGGGGATCGAGCGAGCTCAGTTGTACAGTTCGAGAAGAGTAAGGCATGTCCATGATGGCGTCCACAGGGCAGGGGATTTACTGGGACGTGCAAGATGTTCGAGTACTATGGAAAGGGGATGCGGGAACTGAACAAAAGGGGACAGAAGGGGAGGTGGCTTCGGTGTGGCCACACGGCCTTCGCGACTGAACCGAAAGTGATCGGCAATTGTGGCTGCACTGCCGGTGTGGCTCTGCCGCCGTACTTATCCTGTAAGTAACTTACCACTACTCATGCGACACGCAATTATTTGCATACAGGCTTACATACGAAATAGTCAACATGATCGCTGGAGCAGCACATTCGGAAAAGACAGGGACGATGCAAGCCGACGCTAACCATGCAAAGATGAGTGACAGCTATGAGTGCACTGCTCTTTCAAGTTTCCCTCATCGCCGGGATCGTATGTCGAAAGCCAGGTATCAATCTGGCGGGCCCTCAAATCCCGAATAGCACTTGTAGACTTTTACCTCGACCATATTGTCACCAGGAAGGGACTTCTGCTGCACGTCGCAGTTCCTGTATGAGATCGTAAACATTGGTGAGTTCTTCTCTACTACGATAGATCCATGGCAAATCTGGAGCCAAATGGTTACCCAGGCGTCTTGATCCGTGGTATGGACAGGCTACGACGTGCTATGATATCCCTACCAAATCGTGCTGCTGTGCTCAGGCTTTGCCGCACAGTCTGGCGCTTTCGTTCTTCAGGCGCAGCAGTGTCAGGCCATCCGTAGAGCATGTGATGGCGCCGGCGCGTACATCGGCGAGCGACCTAACTGGAAGTCAAGAGGTGTTATGTCGGTACATCGTGCAAGCGGCTTGTACATACCTGTCGCATAACAGGTAGACAACGCCACCCGACGGGAGGCCCCTCTGCCCCAAGTCGTACTTCGTATACAACAGCAGATTGACGAGCGTCGTAAGCTCCCGAGTCCATATCGCCCTAGAGTCCGGAGCGTACTAACTGGAATAAGCATCAGGAATCAGAGCACCGCATCTCTTGTTAATAGGAGCCGTCGCTCGATTCGTGGTATCGAACTTGCTGAAGCCGCAACCATATTATCTCGTCAACTAACGCGCGTGGTGGAGACGCATGTCTTGAGATGCGAACCACGCATAGCGTATGACGGACTTGTATACGAGTCGATTTGAGCGATTTGAGCACGGTATCAAGTGTCGAAACGCTGTGCGGCGACTAAATAGGCATTAACCCAGTGAAAAGATTCAATTGAGCGTACGCACACTCAATTGCTCATATCTCGCGTCTGACCTGCCTGTATGCGAAGGGACGGTGAAGTGAGTCAGTACGTCGAAAGAGCGGAGGAAGGAAGGGTATTCCGAATACATGAACTTTGTAAGAGTCGAGACCAGTACCGAGTTCAGACCATGTACAACCTCGTCGAGAGACTCCAACGTGCCTGCTAGCTGGTCAATTATCAGTATGACCTCTCGGACGCCGTCGCTGGAACACAAACCTGAGTAAGAACCGTATCAACATTGCGAATCAGCGCGCGCCGACGTCAACCTTGGTACGTTCAACGTTCACCACTGCCGGTTCTTCCTGAGCGTAGTATCTTTTCCTGGCCGTGGTTGAAACAGACGATCTATTCCGATGGTTGACAAGTCAATTAAACACCCCAGCCTTGACGGTACGAAACAACGTCAGACGATACCAGAAGCATTGAATCGATGACCATGTAATAGTACATTGCATATCTTACACCGTAGCAGAGCTGCCCGTGACTGTCCAATGAGATACAGAACCCGACAGAAGAGACGTGAATCATGAAGTCGTGCTGAACATACCCAAAATTCAGGAAGCGGATGTGTCAAAGCAGTGACGACGACTTACAGAGATGCGGACAAGACTAGATTCCCTCATCGTTCCTCCCAACACCACCGATAGCCATCTAAATACCACTTCGGCGGTCCCTCCATGCCCAAGCGCTGTCCAATCTTCTCAACCATCTCGTCAGACGGGAGGTCTTCGCGCTTCAAGTCGTAGTTCGTGTAGACGGAGACGAGGATTGTCGAACCATCTGTCATCCCAATGGGTGACAGGTTGATCCAGAGGTAGCTTGGATTGATGCTTGCTACGCCGTCGCCGCGAATCATAGCATGTAGCGCCTCATACATGGTCGCGGTCAGGCTGAGTTTGCGCCGAGCCCGCCTAGCCAGCTTGTTCTTCTTTGCGTAGTCGAGCAGGACCTTCTCCGGGGCCGGCCATGCATAAAACAAGCGGGGCGGTCGCCATGCATATCGACTACTGGGGATGAGAATTCGAGGGAGCGTATCGAATGGTTTCATGTGGCGCACGGCCTTTAGGACCTAAGAGGAGTAAATCAATATCTTGTGCGCACGAAAACCGACGGCGCGACGTATATACCTCGTCCTCATCCGGTGTTCGCTCACTAAATGCGAACGGAGCGGGGAGCCGACGACGTGTACCCGGGGGGTCGAGCGAGCTCAACTGCATGGCTCGATTTGAAGTTTGCGAGAATGAGGATGCCTTAGAGGGATCAACACCGCCTTGCGACTCGCGGTGGGAGGTGGGGAGAGGTCAGGTTGTGTTGGACTGAACTGAGGCGCCGAGCGACCCAATATCATCATGGCAGCGATCGAACTGTGGGAAACCTCGGCCCGCGACGGGCCCGATCTGTGGCTTGCATACTGGCGACGTCACTGACTCACAACTTGAACGAACCAGTCCCCCGAGTCCTTCAACTTGCAATGAATCACTGGAAATAATTCGGTCGACCATACGTTGGCAATGCGCTCACTCCAACACAAAGCTCCTTCATCAACGTACTCTGACACCTGCTGTCATTTATGATGTGGTGCGCATGTGGCGGACACATGCTCACAACATGGATAGCCTAAGACGATTTCCATTCCAGACGATTCACTACTAGTACAGCCTCAGGATCGTGTCGAGAGTGTTGAGATAAAGTTATATACAATGTAACCATGTGATTGCGTAGAGACTCATTCCAGCGTACCCTCTTTGCTGTGCTTGACTTTCGTCCACAGGATCTTGAATTGAGTATGGAAATCGGTATTCTCGGCGTTCAGGACGGTCCAGATGGGACTCGTGTATACTGGAACACTTGAGAACGACTGGTTGACTGGCAGAGGATCACCGAATTTTGGTGTGTGATCCACGTCGTACTTGAGAACCCGGAAGTGAAGGCCTACATGGCACATAATGTGGATCTCCGTCTCCGCCGGATATTCGTGAAACGCGAACTGAGCTTGCTGGAGAGTTTGATTCACCATGTTCTCGAACGCGATTTCGAGCGCATGGTACCCATCTGGCCCCTTGTCTTTCTTGCCCTCGATGGCGACGCGCTTGCATTCATGTAGGAACAGCGGTCGATCATAACCGGGGTGGGGGTCGAAAAAGGTCATACGAGTAGTGAAGTCTGGTGTCCGCCGCGGATCTCTTGCCCTGCGCTGTGCTTCGTCTTGCTGCTTTGTACGCCTTGCCGTGGACGGTGCCTCTGTGGACTGTGAGGAGAGCAACGAGGAGACTCCGCTAATGGTGATGTGACGATAGCGCTCTGCAAGTTCGTCGTCGAGCAGCTGCTGATTGGCGGTCTGCGCGCCAGAGGTAAGATGCGCGCTGATGGAGTCTCCGTGCTGGTTCGTGGCCGTGGGCTCCGCCGTGAGCTCGCTCAGAGCTTGTGAGGACGAGGTGCCTGTGCTCGACGTCGAGATCATCAGCGCGACTTGCACGGCATCATCTAGATCATCTTCTACGTCTGATCCAGTCGCATCGTCCGGAGCCTGCGGCACCTCTGGTTCCTGATCCTGGACGCTCTGACTGCGCGTCCTTCGGTCTGTAAAAGGGAAAAATCATGTGAGCAGGTTGAGACTAAGCTGCGCCATAGATTCGCGAACGTACTGGTAGGCTCAGGGACCTCTTTGTAATTGTGTGGCAAGCTCATCGTGAGCTGGGGGTTCGTCCTGATAGTGTAAGGCTTGCCTGCGCAGCTTTGCATGGAGGCCCACGATAGGCCGGCGTTCGTGAAGGGGTGCATGTCGGATTCCAGCTCGTGGTTCGGGAAGTCTTCAGCTAGCCTGTTCATGTACTTCATCTCGGCTTGCCGAGTAGTGACAACCGTGGACGGCCAGTTAGCCATGACTGACCTGTCGGCTTGGGGCGTGAAAGATGAAAGTTGGGGGATATGTATGTCAGATGTGCGATACGTTATATTCAAGACAGCGTGATCACTCTGTGGTCTTCTCGGAATTGTCCGTGGCCGCGGCCACGGGGGAGAAGATTAGCCGTGCACCGGTTTCATGAGGTCTTCTTCCACATTTGAACAGTCGTTTGTGTCCCGTGTGGCTGTGACCACACTGATGGTCAACTAACAATGGGTCAGTAAGCTATTGTCCCCCGAAAATGGTAAACTTCAGAAGAACGTAGACAACAGTCCGGAGTTCAACCAATCACAGACAGCGCAGCAGAAGCGAGAATGAAGAAGACGCATGGAATAGCGAAGTGCCGCCGGCGCCGCCGCAGACCATGGAGATTATCGGTCTCCCAACAGATCATCACATATAAGGACTGAGGTCGCTACGACCGCCCACCTATCCTAGAACTATCCCGTGATAACCTCGCGATGATGCAGAGCATCAAGGTCGATACCGTAGACACTTCCGAATTGACAATCGACGGATTGACGCCACCCCTCCTCCCGACGGAGAATGGCTGGCTTACAAACAAGGTGTGTACGCTCGACTTTGCCCTAAACAACAGACTCACCTGGTGGTACATTGAAGGATATCAAGAAGATCATGGATGACGAGCCCCTTCCGAGGCTTCCCCTGATCCTCGTTCCCAGCCACGAGCTCATCATGAAGCCTCCTGTGATGCACTATGCGTGGCCTATTGACGTTGACGGCCTCCTCATTTTTGCAGAGGAGCGAGGGCTGACTGCTCGTCGCGTCAACGAGGCAGATCCCTTCCACGAGAACGAATATCAGAAACGCGAGGACGAGGAAGCAGAGAAGAACGAAGACGATGAGGACGAGGACGAAGACGAGGAAGAAGTGGAGGAAGCGAGTGAGGATACCGACATCATACTCACCGAAACCTCTTACAACGCGCTGCGCGTCATGGCCGAGGAGGCAGGGGCCAAAGTCCCCACTGACTTGCTGAAAGTCGCTGTGGGGGCGCATAACGCCACGAAGCGCGGAGAGTCGACGATCGTTTCTTTCTATACCAACTTCGACCTTCATCGCACCGATCTTCCGCTCTTGAACGAGATCGAGAAGCTTCGCAACGCACTCCGAATGCAAAACGAAGGGCCACCCAAATGGTACTTGGATGCTTCGGAGTACAGGTGGACGCCATGGGCAGGGCGTTGGTAAATTTCTTGAAGCCGGTTGTTTACAGGTAAGACCTTCGGACCTTCGTCAGTTCATCGAGACTTACAAAATTCAGCATACAGCTTCGTCCGTCCCTGCTAGTGTTGTGTCGCCAGTCGAATCATCGTGTGTTTCTTTCATCATGTATCACAACTCAATGACATACCATTCTGCTTTGACGTCGTGACATATGATCACATATCATACTTTGGACTCATGCAGGAGTGGCTGGTATGCTGCCGAGTTGAGTGCTCGTGAGAGCACGTGGTTGCTCAGAGACACTGTAGTATGCACAGAGCCTGGCATCGCAGCAAAGGGGTTCACAGCGTCAAGTCGGAGCTTGTCCCCTCGCGCGTTGCAAGGCATTCCAGGCTTGATGACTGGGCGCAATCGCATACCGCAGCGCGACGTGGACCAGAACATCCGACGAGTTCAACGCTCCACGGTTGGCTCTACCGTAGCTGTTGAGTACTGAAGTGGCTGAACAAGGGGCCCTGTGGCACAATGAGACTACCAAGGCTGTATCAATACGGGAGGTCTTCGTACCTCCAACCCTATCGAGGGTGCATGCCGTTGGCCAAGCTACCAGCCATTGTGTGAGTAAAATTGAGTACTCATAGGAGCCTTTAACACGCTTCTATCACATTGAACAATGCCAATACTTACTACAAGTTCAGGTTGGAACGGCGATGTGCGTTTTAACCAACCGTGTCTAGTATTTACCATGCTGCCAGTGTGATGCCCTTTATCGCGCTGATGCCACCTACACCCCTTAGCTTTAGCACTCGCATCCAGGATTCTACCCAACAACTTCACGTACTGTTCATGGTGTTCATATGACTTCTGTTGACACCGTAGAAGGCCGAGAACCTCCACACACCCCGACGAAATACTCATAGCCACGCTGGCATACGTCTCGAGATAGGTACATATGGCGTTCGAGCTCACGTCTCCAAGCAGCCTCAATACCCACTCGCTTCCAGACGTCGCAACAAAGTCTGACAATATCAGTTCTCCGTCATCCGCGGATCCTCCGCTACCCTCGCCCACCCACCGTCTCCTCCCGTGAACGCCCTCGCCAGCCCCGTCGCGCGCCGCGCACACGCCCTCGCCTCCTCATCCCGCCCCAGCGCGCAATACGCCCTGCACAACCAATGCAGGCCCACGGCCCACACCCCATCCTCGACACAGCCCTCCTCGTCGATCAGAGCCATCACGCTTTCGCACGCTGCGACGACCCGCTCGCCCGCACCCTCCCTCAACCACCCCGCGAACCGCGCGTCGTCGTACCCGAGCGAACGCTGTCGCGCAAGGAGCGCCCGGCGCGCGTCGCTCCGCGTGCGGGCGGCACCCGAGAGGGCGCACGCAGTACACGCACAGGTGAACGCGTAGGACGCGCGGAGGAGGTCGACGCGCGCTGCGCGGGGGAGGGTCAAGTCGGGGAGGTAGGAGATCGTCAGTTCCTCGCCCGCGCGGACCGGCCGCCGGGCGCGGAGCTCGACCGAGAACGAGGGGAGGTCCCAGCGCGCGACGGCGTTCGGGGAGCAGCTGGGTACCGATGATCGTGCGGCCTGCCTGTCAGCCCGTCGCGAAGACACAGCGAGTGGCCGGAGACGCGCACCTGTGGTTCGCCCGGCAGGTCCGCTCGCACACGACCGCGCAGTCGCCCGCGTGCCCAGGGAGGGAACCTATACCGAGGGCGTTCGTAGCCACGATGCCCCGTGCGCGCGAGAGCCGGGGGTCGCCGTGTGTTTTGCAGTTGCGGAGCGCGAGGAAGGCACGCCGCTCTCGCGCGGGCATCGCTTCCGCCGCGCGCTCGAGGATGTCATCCGCGCTCGTGCCGGGCGCGGAGCCCGCGGGGAGTGCGCGTAGGGTGAGGAGGAGCGGTCGTTCGCTCAGGATGAGGTCGCCTGGCTCCAGGGAGGAGGTAGCGAAGAGCCCTAGCTCCACTTCTGTGTTGATTTGTTCCGGTGCTGGTAGCGCAGGGACCGGGCGGATGTCGTAGAGGTGCGCATGACGTGGACGCGCCGGATCCCGTGGAAAGCCCGGTGATGCGAGAATCTGGGGGGCTTGGCCGGAGAGGAGGATGCAGGTGGTAGTATGCTCGGCGTAAGCAAGATCTGAGGGAGGAAGAGGGAGATGGACAACGTGGAGGGTGATCTGCGTACCGAGTGTGAGCGCGGCGGCTATAAGTTCATGGTGTGGTATGGCCGGGATGTGAATCGCGGGGATGGGGACCCGAGCGACTTCTGCGGTGGCTCGAGGCTCGCGTGCCTCGCCGTGGACTCCGCGCTCAGTCTCCTTGTTCAGCGGCTTCGAGGCAGATGACACTGGCTGACGGCCAGACTTGCCCTCGTCGCTGAGAGACTTGTTTAGTAAAAAGCCTCGACGCATGCTGATTACGAGGGTGCGGCAGCGACGGGGACGCGGTGGTAGCAGCGACGCCTACATTTCGACGAACAATAGAAGACAACTTGAAGCTTACCGCATTCCGGCTGTAACCGTGTGTTTGCTCCGTATGGTCTGGCACTGAGCGCGCACTCGTCAGCTCGATAACCTGAGAGAGCTGAGAATGGTAAGATTGTCTCGTGCCCAGACAGTGTAAGAGGGAAGGAGGCCCGGTGTCTGTGAGTCGAAAATGCGATCGCAGACGTCAATTGTGCGTTGCCTAAGGCCATTGTAATCTTACCTTCGTCCACACGCGCAAGTAGTCTTGAATGACTTGCCACACGTCGCATTTGACGGTTGCACCGCTTTCAATATACCTAGAGGCGGATTTACTGCAGAGAAACCATCATTTCCTCCGCAGATCCGAGTCAGAGGTGCGGTGAAGTGGATGTTGTTTCACATACCTTCGCAGGCAAAGAAAGTCACGGTGGGCCATAGGGCATAATTTCCAGCCAAAAAAGGCTTCAAAGTCTTCTGACCGATGAGGCGCATCCCTCGACGGCTTTCCAAGATGTCTCGCGGGAAAATTATGGGGATTTTTTTCCACTTTCGAAGTATTTTCTGCCCGAGCAAATCACAATTTCCCTTGCGGCGTGTAACACCTGTTCCGAGAGCACGTACATATATGGCGCCCCCAGCGATCGAGCTGCTAGGATTGTTTGAACACGTCAACGGCCCTAGTATGTTGCTATTTAATAACAACGTGCCTTGCGTGACGTCACCGCTGCCATGTATGTCGACGCAAGCCGACGTCACCTTCCGCAAAAGGCAGCGCGCCTTCCGCTTTCGTCGTACGTGCCCGCCGCCGACGTGGGGGGCGAAAGTCAAAACCTGTCATTAATGCGTCACTCACCGCCTCGCTTTATGCGCCCCGCCGTGTATATAAGAGCACCCCAGTCTCGACACCCCCCTCCTCCTTGTCTTCTTACCACCACTGCGCCGTTGTTGCTCCGTCAAAGCAGACTGCGTGGGCGACGTCGGGCGCATGGCGCGTCTCGCTCGTGACTGGATGTCTTGTCGCGGTGCTGGCTACTGCTATGTGGCGCCTCAGAACACAGAGAGTAAGGACTATCCCTCAAGGTTACGGTAAGAGTCCATTAACGTTCCAGCAGTTGCTTCTCGGGGCCGACGCGTCACGCCTGTGACCGAGCGCGTCGGGATGCCCAAAACGGCAATTGTGCTTGGCGTTCGAGACGGGCCAATGACGCCGCCGATGATGCAATCACCTTGGGGATGGACCGCGTGCCGTGCGTCGGCGCCTCGATGCTGCGGGGCGCCGGGCTGCGTTCGCCTCTCGCCGAGCCTCGTCGTCTAAATGCCAACACAGCCCTCTTGCCCCGGACAGCATTCTGATCACGACGCCCGAGCACTGTCAAGGCTCTACGGGCACGACTTCTCTTCTTCGCTGGCTCCTCCTCCTGCTTGTGACGACCCCGGAGGAGACGTATTTGTGCGATGGCGCAAATAAAGCTGACGCCGACGGCGCGCTACGTGTTGCTCGTCCTCTTCATTCTCGTCGGTGTTTTCATTTTTCCACGTTCGTGCATACTGAGCAGCACATCCACAGTTCGGCATCCACTCTATCCTCACCTTCACTCATGAACCGTATGGCCGCGCAACCTCCATCTCTTCCTTGACGGGCGGCTTCTCATGGTCAACCTCTGCGGCACCGCCGGCGATCCCGGATACATACTACGACTCCGAGCTCCCCCCAACCCCTGCACACAATTCGAGCATACGTGCAAACGCTACGATTCTGATGCTCGCGAGGAACAGCGACGCGGAGGGTGCAGTACGGAGCGTGCGTGAGTTGGAGGACAGGTTCAACCACAGGTATCAGTACCCATGGGTATTCCTGAATGAGGTCGAGTTTGACAGCGAGTTCAAACGGTGCGTTCCCCGACGGCTATGCTGCACGCAGCGGCTGACATTCGGTACGATCACGCAGACGAGTCTCGAACGTCATTTCGGGGCCTGTGTACTTCGGGACGATCCCCCGCGAGCACTGGTACCAGCCTGCATGGATCGACGAGGACCGCGCAAGCGCAGCACGGCAAAAGATGGTCGACGACAACATCATCTATGGCGGTAGTTTGTCCTACAGGAACATGTGCCGCTTTAACTCCGGCTTCTTCTACCGCCATCCCCTCCTGCAGCAGTTCAAGTGGTACTGGCGCGTCGAGCCAGACGTGCACTTCAGATGCGACGTCAGCTTTGATCCGTTCCGGTACATGGAAGACCACAACAAGGTGTACGCATTCACGATCACGATGTACGAGTACTTGGCGACTATCCCCACACTGTGGGCAACGGTCAAGGAGTTCGTGGGGCTGCACCCGGAGTACGTGAAAGAGAACAATGCCATGAACTACATGAGTGAGGATGGTGGGGCGACGTATAACCTTTGCCACTGTGCGTGCTTCTTACGTCTCGGTGCCGGGGAGAGTTACTGACAGATGCTGTATTATTGACACCTTCGCCCCCGCCCTGTCATACCACGCCACATTTTTGTTCCTGGCCGATTGTGGTCCGAACATCTATGCGCGCTGTTCGGAATGTAGTCTGGTCCAACTTCGAGATCGCGAACATGGACTTCTGGCGCGGAGAGGCCTACTCGCAGTTCTTCGACTACCTCGACTCGAAGGGCGGGTTCTACTACGAGGTGCGCGTCACGCCTTTCTCCTCGGACCCCGCTGACCAAGTCCCGTAATCCTATCTTGTCCTCCGCTCTCCATTCAATGTGCCCCGATGACCATGCGGTCCCGTTCTGCAGCGCTGGGGCGACGCACCGGTGCACTCGATCGCGGCGGGGCTATTCGCGTCGAAGGACCAGATCCAGTTCTTCGACGACATCGGGTACGAGCACAATCCGTACATGCACTGCCCGCGGGGGCCCGGGGCATGGGAGCGTGGCCGGTGCGACTGCGACGTGAGCAGGAGCTTCGACTATGACGGGTACAGCTGCATGCGGCAGTGGGACCGGATCCAGTGAGCCGTCATCCGGTGTGAAGGCGAAGAGGAAGTGAGGAAGGAGGGTGTATGATCTGATGAACTTGAGGATGAAGTGCGCATTTGTCGAACGTATAGCTGCTTGGTGCTGCTGCCATGTCTTGGCGTAACTTATACTTTGCTTTCCTCTCCATGTTTCGTTTGCTTTGCATCGTCTCGCGGCGACGGTGAGACTGATACATACATACAAGCTTGCAACATGTACATATCATGCATGACATCCGGTTACGACGCAGAACCGTTTCCCGTAAGTTGCCCGGTTGAACGATGGTGTTCAGCCCCAGGCGAACGAATGACAATTGATGGCGCGATTGCTTCAGGAATGTGAGCTCTGTTATGCTACATGATGCGAGTTGACGGAGTGAGTAGGTTTGAGACGGTGTTCAGACTGGCGTACTAACTGGTGTTACTCAGGCCTGACTACGAGAAGGTAGATCTCAGTCTCGTATACCCTTCACATGGAGGTGCTTTCATTGATTCTGAAGCTAGGAAGGCGACTCACGCGTCGCGTTGAACTGTAAGTATGTCGCCCCAGATTCTAGGCTGTGCCACGAGCGCGACGCGCGTCACGACCTCTCGCGGTGGACTTATCTGCCATGTCACGCCCATGCTATGTTGACGGCGTTGGATTTTCAGGATGATATGTTGATAATATGGGTGAGCCTTTGGCATCGGCATATAGGCCTCCCCGGAAGCAAAGTAGGAACCCGACGGTGCCCGAACGACGCGCAATACAATTACTACGATGTTACTCGAAGATCAGTGGTTTGACACTTCGGTTGGTGATCTTTACAAGACACAGATATCACTCGAAGTGTCGCCACCGATGGCGGTGAGACCCGTGCTTGCGCGTTGCGAGATTATTTATTCGTGGAGCTTATGCAAGTCATGAAAGTCGCCCGTGGATAGTGAGGTGTACATGGTATGATACCGACATTCTGAGAGTTGGTGATGTACACAACATAATAACAAATCTTTGCAGCGCGAACAGTACTCTATACCGCAGATCAGAACGACAAACGTAGGTGTTTTCTACCACTCCCATCGCCAGCGACTGGCAGAGAGGTACCATCCGGTCGGTAGCGTTGATCCCAGGATATCACGCATCTTCTCGATCTCCTCTGCTCTGGGCAACGCATCCACCTTTCCCGGAATGAGATCGTGGTTTGTGTAGAAAGACACAACGTAACGATTTCCACCACTGCTGAGGTCGGACGCCGAGTTGAGACACAAAACCAATTTGGTATCATCTGTTTCGATACCGTCTATCTGCAGCTCCTCGGCCACGGCCTTCATGACTGCGTAGAAAGTACGGCTGACGCTGTAGGCTCCGACGCCGCCTCCTGTAGACTCGTAGGAGGGTTCACCTCCCAGGTTGTGATTGCTACCATCCGAATCTCCGTCGCCCGACGCCGCGGCGGAAGGGAGCGACTCGGATGGCTCTTCTTTCGGATAATAAAAGGACAGATTGTGTTCTTTGGCGTATTCATACACCACTGCTGCCGTTGTGTCGAATCCGTAGTGCATTTTTGGTGGCAGCCAGCCTAGGTGTGCGTTAGGAATGAGGGTTCGCGGAAGCTTGTCCAATGGCAAGCTATCCCTGACTTCGTCTAGGAGTTCTCTCTGTAGAATTTGGAATTCTGTCAATGTCATAATCCTACTTTAAGTGCATCTGGTCACATACCTTAGGGGTGTCACGGCGTTGCAGCTGATAAGCGAAAGGCAGATCCTTGCGCGTTGTCCCGGGGCATCGATTGTTGGGTACTCGATGTTCTCCATCTTTAAGTTGCTGGAAGCTTCGCAAGACTGTTGGGTGTCGACGTGGCACTGGCTGCTGTATAGACTGTAGACGTCGGCCGCTCGTAGGGGTTTATATATGCTGCGTGGCCACGGCGCTTAGTTGTGAAGAGGAATTATGGAAACCAAAAGGGAACAACCTCGTTATCTGTCACGGACGTGACAGATCGTGATTCCGATCTCCCATGTCGTGATCTGGCGCCTTCCTTATCGGGTATGCGGTCTTGCACGCATGAGGTGCAACGCAGGCGAGCCCTCTTTTCTTGCTCCTTCTGTACATATTCAATAAAAAATGACCACTTCAGTTGTCTGGATATGCTGCTCGGGGCTAGGAGGGTTGTCAGCTCTGCCAGAAATGCGTTTTCGGCGAGTTCGAGATTAGGCGCCCGTGCGGATGTTCATGCAGGCACTTGCTTTCCAAGGCTCGCGCGCGGCATAAGATGTCTGTTGTGGTGCTCGCGCTGGTGTACGTGTAGGCTCGGGACTACATATGTTGTAGCTGAAGGTAAAGAGCCTTCGCCACGAGGCCTGCGTGACTTCCAGATCTCCATTTTGGTATCCACTGAATAAATTTGCTCTACTGACTTCGAGCCTTCAAGACGTTCAACTAGTAACATCATAGTACACATGATGTAAGTACAAGGGAGTGCATGGGACAGTCTGCGATTGGCGATGTATAAGCCGTGGACAGGGTAGGTGAGAACCGTGAGGTCGGTGCGGGAAGGTGACAATGAAATATTCTGAATATGTACAGTGGGGCTTCCTACAACAACTCGGACGGTAAGCTGCATTAACTGCGAGGTGTTCGGCATAAAGTCCCACTGCGTTTTGATTCGAGATGAAGAAGTGGTGCGGGTGTAAAAGTGCGAGTGCCAAGAAAATCAAGATCAACCTCATAGTCCTAATTCACTGTATTACGTGTCGTGGGCACCGTCGGGTTCCTACTTTGCTTCCGGGGAGGCCTATATGCCGATGCCAAAGGCCTACCAATATTATCCTGAAAAACAACGCCGTCAACATGGCATGGGCGTGACATGGCAGATAAGTCCACCGCGAGAGGTCGTGACGCGCGTCGCGCTCGTGGCACAGCCTAGAATCTGGGGGCGACATACTTACAGTTCAACGCGACGCGTGAGTCGCCTTCCTAGCTTCAGAATCAATGAAAGCACCTCCATGTGAAGGGTATTACGAGACTGAGATCTACCTTCTCGTAGTCAGGCCTGAGTAACACCAGTTAGTACGCCAGTCTGAACACCGTCTCAAACCTACTCACTCCGTCAACTCGCATCATGTAGCATAACAGAGCTCATCTCTTGAAGCCATCGATGTGCCATCAATTGTCATTCGTTCGTCCTGGGGCTGAACACCATCGTTCAACCGAGCAACTTACGGGAAACGGTCCTGCGTCGTAACCAGATGTCATGCATGATATGTACATGTTGCAAGCTTGTATGTATGTATCAGTCTCACCGTCGCCGCGAGACGATGCAAAGCAAACGAAACATGGAGAGGAAAGCAAAGTATAAGTTACGCCAAGACATGGCAGCAGCACCAAGCAGCTATACGTTCGACAGATGCGCACTTCATCTTCAAGTTCGTCAGATCATACACCCTCCTTCCTCACTTCCTCTTCGCCTTCACACCAAATGACGGCTCACTGGATGCGGTCCCACTTGTCCTACAGGAACATGTGTCGCTTTAACTCCGGCTTCTTCTATCGCCATCCTCTCCTGCAGCAATTCAAGTGGTACTGGCGCGTCGAGCCAGACGTGCACTTCAGATGCGACGTCAGCTTTGATCCGTTCCGGTACATGGAAGACCACAACAAGGTGTACGCATTCACGATCACGATGTACGAGTACTTGGCGACTATCCCCACACTGTGGGCAACGGTCAAGGAGTTCGTGGGGCTGCCAGACGTGAAAGAGAACAATGCCATGAACTACATGAGCGAGGATGGTGGGGCGACGTATAACCTGTGCCACTGTGCGTGCTTCTTATGTCTCGGTGCCGGGGGAAGTTACTGACAGATGCTGTTCTTCCCGCATTGTATTGTTGGCATTCTCGCCCCCGCCCTGTCATGCCACGCCACATCCTTGTGCCTGGCCGAAATTGGATGGTCCGAACATCTACGTGTGCTGTTCGGATTGTAGTCTGGTCCAACTTCGAAATCGCGAACATGGACTTTTGGCACGGAGAGGCTTACTCGTAGTTCTTCGACTACCCCGACTCGAAGGGCGGGTTCTACTACGAGGTGCGTGTCACGCCTTTCTCCTCGGACCGCACTGACCAAGTCCCGTAATCCTCTCTCTTGTCCTCTGCTCTCCATCCAATGTGCCCCGGGTGATCCTTACAAGACACAGGTATCAAGCACAGCAGACTTATGACTGGAAACGAGCGACGTTACGCTAGCTCTGAGATGCCATCCATTACATATCCTGTTCACTGTTCCGAAGATCAGAACGACAAACGTAGCTATTCAACTAGGACTACTGCCATCGCCAGCTACGGGCCTCGAGGTACCATCCGGTCGGTAGCGTTGATCGCAGGATATTACGCATCTTCTCGATCTCCTCTGTTCTGGGCAACGGGAAGATCTCATCCGAAAAGAGGTCGTAGTTTGTGTAGAGAGACGCAACGTAACGATTTCCCCTACCGCTGGGGTCGGACGCCGAGTTCAGACACGAGGCAATTTGGGCATTCTCTATGAATCGCGCATCGCGCATCTGCGACTCATCGGCCACGGCCCGCATGACTGCGTAGAAAGTACGGCTGGGGCTGTAGGCTCCGACGCCGCCTCCTGTAGAATCGGAGGAGGGTTCAGCTCCGTCGCCCGACGCCGCGGCGGAAGGGAGCGAGTCGGATGGCTCTTCTTTCGGATAGTAAAAGGACAGATTGTGTGCTTTGGCGTATTCCTCCACCACTGCTTCCGTTGTGTCAAATCCGTAGTGCATGGTTGGTGGCCGCCAGCGTAATTGCGCGTTAGGAATGAGGGTTCGCGGAAGCTTGTCCAACGGCAAACTATGCCTGACTTCGTCTAGGAGTTCGTCCTGTAGATTTTGGAATCCCGTGAATGTCATAATCCTTCTTAAAGCGCATCTGGTCACATACCTCCGTCATGCTAGGGGGGTGTCGCAGCTGATACGCGAAAGGCAGATCGTCGCGCGTTGTCCCGGGGGCATCGATTGTTGGGTACTCAATGTTCTCCATCTTCAGTCGCTGAAAGCTCCGCAAGACTGTTGGGTGTCGACGTGGCACTCGCTGCTGTATAGACTATAAACGTCGGCCGCTGGGTTTGAATATGCTGCGTGCGCCACAGCGCTTAGTTGTGTAGAAGAGTTGACATTGTCAAGAACACCCGAGTCACGGTTTGGCACAAAGCTCACTCCCACCCAAATGTTGTCTGTTCCGACCTACTGCAGCGAAATTTACCCGATCCTGAATGACATGGAAGGGATTTTGGTATTCAGTTCGAGGCGAGGTGGACTGCCATTAAAAACTTGATGAGGGCTTCCGTCCCTTCACAACGTCGCCGAACACCCGCTGGATGACTAGAGCCTCTGGACCGACACATTGACTTTCGATGACCCCGTGAGCGATGTGGCTATTGGCAGCGGTGTTGAAGACAGTGAATTAATGCGATGCATATCACATTCTTACTCGTAGAGTCGACCTACATAGACACCTACAGCGACATAAGTATATACTGTCTTCCATCGTCTGTTAAATGCATCATACGTGTGCTAGTTGTGCCGGGCCACAATATAAAGCGTACAGACCTTTGTTTCCTCGCCATGTTTTCATCAAAGGACATGAGATAAAATCATGTTGGAAGCAAGGGAACTACACTCCTCAGATTCTCAGGCACCAAAGCAGCGGGCAGGGGCGCGATGGCCTGTAGGGGTGCACGCTTGGCAAGACCGAGCAGGTTCATACGAAGAGCTCGCATTGCAGGGTCCTCTGCGGCGGCGACTTCGACCTTTGGAATGGGGAACGCCTGCGGCGCAGTGGCTTGGTATGGCGCGTCGGGTTGTGCAGGGGATGAAGGGGCAGACTGCGACGATCTCTCTTCTTTCTTCTGCGCGGGTGCAAGCGACGCGCTCTGATCAGCTTCAACTTTAGGAGATGGTGAAGGCTCGTCCTTGGGCTCCATGTCGATGTCGACATCGACGTCGATCCCCGATGAGACTGCCCGGGCATCGTCACCCGAGGGTTGCGGAGAATGCATAGTCGCGTCCTTCATGTCCGCCTCACTTCTATCCCCATCTCCAGCGGTCACTCCCGTCCTGGCGTTGATCATCCCCTCGATCGTATCCGCCACGAGCCCCAGCACATACTGCAACACCTCCGGGTCCTCCTGCGCAGCGCCCGCCTTCGCCGTATCCCCGCTAGCACTTTGCCCCTGCCCCTGTGTCTGCGCCTGCGCCTCCTGGTGTTGCTCGATCGCGAACCGCAAGAACGCCGCAGCGTCGCCCCGCGCCTGCTCCTCCTCCTCCCTACGGCGCTTCTCCTCGCGGTACACATTGCCCGCCCAGTGCGCCTCGACGCTATAAAGTTCGTCTGGCTCGTGCACGAGTGGGGTCATGTCGAGCCGCGCGGAGAGCGCTGCAAGTGCACGGGCGGCGGAGGGGAACGTCTGGAGGGAGAGCGCGATCTGGGCGCGCACGCGCTCGGGGGCGTGCGCTTGGTGGACGGGGTCGTGCAGCGCGCTGAAGGCGTCCGCGAGGACGCTGTGGAGCCCGCCTGTGAGGAGGTCGAGGACGTGCTGCGAGACGTAGTGCGCGAGGGGCATGCCGAGCGCGTCGTATGTGGGCGGCCCGGATGTGTCTTCGAGCGGCTCATCGAGGTGGACGAACTGCGCGATGCTCCGCGCGTAGGCGTACCCGTCCACGCCGCCGTAGACGACGTCGCGAATATACTCGTGTGCCGGGTCGCCGTGGGTTCTCCAGTACGCATTGTCGTCGTCGTCTGCTGCGCTGGACTGCCCCCGGTCTACGTCTTTGCCCTTGTTCCGTGCGCTCGCGCCCTCGACGCTCGTGCGTATGGCCTCCAATAGCCTCCGCTCTGAGCCGAGGTCGTTCACGTTGGCTGCGGCGCCTTCAGTGGCCAAGATGTTCTGGAGCTCGGCGAACGAGCCATAGTCACTCGCGGAGGGTATCCGTGGGGCCTTCCAAGGCGGTTCTTCTTCGTCTTCGTCCTCGCGCTCCTTGGCCCGTCGAGAAGGTGCGTTGCGCACGATCGTCCAATGACGACGTTTCCGCTTTTTTGTTGGAGTCGATGAAGCGTTCAAGGAAGGAATGCTGGGTTCAGGTGCCGCCGGGGACGTAGGTACGGTGACGGGCGTGGGGAATGGCGGGAGTGTGGAAGTGGATGGCTGATTGGGTTGAGTGGGCTGTTCGGCGGATGGAGCAGGAGGGTAGAGAGGCGTGAGAAGCGGGCGCGCAGGGGGGTCTGGAACGAGAACTTGGAGGACGGAGAACGGATCCTCGAGTTCGGTGTAGTCCAGGCTACCATCTGCTCTGTATGGAGGGCCACCTCGCTCCATTCGCAGACGTTCCTTCTTCGTCCGGTATCGCTTGCCTGTATATCATGAGCATCGTACAGCGAGCGATTCCAAGGCGACACACCTTTCAGCTTCAGCGCGAGCATCAGCTCTGCCCAGTCTGATCCTGGCGGGAAGGCGCCGAGCCCATCCTTCGCGCCAGGCAGTCCCCCGTCTGCTTCCAGGCTCTCCGAAAGCGCACCCGGCGGTTTCTTCGCGTTCGCACCCGCCCTCCGCTTGCCGGACTGCATGTTTACCGGCGTCTGCGCACTGACGACCGATCCTCCGTCGTCCACATCCATCGGTGTGCCCTTCTCCCCGTCCCCTGCGCGCTCCTGGTCCCTCTCTCCATCCTCAGGCTCGTTGTCCCGTTCGACGTCAATGTTCCAGTCAGTCTCGTACTCGATCACAGTCCCGGCGGCCTTCGAGATGTGGTCGAGTCCCCAGGCCTCGATGCGGTCGGCCTCCGTGTGGTAGATGGTGCCTGGAGGATTAAATGCCTTTGCGTTCGCTGTGACTAGCCTCAGGTCATCCTGAAGAGGGCGTCAGAGAGTATCAGGCGGGTATGAGGCAAGGACGCACGGCGAACTCCTCCAGCGACCGATACCTCCCCTTCTCGACCTTTGTGGTCATCGTGCCGAGGTCCATGGGACGCTTGATAAGGTCCGCATAGCCAAGTACCTTCGTGGTATCGACAGGTTGCAAGAAGAAAGCGTAGTCGTCTTTCCTGACGAAGCAGGCGTTAGTCTCTGTGCCGTCCGTGCGATGTATAGTACTGACTTCTTTATCTGCACAATCAGCTTCGAAAGCACCTCTTTCAGCGGCTTGAGCTTGATGGGTCTCGGGTTCTTGGGTTTCGGCTCATCCTGGACGAAACCGATGCTCTTCTTTCGTTTCTGACCCTTGAGAGCTTGCACGGACTTGAGAGACGGGAGAACGAGCTTGAGTCCGCTACCGCTGGCGTGAGGAGGGCCATCTGTGACGTTGATGTCGCTCATGGGCAGTGATGTTCGAGCTGCGTTGCGACTTCCCAAGAGTCTGTTCGGGGCTAAAGACAGGCCAGTCCTTCCACTGCAAGCCTTTCTAGGTCAGTCTAATCCAACGACAACGTAGCGCAGTTAGGGCTGCGCCGCTGACAGGATATGGCAAAAGCACTGCGAGTATATGATAAAGTGCAATGTTGTGGAGTCTATGTAGGCTGTAGCTCAGGTGTCTCAGCACTCAGAGTGAAGTTGTGGCGGAGGAGCACTGGCAGTCGGGGCCCACGTGCGTCTAAATGCAGGAATTTGGAGACCGATCAGGGCGGCACTCTAAATCGGGCCAAAATCTCGGCATTGGATCGGGCCACGAATCCACGATCCCGGCCAACCTGGGTCTCAAAAAGGCAAGCTATTGAACAGCTGTTACTCTTTCCATGGCCATGAAAACATATCTTTCGTGTACTTTGACATCTCATACTTGTGTATACCTACCTGTAGGCCGCTACAGGGTACATTGGGAGTGGGGATCCGAGGGATGAGTCCCCGATTTGGTAATTATTACCTAAGCACACTCATCCTGGACATCATTCTTCAATCTTGCTCTTACTATTAGATCTTAATCATTGTACTGTATCTATAGCAGTGACATTGAAGAGCTTTGGGCTCGTAAACGGCCTCTACCGTAGCAATGTGTACGACTCAATTGAGTTTGACTGGCCGACTACTGGGTCGCCGAGATCCCGGCCAGATCCGCACTGACGCTCATTGCCACTGCGGCTCAAGCCAAGCTCAGGCTGTAAGTCCTCGTTCTCCTCGTCCTCTTCGTGTTCGTGCAGCTTGTCGCGTTATCCTTGACCCTGGTGCGCTTGGCTCTGGCAAGAATTCTAGGAGGAAGTGATACAACTTCTATCCCACATGAGCTCGTTGGCATTTCTGGTTACGGAACTCCAGGTGCGGAATACATAGGCTGTGTGTGTCCTGAAGTTGATCTCCTCTCAGTCTCTTTCCAGCGAAACGCGTAGAAAGCATCCTGATGTCCGCGAGGTGCTGATACTACCGCAATGTCACGTAGCACGCGTGTATACTAACATGAGAGCATAGGCCGCGGAGAAGTCCCTGGCCATACTGCGCTCCTCTCCGGAGCAAGCCACAGCTAACCTAGCTCGAGGTAACGGACTGCACTCTGAAACTAGTCGCGTTTGTCTCACTGTTGGCTTGTAGATGGACCGCAATCGGACGACCTCCTACGCCCCGTCTTCATGGGCTGCGCGACCAAGAACGCGAAAGTGGTCATGATATCCCTCGGCTCCCTTCAGCGCCTCATCGCTCTGAAGGCTGTACCACAGTCCGCCGTTCCCGTCATCATCAGCACAATGGGCGACTGCATGAACCAGGGTGTCGATATACAGCTGCGGATACTGCAGACGCTGTTGTCGCTCATCACCAACTTTCCCGCCATCCACGGTCAGCTACTCGGCGATGTAGGCGCATCTTGCTGGCACCTGTGTCATTTGACTTATGACCTCGGATAGGCCCTTCTGCTCTGCTTCAAGCTGCAGGAGTCACGTATCGCGGTTGTATCGTCGACCGCAGCAGCGACTCTGCGACAGCTGGTCATGTTCATCGTGGACAAGGTCGTGGACGAGGACAGGCGGGACGAAGTTGACCTCAAGACTTTAGTCGACATCACGCTGCCGAACGGAGAGACAAAGGCACTGGGCCCCTCGGCGCGAGACGCGTACGCAGTGTTCGAGGACTTGTGTCTGCTGGCGAACGCCGAACGACCGCGGTTCCTCAAGCTGGAGGTCCTCCGCAAGACATTCGCACTCGAACTCATCGAGAGCGTGCTCACGAACTACCACGACCTCTTCCGCAAGGCAAGTAAGGATATGCTTTCACGGAACAGTGCCTGACCCCTAGGCTATAGCACCCCGAGCTACTCCTTCTGCAACGTCACCACCTCTCCCCGCTGTTACTCAAGGCACTCTCCGACCGGCCAAGCTTCCCACTAACACTGCGAGCGACGCGTGTCGTCTTCCTGCTACTCAAGCAGTTCTCAGGGGAGTTGAAGACCGAATCTGAGGTCTTCTTGATGCTGCTCATCAAGATCGTCGGGTCAGACGGAGATGCCGACCCAGCAGAAAGTGGACATCCGTACGGGTCACGTCCGTTGTGGATGCGGGTGCTCGCCATGGAGATCATGCGCGGGTAAGTATCCACAAAACGGTCGCGCAGCGCGTGCTCACACTTCTACAGACTCTGCAGCGACGCAGAACTGATCCGAAACGTATGGGAACGGTACGACGCGGAGGAGGGCGGCTCGAAGGTGTTCACGTCGTTGATCACTGCACTGAAGCGCCTCGTCACGGAGAAGCCGGCGCTGCTCGGTGTCTGCACTCAGATGTTCGGCGTCGGCGTCCCGACGAGCAGTGGTTCGAGCTCAGACTTGACTGGGTATGGTCTCGACGTAGGAGGTGTCGCGGGCATGGTGGCGACCGCAGCCAGTGCCACCGTCTCTGCCGGGTTGAGTATGATTGGCTCGGAGGCGGGACTGAGCCTGCACAGCTCAGCAATGAAACTTCAATGGTGAGTGCGGCCCGCGTGTGAACAGGATATCAACCAATGCATCATGGCAGCATCGACCAGCTCGACAAGGCAGACTCGCCCGTCATCCCGGAGTCCTACGTGTATTTGCTCGGCCTCCAATGCCTGGTCGCGCTCTGCGAGGGCTTCGCGTCTTTCACGGGGCCGCTCTACAACTCGCTCATGATCCAGCGGCCCCGCTCAGCGGGCGAGCCCGTCGTGCGCGCACCGCCCGCGCTCGACCTGTCCGCGCTGCCCGCGGACGAGCCGACGACGCACCAGCTACGGACGGTGCACGCGATGGTCGAGAGCGGGTGGCCCGCGCTCCTCGCCGCACTGTCGTTCCTCATCTCGACGAACCTCTCGGACGAGCTCTTCGTGGAGGTGCTCGCGAGTTACCAGGCGCTCACCACCGTCGCGGGCATGCTCGGCCTCGCGACCCCGCGCGACGCGTTTTTCACGAGCATCGCGCGGCTCGCGATCCCGCCGCGGGTGATCTCGAGCCTGGATACGTACCATGGCTCGGCTGGACACTACACGGAGCCGATGACACCGCGCAGTGCCGCGACCACGCTCTCGGAGAACCTGGGGATCACGATTGGCGGCTCCGTGCAGCCTCCTGGCCTGTCGGAGAGGAACATGGCTTGTCTGAAGGTGCTGGTGACGAGCGGACTCTTCCTGGCGGGCAGTCTCGGCGAAAGTTGGTTCAACATCCTCGAGGCTCTGCAGAACGCCGACTACGTACTGACGGTACGGGGCACCAAGCCGACGGCGAGCAAACGTGGGACTCTACAGGGGACGGGCAGTGCACCTGGGAGCCGCGTGTCCTCCCTCAGCAGCTCTCACTCCGCAGCTCAAGCAGGCGCCGCGGCAAACCAGGGTGCTGGCCAACAGCCACAGACAACTGCGCGACATCCCCTTTTGGCCGACCTCGACCCGGAGAGCATGCAGCATGCCATCCAACGCCTGTTTGACGCCTCCAAGAACTTGGACGACGGCGCTTTCCGTCACTTCGTGAGCTCGTTGTGCAAGCTGAGCGCTGCCATGATCGGCATGCAGTCAGAGGCGCAGGAGATCGCCTTAGAGTCCGAATCACTGGACGAGCTGGTTACTAGCCCTGGCCTCACATTACAGGCAGAGCACCACCGCAGGAGAGTCAGTGGGATCCACATGCCTAAGACCCCTGTGCGTAGCTTTCTCTTGCTTGTGTCTATGTAGGCTGATACTGTGATTACAGCGGTCTGGAGACTTCGGTATTAGCAAGCTCGGCGGCGTAGCGATGCTCAACATCCATCGGCTGATATATAGATCGCCCGACGTCGCATGGGACCCCATCACGGAGCACTTGCTAATCGTCATCCGAAACGCACTCGCGCCTTCTACAGTGAGAGTCCAAGCGCGCGCATCCTCGATGACATCCTCGTCGTGGTGCCGGCGTAATCTGTCGTCCACCGGGGACCTGCAGCCTAAAGTGCAGAGACGTGTCCTTGACGTTCTTGCTCGACAGGTCATACCGGATAGTATGGCCACTAACAGCACCACTGTTGAGGTGCGGCGCATGGGCTTCGAAACGCCTTCACCAGATTCTGCAGGCTTCCGGACATACCCTCGTAATTGGGTGGGAGACCATCTTCGAGATGTTGAGTAGCGTATGCACTCCGACGACCTTGCCTCGTCTGCCACCACGGACTCGCTATCGACACCCACTACTGCTGTCCCGGAGACTCCGCGGCGTAAACCCGCACCTCTTGGTTACACGAACGACAAGGGGCACAACTCACTAGTGAAGATCGCCTTCCAGTCCTTGACTTTGGTTTGTGATTCTCTGGTTCCTTGTCGCCCGAGCATCTCCGTCTGTGTATCAGCACACTAGGGAAGTTCGGGCGCCAGGCGGATACAAACATTGCTCTCACAGCAGCCGAGAGCCTTCTCTGGGGCGTGTCAGACTCCATCCAGGCGAAACGCAAGGATGCGGAGACGGAGCACGAGTTCAGCGCGCTGTGGATGTTCCTCTTGGTCGAGGTGCTCGCCTCTGCACAGACGCTCGGCCAGAGGTGCGAGTTGGTGCCGATACAAACCTTATTCCGCACCGGCAGCTTTATGGCACGACACCAGCTGGGGACTGGACGAGTGTAATGGAAGATCACCTTCCCTCTCTTGGATTCGATCACTGTCGCTGCTCAGCAGGCGATCGCTGATCTGATGAAGAAGACTCGACCGCGGATCCTGCTGATCTACAGTGGGATGAGTCGAAGATTCTCGCATTGCAATCGATCGGCTCGATCTTCCACGAGTTCCTCTTAACCAAGCTCATGCCTTTGGAGAGTTTCTCTAGGGCGTGGGATGTCTTCGTGGGCCATATACAGTCTTCATGGCGCAATGACAACCGGATGGTTACCGCCACTGCTCTTCGCTGCCTGGATAAGTCGATCAACGCGCTCGCCACCGGCGAGGGCGAGTTGGTCGGGAAGACCAAGGATGCATTGGCCACAGTGTGGCATGCCTGTGACGATATGGGTGCAATGATCGCGACGGGTGGCTCTGGTCAACAAACAAGACTTCATTCGAATCCTTTCACACAGGAAAGCTTGATGGCGTTCGTAGACGTCATTCGCAGTACCAGATCTGTCGGGCGTAATGTCGAAAGACACGAATGGTCCCTTGAACGACTCGAACGTCTCATGTCCATCTTGAAAGGTATGTGAACTTGATGATACTCATCCTTGTCTAAATGATCTCGTTCTAGGTGTTTTGACATACCAGAACTCAACCGACTACAGACCAGATATTGACGCTCTCAGTCCCGTTCAGGTAGGATGATGTGAATTCGACCTGTTCAGGACGACTCTGACATCTGTCAGGCAACTGTGATGCAAGCGATCGACGGCGTTGACTTGTCATCTCCGGGTGCACCATCACTGGTACTGCGAGATCTATCCGAGTACGCAACTCTACCTTTCTTGGCAGCTTTCGACATGCCGTCGCGCTCTTCCGTTGTCTCTGCAACGCCATCGAGATCAAATGCCGGGCGTGTCACATATATTGCGCTCTCGAAGAAGATTATGCCCGTACTGGTAGAGCTCTTCTTACGCTTCAAAGGCCAAAGCGCGATATACTTAGATGGCACAGTGGAGCGGATTTATTCGGTATGTACCACGTTCCAGCTCGTAGGAATACACTCATATAGACTTTGGACCAGGCATATGCGATTCCAATCAAGTTGAAGTATGAGTGCCCAGCGCCGTCGAAGTTTGGAAAAGATCCTCCTCTGTGGAAGACTGCTACGAACAATTTCCTCCGCATTGTCAAAGAGTGTGGTCCGCAGCTACGCGAGTTCGGAGAAGGTGAATAGATATTCCCCCGCACTGATTGTCTGCTGACTCTGCTGATTCTCAATCTAGATGTTCCCGACGCTCAGCAAGAAGGCATCTGGCGCCAGATCATCGAGACATTTCGTGGAGGGATTTTGGCCGACTGGTAAGTGTGACACCCATTCTACGTACTTCTCCGCAGCGCCGTTTCCTGATCGCAACGCAGTTCGGCCGCCGACAGCTTCCCCTTAGACATGCAGGAGACTGAGGAAAACTTCGACCTGGCATTGATCGCCGCCCTTGAGATTGACGTTGTCCCCTACCTTGGAGACGCGTGCATTCCAGACTACCTCATCATACAGCTATCTCGAGTGCTACACCAAGGAAGCCAGATCCGGGATACTGATGATATGCCACCTTCACCTGCTTCAATCACAGATTCCTACTGGGACACCGGGACACGCAGGCTCTCCCAAGAGTTCGAGAAAGTGGAGAAGTTCGGCACGGACGTTGTGGCTCTGGGAACCACGGAGAGCGGACATTTCCGGCCGAGAGAGCGATTCTCTTATTGTGCCTTGACCTT